TTGGAGACCTCACCCGGGGGCGCATGGTACACCAGCAGGCGAGGCGACGACGCGAGGTGGGCGGTGGCATCTTCGAAGGTCTTCCGGAAGGAGGGAGTATAGATCGAACCGATATTCGTGTCGGTGATGAGAACGTAGGTGGTCGAGGGGCAGTCCCGGATCAGATCCTTAGCGACGTAGTTACGCCAAAGACCGAAATCCGAGACGATGCTCTCCCGACCCAAAATGCTAATCTTCGTGGGTTCGGTCATGGTCGAATGGATTGGGGGGTAAACGGCAAGCAAGGGAGACGGGCGATTCGCAACGAAGGGAGGAATAACCACAGTCTCAAATTAATTCATGCTGTGACTGGTAGTAAACGAAACCCCAGGAGTTCGTCCAAAGCGTCTCAACAGCGAGCACAGACTCGAAGACGAGACGACACAGGAGAGAAATCCAAGAAAGAAGAAGGAATGAGAGAAAGAAAGAAAGATGGAGGAGAGTTGGCGTCGGAGAGAAAACTGGAGCGGGGCTTTCAGCTGAGCCCAAAGGGGAACGATGAGCACGACCGCAAGGGGGATTTCAAGTCATTCAATTGGCAATTGGTAACAGGGGCGGCGAGAATGGAGCAGATCCGAGCACGATGGGAATGGAACTGACGATGATTGCTCGGTTAGGGAAAGGAGGAGTGGTGGTGCAGAGGGAAAAGATCCACCGGAGAAGTTCATTTCCTCGATTGACTCACTTCTGCCCGCTCCGATGTCGCCTCGGCATTGGCCGTCCCTCTGCCGGTGATCCACCGATGTGTTTGTTTCTACGGAGTAGTCGGTGAGAACTGAGGTCTGGAGTTAGAGAGTTACCAGTCTCTACTCTCTACGCGAGAGGAAAAAGAGTGAACATAGTCTCAGTCATGGATAGCCGATCCATCACGGGCGTCGTAGCATTCCTGTCTTTTTCGTACATACTTCCTCCTCGTAGAACCATCGCAACCAGAATAACGAAGCCAAAGTACAACGCGCAAACTCCCATCCCAAGTAGTATATGACATGTCATCTTGCTGCCCAACGTCTGGTTTTCCCTCTCAAAGCAGGAGGTAAAGAACAACACAAGAAAAGGAGAACCAAAAGAAAAAGACAGACAGAAGAAAAATAAAATAAACAAAAATAGACTTCGGCAAAACACGCACGATCCAAGAAACAGATCGACATCGGAAACAAACTATAGATCTCTAACAAACCCACACCTTTCCCTTCTAGTAGCGTCCGTATCCACCCTGGTGATTCCTCGATCCATAGGAATCCCGACCTGAGTGACCTCCTCGGGAATATCCTCCGCCGCGGCCGCGCCAGTTGGATCCCTGCGGCTGACCCTGGCCGTAGTAATCGTCTCGACCGTAGTTCTGTCGGGGAGGCGGTCCGCCATAGGGGCCGCGATTTGGGTACTGCTGACGGCCATCAGAGTAACCCTGCATGCCTCCACGTGGAGGAGGAGGCGGTCCTCGGGAATATCCCGTGGATCCGGGCTGCGGAGGAACCCAGCCTGAAGGTGCATTGTTGCCGGCGGGCTTGAAGTTGGGATCCAAATGCGCCGCGAAGGGGTTAGGACGGTCCTGGCCCTGGCCCTGGCTGGCGTAGTTGATGTGACCACCGCGACCGCCGCGACCGCCGCCGCCGCGGAACGGAGCTCCTCCAAACGACCGACCGGAGTTCTGCGCTTTGTTCTTGACAGCCATTATGTCGCCGTAGTCCAAAGCCGGCTCGGGGAACTTAACTCCGCGCAACAGCATGGACTTGTGGATGTGGGAAGACTTGGGGATCTCGTAGTTGACCCTGTATGCGTCGGAAATTAACCAAACGGATCATGGAGTAATCAGTATGGGGGGGGGAGGGGACATGTTAACTTACGTCAAAGAGCGATCTTCATCCAAGCTCGGCATGCCATATTGTTCAAGCGTTGATACCAAGGAGCTGTGTGGAATATATGTGTCGTTGCGCTCCACCTTGCCGGCCAATCCTTCACTCACACGCTGGTTCAATTTGACCACGGGGGCACCTTGCTTCTTGGAGTAGAAATTGCCGACCAGATCTTGGTACAATGGGTGACTATCCGAGATCAATAACACCTCCTTACCCATGGCATTGCGAAGTTTCTCGTCGTCCGAGAGAAGAGGGTATTTCTTCTCCATGGCAGTCAAGAGTCGCTTCTCGTCAATGAACGGCAGCAGAACGACTCCTTGCCAGGCAAACTTCTTGCCGTTCAGATCCACCGGGAAATCTTCCGGGTAGAAGTCAATGATCTCACTCTTCGGGTCGCTCATTAGGTCGTGGAATATTTCGGGGATAGCGTGGTTAGACGAGGCCGGGAGGACACCCATTAGTTGTTCAAACGGCTTGAACGGGGTGCCTTTGTCGAATGATAGTTCCATGTCGCCAATGTCCACAAAATCTGCGGCGAATGGCGCGTAATGGTAAGGATAATACCAAGTCCACGAGGGACATCCTTGGAAATAATATAAGAGAACCCAGGCGAGACCTTCAGCATATGCACGAGCAACCTTGTGTCGGAACTCCTTGTCGGCTGGGTCAACGCCGAACTTTTGCTCGTAGTATCGGTCGGCATATCCTTCCTCCCACAAACGCACGTTGTCGGGTGGCATATCATTGTCATCCTGTTGAGGTTTCGACTCGTTCTCTTCTCCCTCCGCCTTTCTTTTTCCAAGAACGGAGGGCGAGGTCTGCTCGGGTTGATCGCCCGATTGCTCCTCGCTCTCGGCTGTAGGCTCCTCGGAGCTTTGGTCGCCTTGCGAACCTTTCATGAGCTTGTCTTTGAGGACGGCGGCAGCGCTTTTGTTGGCCATGTTGGCCCTGTAGACATTGCCGCGATTGACCACCATGCTGTGGGTCAACTCTCGGTCTCCTCGAGATAGATGTCCACGTCCGGGAGTAATCAGGTCCATCGGCATCGAGGAGGGCGCGGCATTGTCGCCACCACCGCGAGTTCGGTTGCTCGCGGGTGCCGGCTCGTACGCATCATAGCTGGGCGAACTTCTCCTCCGCTTGCTGGAACGCTCCTCTCGGGCCTTGTCCTCTTGCTTGCGTCTTCTCTCATTCGCGGCCTTTCTCTCCTCGACTTGTCTTCGTCGACGGAAGATGGCGTCCTCCTGCTTGGCTAGACCCTGCAAAATGAGTTGGGCCTTCTTGAAGTCGACATGCCCATCCTGCGTTAAATATCCACCCATTACGGGAATATTGTCGCGCCAGATAGCAATGAGGGTATCGATACCATTCTCGCGAATGTCAAGCGATGGCAAGTGCGGGAGGAAATCGTTTCCTACGAAGAAACACATGAACACCCAATCGTCCAAGGCCCGTTCCAAATCGAAAGGGAATGGCTGCCCGGGAACCCAAAGCTCGACAGCGAGGTATTCCCGAAGGATGGAGACGTTAAGCCAGATAAATGGCTTGAGCGAGGAGCCCTTGCCCTTTTCATCGAATTCACCGTTCTTCTCCTTGGCTTGCCCTCTACACTCCTCTGCCTTGTGGCCGGCTTGACCACATAGCCTACATGTCCGTGCCTTTGATTCTTGGAAGAACACATCTTCTCGGAGAACTCGGAAATAAGGCTCATGGGTCGCCAGTCCCAGCATGATCAAATCGGCATCCTAAAAAACCATTCAACGTCAGTATTGTTTCTCAACGATTCAGTTTATTTTCTTCATCACATACCAAACCGTAGATGACATGACGAGTGTTGGGGTCGTGCTCCGGCGATGCTCGTTGCGATCGAACAAATTCCATGATCTTATGCTCTCCCTCTCCGGGAACGGTCGCATCGGAAATAATGATTTTAAGCTGCGCAAGTCAGAGCAGAGAACTTCCAGTCCAAGAGACGAGTGTCAAACCTTTTCCCAAGCCGGATCAGTGTTGAGCTTGTACGCAATCCAGTAGCGCAGCGCAGCAGCAAGAATGTCCATGAACGGAGTACCCGGAGTAATCACGTTGCTATCCCAAGTCTTCTGAATGACTTCTTCCTCAATACCCTGGTCGGCCTTGTTACCATTCTGCTTCGCCAGCATCTTCCGGAACTCCTCCTTCTTCTCGTCGTTCTCTCTAGCCTCCTGGGCAGAGCGGAAACGTCGTGCGCGCTGTTGGTTCATCTTGGCTCGCGGTGCCACGCCGTCTAGAGAATTTCGGAACCTCCGGTCAGTAATCGCTCGTAGCAAACCATAAACAAAGAGTTGTCACATACCAACAGCGATCATCAGCAGCTTCCTGGGACGAACCATGTTCACCACGCGATCGGTATAGTTGAAAATCTCCAGCATCATCTCCTGCTCATTCGCCGGCGGGGGTTTTCCCTCCGGATGAGTACACGGGTGAACGATACCGTTCATATCCAGGTATAGATTATCCATTTCGTCTCCATTGGGGTTGGGACGAGTCGTATCAACCGGAACTTCTTCCCCATTGACCTCGTAAGGACGCTCCTCGATCACCGGCGAGATGATCTTGGGGTACTTGTTGGAGAGCCATCGGAACAGCGCTGGGACACCCATGATGATACAAAAAGGCGAGCAAGTGTAGAGATTATCAAGATAGTAATAACTAAAATCTCAAGGGCGCAAATAAACTCTGATATTCTAAATGCAGTTGGCGATGCGCTCCATCGATTGGTTTTCCTGAAACGCCTGACTTAGAATCGCAAATTGCACCGAGCTTTACAACGAGCAAGGAAGAGGGTTGATAAAGGAAGAGAGCCTATCCCGAGGAGGCCGAGGACAAGGGAAATCACAGGTATCAAAGCCCTTTATTCTTTGACTGGAGGGCGGGTCAAACAGCGAGACCTGGAAGTTTCTTCAGGGCCCGTTGAATGAATGGATGAATGACCGGATAGATAAACGGGGTTTTCGGCCCTTCTGCTTTGTCGCGGTTCCGCCTTAGCGGCTGCTTGGCAGTTCCGTCGGAGACACCACCTAATTATTATTATTGTTCTGACATGCCGAGTCCTCTGCATCGCAGCTGCTCCGCAAAAAGAACAACTCAGCATTGGGGGGTTGCATTTTGTTTTTCTGTTTCTGGCTTGAGCCTGTCAGATGTTTATTAATTGTTACGTCCGCGGCCAGCGGTGACCATGATACTACGAGCTACCGGTCGCAATGTTTCGCATACTCGAATCGCAGGCCCCGGCCAAACAAACGGCCACGGATACGATCAACACTCTGAGCAGTAGACTGCAGAGTGCTACACTGTTGGAAGACCGTCGGGCAGCTATTCAGGGACTGAGGAGCTTCGCGAAGCTCTATCCTGCCTCCGTCGCCTCTGGTGCGCTGCGACCGTTGATTAGCGGTCTCAGAAATGACCGGGAAGATGTGGACACGATTAAAGTGGTCTTGGAGACCTTGTTGATGCTGTTTTCGCCGGATGAGAATAGTGTTAGTTGTTTCCGATCGCTGGTTTTATGAGCAATGGGTGCTGATTCAGATTATCTAGCCCGAGGCCTCTGATGAGATCGCTCTTTGGCTGTCCGACGAGTTCACGCAGGTATGCTTCCTTCGCATGTGAAATACTGGTCTCGCTAACGGAGCGAAAGCGACAAGACAACATCACCGCCCTCCTCGACCTCCTCGATACCCGAGAATTCTACTCTCGCCTATATTCCTTGCAATTGATGTTCCAGATCTCGAGCGCACGACCGGAGAGAACGCAGGAATGTATATTGACGGCGCCGCTGGGGATTCCGAGGCTAGTCAGTGCTTTGAGTGATGCTCGAGAACCAGTCCGGAATGGTATGATAATCGTGCAGACATTTGAGGTCTTCAAGGCAACAAGTTCGCTGACAGCTGTCGTGGATTTACAGAAGCTTTGTTGCTCTTAATCGCGCTTACCCCGGCATCTGAGGAATTCCAGAAGCTTGTCGCATTTGAGAATGCATTCGATCTCGTATTCTCCCTCATCGAAATCGAGGGTGCCTTGACGCATGGATCGGAGGTCGTCGAAGACTGTCTCTCTTTGCTCGCCAATCTCCTGAGACTCAATATTTCCAACCAGTCATACTTCAGGGAAACGGGCTGCGTCAAGAGAGTAGCGAAGCTTCTTTCCGACGTGAACCAAGAACAAGACTCTGGTGAACCTGCTCCCCAGTGGGCTCTCGCCCATCGCGATAAGAATATCTGGGGCTTGCTGGTTATAATTCAACTGTTCCTAGTTCGCGGTGGGATAAACACACCGGCTAATCAAATGGCATTCTGGAATAACGGTGTGATGGAGCAAGTGCTAAGTGCAGCGTTCAGCCAAAGGTTCAGCGTGAATGTCACGTCTAAGGTTTGTGGGACAGGCTCTTATAAGTTCCAGGCTCAATACTGATTGCTTATAGGCGTTGGCTACCATTGCGGATCTGATCAGAGGAAACCAGCCCTTGCAAGAAAAATTCGGCGACGTTGAAGTCTTCTGGGGTGTCAAGCCGGCCGAGGGCGCTGTGAACGGCGATGCAACGGGGAAAGAATTCCAACGCATCAATGTGATGGAGGCCCTGCTCAAGCTCACTCTCGAACCCGCCACTATTCAACTTCTAGACGCACGTCTTGCTGCCTGTGAATGCATCAAAGCCTTTTTCGCTCATCACTCTGGAATCCGCGTTCATGTTTTGCGAAGAGCCATCGATGGGCATATCAGCGGGCAGGATGAAATTCCCAACATCTTGTCTGTCTTGCTTACCCCACCAGAACTCCGGGGAAATGCCGATCCATATCAGACATGGATGGCCTCTGTTTTGATGTTCCATCTGCTGTTCGAAAATGCCGAAGCCAAAGCGATTGCTATGGAGGTAACGGAGGGTGACGCCGAAAGTGGCGAAGAAGTCATCACTTGCATTCAGACCATAGTTGGTAACCTGGTCACTGGCATTCAACGGGGAGACGACGAAAGAATCACTCTTGGGTATCTCATGTTGCTCTGTGGGTGGCTCTTTGAAGAGCCAGATGCTGTGAATGACTTCCTTGGAGAAGGGAGCAGTATCCAAACTTTGCTGCAAGAGATCAAACATCGCGGTGCGCCCTACGTACTTCTGACCGGCCTTTGCACCGTTCTGCTTGGAATAATTTATGAGTTCTCATCAAAAGACTCCCCTATTCCTCGCCAAACACTGCATAAGCTGTTAATCGAGCAATTAGGGCGAGACCAGTTTATCGATAAGATCACACGGTTTAGAGAGTCTCCGTCGGTTCGCGACTTTGAAGTCCTGCCACAGACAGTGGCCGGCCAATTTGAAGGGGGCCTTCCCGAGATCTATTTTGATCGTACATTTATTGACTTTTGCAAAGACAACTTTGGTCGTCTGACTCGTTCAATTGATCGTGAGCCTGGCCTTGAGGTTTCAGTCATCACCAACGGTGTTGAAAGAGGAGTTTCGCGTGAACTGGTCGATTCTCTCAAGGCGGAACTTGAGGACCGGACCCAATCGATACAAAAGCTGGAATCTGACCTTATTGCGTTGCAAAATAAGCTGGAGCATGAGCAGCTTGATCATAGGAAATCCAAAGAGACGAGCATGATGGAGGCTTCCAAGATCAAGCAAATTAACGAGTCCTTGCAGAGAAACCACGAACAGGAGCTATCAGCATTGAAGCTAGAGCAACAGCGGGAGATGAATGAGCTCATGAGACAACATGGCGATCAGGTCCGAGCAATCGACAATCAACTCAAGGTTGCCTCGAATGACCATGAAAGGAAAAGCCAGAAGTTGAGAGAACACCACGAGGCTGAAGTTGCCGAATTGCAGAAACGGATCCGGTCACTAGAATCGGAATTCTCACGCGCTGGGGACCAGTATTCGGGCGAGGTGGCTGACCTCAAGACGACCATTGAAAAGTTGATGTCAGATGCCACCAAACTGAAGGAACAGCATGCTGCTGAAGTATCGGATTTGAATGAAACTATTCAACTGCTCGAATCCAACATTGACGAGAGCAACAAGCAACACGCGGCTGAAGTCTCGAACCTGAATAAGAAGATACAGAGTCTGCAGACAGAGGTCGATGCGGCTAAACAGCAGCATGAAAGCGAACTCGCGGAGCTTAAATCGACCAACACATCTCTCCAGACTGAGCTTGACTCAATAAAACAACAATACGAAACCCAAGTCACGGAGCTCAAGTCTAAGAATGAATCACTACAATCAGATCTTGACTCTGGGAAACACCAGCACGATGCGCAGCTTGCGGAGCTCCAGTCTAAAAACAAGTCTTTACAATCAGAGCTTGACACTGGGAAGCAACAGCATGAGAGTGGAGTTGCGGACCTCACGTCTCGGAACGAGTCCTTGCAAAAAGAGCTCGATGCTGTCAAAAAGCGGAACGAGTCCGAGGTCGCAGACCTCAAATCTACTAATGAGTCATTACAGTCCCAACTTGACGCAGTTCAGAAGGCTTCTACGCAGGACACTCAAGCTGTGCATGATGATTACTCCTCTAAGTTCTCTGCTTTAGAGAAACGGGCGGAAGAGGCAGAAAAGAAAGCCAAGGATTCTACGCAGGAAACTCAAGATGTGCATGACGACTACACCTCTAAGATCTCTGCTTTAGAAAAACGGGCGGAAGAGGCTGAAAAGAAAGCAAAGAAGACCGAAGACGATGCACGTAAATCTGCCGAGACGCTTAAAGAGGCCCAGAATGCCCTCGAGAAAGCCAAGTCGGAAGCCAAAGAAAAGGAAGAAGCCCGCAATGCAGCGCAGACTGAACTTGAGGATCTACTTATTGTATTTGGTGACCTGGAGACCAAGAGAAGTGAGGATAAGGTGAGTCTGCCCATTACGCGCGAGAGCTTATACCGTTTGCTAACCTCATTTATTAGAAACGCCTCAAAGATCTCGGACAGGAAGTCTCAGATGAAGAAGACGACGATGAAGATGAGGACGAGGATGAAGATTAGCGCGGACGACTCGAATAGTTCTTTGAATATACATACAAGCTATACAATTTGCATCTTTGATTTCGATTGACTTAGAAATACTATTTACTCTCATGCAGAGATTCTCGATTAAAACAAAATGGTCCGCTGAGACAAGCTCCTTTGTTTGATTCATAGATAGCTCCACTAATCTCAAGCACTATTACTCACTCCTTCCTGCATCGCCAGATAGGATCTACTTCTATCTGCCTTGTTGCTTTTGGCATGCAACCCTACCAACATGATTATGGCTGTTCTTGCTTCATAGAAGTCCAGGTACATACATATGATATTCTGGGTCTGTCGCCTCTGACTCACAATTCCAACAATCCAAACTGCCGTAACCCTATCCCATTGGGAGTAAGGGAATATGCACGGTTCATACTATACGCCCTGTGGCGGCCAAAGGGCGTGGACTAGTGGGCGCCTAAGGCAGAAGTGCTGCTACGGAACACCGCAGCGACCAAGTCGGCAGTCCGGCGCGGGGTGACTCACTTGCCGATTTCTTTTTTATCTACCCCGCGGTTCTCTCCCTCCCTTGAAGATCGCCAACGAGTGCAGTTTGACGACAGCTCCCCCGCCCGTCATGTCTATCGATTTCCCTGCCGAGGAGGTGAACATCCTCACCAGGTGGAGGGAGATCAATGCCTTCAGAAGGCAGGTCGAGCTCTCCCAGGGCCGCAAACCTTATACTTTCTACGATGGCCCTCCGTTCGCGACCGGTATGCCTCACTATGGTCACTTGCTGGCTTCCACCATCAAGGATATTATCCCCAGATATTGGTCTATGAAGGGTCACTATGTCGAGCGTCGATTCGGCTGGGATACCCACGGTGTGCCGATCGAATATGAGATCGACAAGAAATTGGGCATGTCGGGCCTGGAGGCTGTTGAAAAGCTCGGAATTGAAAAATACAACGAGGAGTGCCGCGCCATTGTCATGAGATATGCTTCGGAATGGCGTGAGACTATCGATAGACTGGGTCGTTGGATTGATTTCGACAATGACTACAAGGTAGGTTTCCTATCCCGTTTCTTATTTATGTTGTGGTCGGGACAAGGCGAAAAGATACCCTTCCCCTCAGAGAATAGTTTCCACGATGTTTGAACATCAACTAATAGACTTCTTTTGCATCTGCATAGACTATGAACACGGATTTCATGGAGTCTGTTTGGTGGGTTTTCAAGCAATTGTTTGATAAAGACCTTGTCTATAGAGGATACCGCGTCATGCCCTACTCGACCGCTCTCAACACCCCCCTCTCCAACTTTGAAGCTCAACAGAACTACAAGGATGTGCAAGACCCTGCAGTTGTCGTAACTTTCCCCCTGGTGGATGACCCCGAGACTTGCTTGCTCGCATGGACCACCACCCCTTGGACCCTTCCTTCGAATACCGGTGTCTCTGTCAACCCCAACTTCGAATATATCAAGATTCTTGATGAAGCTTCCGGAAAGCATTACATTCTCCTTGAATCGCTGCTCCGAACCCTTTACAAGGACCCCAAGAAGGCCAAGTTCAAGATCGTTGATCGTCTTAAGGGATCGGCGATGAAGGACTGGAAGTATGTTCCTCTCTTCGATTACTTCTACGAGGAATTCAAGGACCACGGGTTCCGCGTCTTGAACGCTGAATACGTCACGGCTGATGACGGTACTGGTGTCGTCCACCAGTCCCCTGCTTTTGGTGAGGACGATTACAGGGTCGCCATGGAGTCTGGCGTTATCGACGAGAAGCGTAACCCCCCTAACCCCGTCGATGAGCGCGGCATTTACACGGCCGAGGTTCGGGATTTTGCTGGTCAACATGTCAAGGCTGCCGACAAGGCCATCATCAAGCACTTGAAGGGAACTGGCCGCCTGATCGTGGATAGCCAGATCACTCACAGTTACCCATTCTGTTGGCGTTCGGATACCCCGTTGATCTACCGGGCCGTCCCTGCCTGGTTCGTCAAGATCCCTCAGATCATCCCTCAAATGCTCGAGGGCATTGAGGGCTCTCACTGGGTGCCCTCTTTCGTCAAGGAGAAGCGGTTCTCCAGCTGGATTCAAAACGCCCGAGACTGGAACGTCTCTAGAAACAGATTCTGGGGTACACCGCTCCCCCTGTGGGTTAGTGACGACTTCAAGGAGGTTGTGGCTGTTGGCAGCGCCGAGGAGCTCAAGAAACTGAGCGGCTACCAAGGCGAGCTCACAGACCTTCACCGTGATAAGGTCGACAACATCACCATCCCGAGCAAGCAAGGCAAGGGCGAACTTCGCCGTGTTCCTGAAGTTTTCGATTGCTGGTTCGAATCGGGAAGCATGCCGTACGCCTCGCAACATTACCCCTTCGAAAACAAGGAGCAATTCGAGCAGAGCTTCCCTGGTGATTTCATCGCCGAGGGACTGGATCAGACTCGTGGATGGTTCTACACCTTGACTGTCCTGGGTACCCACCTCTTTGGCAAACTGCCGTTCAAGAACTGTGTCGTCAACGGAATCGTCCTTGCTGAGGATGGCAAGAAGATGTCCAAGAGATTGAAGAACTACCCCGATCCCTCCTTGATCATGGATCGGTATGGCTCGGATGCTCTCCGACTGTATTTGATCAACTCTCCCGTTGTCCGCGCAGAACCCCTCCGTTTCAAGGAAACGGGTGTCAAGGAGGTTGTTGCCAAGGTCCTTCTCCCTCTGTGGAACAGCTACAAATTCTTCGAAGGCCAGGTCGCCCTTCTCAAGAAGACCGAGAACATCGACTACGTGTTCGATCCCAAGGCAGAGGCCACTAACACCAATGTTATGGATCGCTGGATTCTGGCCAGCTGTCAGTCTCTTCTCAAGTTCGTGAATGAGGAGATGGCCGGGTATCGCCTGTACACCGTCGTTCCTCGCCTGCTTGGACTTATTGAGAACACCACCAACTGGTACATCCGGTTTAACCGGAGACGTCTCAAGGGTGAGAACGGCGTTGACGATACCTTGCACGCCTTGAACACCTTGTTCGAGGTTCTCTACACCCTGGTCAGAGGACTCGCACCTTTCACACCTTTCATCACCGATACCATCTATCTGCGACTCCTTCCCCACATCCCTGAAGCGCTCCGCGGCGAAGATAGCCGAAGTGTTCACTTCCTTCCTTTCCCCGAGGTGCGTGAGGAGCTCTTCGACGAGGTTGTCGAGCGGAGAGTGGCCCGGATGCAGAAGGTCATTGAGATGGGTCGTACCTCCCGAGAGCGTCGCATGGTCGGATTGAAGACACCTCTGAAGTCGCTCGTTGTGATCCACCAGGACCAGCAGTATCTGGACGACGTCAAATCCCTCGAAGGCTACATCCTTGAGGAACTGAACGTCCTTGAAGTGATCTTGTCTACGGATGAGGCGAAGTACAACGTCCAGTACAGTGTTACTGCTGACTGGCCTACTCTTGGAAAGAAACTGAAGAAGGACGTTCAAAAGGTTAAGAAGGCTCTCCCCTCTTTTACCAGTGAGGACGTTAAGAAGTATGTGGCCGACAAGAAGATTACCGTTGACGGCATTGAGCTTTTCGAGGGTGACCTGGTTGTGAAGCGCGGTATCAAGGAAGTCCCATCTTCCCAGGGTATGGAGCCTAACAACGATGTGGACGTGATGACCATCCTGGATGTGAACCTCTACCCGGAACTGGCGCATCAAGGATTGGGCCGCGAGATCATCAACCGCGTGCAGCGTCTTCGTAAGAAGGCTGGTCTGGTCCCCACCGATGACGTGGTCATGGCTTACACAGTCCTCTCGGACCCTGAGAACATCGGTCTCAACGATGCTTTTGACTCGCAGTCTGGCGCCATCGAGAAGGTTTTGCGTAGACCGCTCGACCGACAAACGCCTGTTGACGGCAAGGCCCCCAGCGGTGATGAGGACCGCGTGATCATGCAGGAAGAGCAGGAAGTTCAAAAAGCGACGTTTTTGTTGAAGCTGCTTAAGCTTTAGACTTTCGGTTTATGTTTGAATGTGCGACGTGAACTAGTTCTTTTCATTTAAAATTTTTCGTATACAGCTCTCAAGAAATAGCATTATATCTATAAAATCTAGAGATTATCATCTTCTATGACCTTATCATTGCATCGTAATCATGTAGTACTACCGTTCCAGGTTGTTTTGGACCAAAGTACACTTAGAAAAAAAAGGAAAATAGAATGAAAATAGAAGTGAACATAAAAAGAAAGAAATCACCGAGGCACCTGACCGGTACAACCGCCTTGACTCCAGAGTTTCAATACCTGTACATGCATCTGCCTTGTTCCACCTTTTTAACCCTTCTTCGCCGCAGCCTGAGCAAGCAAGTCGTGGTTAGCATGATTCCCGGACACGCAATTGCATATTACGATCCCTTACCAGGAAACAGTCTTTCAGCTTCATGAACTCTTTAGCACACATGTCTTTATGCACCGATTTGTAGTCAGCAACAATACAGTTGCCATATGCAGCCGCCTGGAAGTCAAGTCAACATGCATCCTCTCAAGCAAGGCAGGTCAGTGGAGAACGGAGCATACCTCGGTAGAGCACTTCGAGGTGGCCTTTGCAAATTTCTCGATCGGTCTCGTTCGTGTCGACGCCATTTTCACGCTGATAGCTCCAACGGAGTAGGAAGTGATGCAATACTAACGACGCTCAGAAATGGCCTCCCCCGGCGGTGTTACCTAAGCAGATCACATGACCCGCACATGCCCATGCCGTCTTTGGTTCGGCGCGACACGAGCAAAACAAATCCATCGAGGCTGCTCCGGCCATTGTTTCCTGCGCTGCGATCGGTTTGCGTCTTTGAATTCTCCCCTGGAATCGCGGCCCGGAGGAATCGCACGCTTCTAATCTTGCGAATTGCCGCTTGCGCTTTGCCTCGCAATGGTTGATATCCTTTCCCGCCTCCATGACCTACTTGCGAAAAACGCGCCTTAGGTCGTGGATATTTCGATGCCTCCCGTTTCCCGTCAGCGTAGACCTGTGTCCTACGAAGACCCGTCGCTTTCTGATGAAGGTGTGTGATTGCGCTGTTTATTTTGCTTGCGCCCCATGATTTTTGTCCCTCTTTCAGGCTACCAGCAGGAGACTAACATTGCTTGTACCATAGATGTCGGCCTTCTCTTTCAGGTTATCACCCGCGCCGAGCGGAGCCCAGAAGTCGAGCGCCTCCCTTTCAGAGTTCTCTTCCAAGCATACGACGAGGTCATTGCAGAACATGGCGTGGACGCGGATCCGGGCTATGCCTGCATGCGATTCTTGCTCAAGATGGGCAAGAAGAACATCGTAGGCGATACGCTTTTTGACAAATTTGAGAATCTGCTGGAACGGAATGGAATAGTAATAGAATTCGGCGGGGGTAATGATGACGACAATGATGAAGAAAACGAAACTTATGAAGATAGTGCACCGGTGGTGGATGGTCGACTTCGAGCGAGGGTGGACCGGGATAGTGTGCCTAGAGATGACACTACACAAACAATCCGACGAAGACGAGCTTCCTTCAATTCGATGTATGATGTTGGCGACGACCCCACACAACGAAGCCTGCTCAATCGGCCAAGCTCACGCTCGTCGCTATCTCGTCTGCCCCTTGAGAAGCCCGATTTCAAGGATCATCAGCAATCACCACCAAGAAACACGACGACCAAGAAACAGCCGAGTTCTCCGGATAGAACCCAACTGATGGCACAGTTCATAGATGTGGGACGTCGCCTGATGAGCAGAATGGATTTTTTGGACCCAGAAAAGAATCAAAAGCCTGCCTCCAATGGCGTCGAAGCCAGATCTGCAGTTGATGAAGACCGCTCAAAGAGAATCGCAGAAGTCTCACAATCACGCCGTCGGCGGCGCTCGCCGAGCCCAAAGGATTCGGATGAAGATGTGGAAGATTCGTCGGCTTCGGATGACCCAAGTGAGACCGTTGACCGACCTGAGATTCCGCTCGAAATGTTATATCGGCCGTCGCTGTCAGACCTGCTACGAGATGCATCGACATTCAATATGTACCGTCAGCGAGCCATCAATCGCCGCATCATCACCCAATGGCTGAAAAAGGCGATCCAGACGCGACAGAGCCATCAAAACATGGAAGTGGTTGCTGTCAATCGGGATCGTCTTACTCTTGTTCGCCAGGCGTTTGATACGTGGCACACTATCATTCAGAGGAAACGGCAAGCAGAGCGGACGGAGAGGTTCTTTAAACACTTAGAAGAACGAGCCGGAAGGGCTAGAGACCTCTATCTCATGACCAAAGCTTTCACCCATTGGGCCCAAGTGTCTTCCGAAGAGATTGCGAGAACGTCCGCGGCGCGACATCACGTCCTCGGTGTCAAGTACTTTAATGCGTGGCGTGAGATAACTGCGGTCAATGAACTCAAGGCGCAGAGATTCGCATTGCGAAGGCCCTTCAATGCTTGGAAGAAGAAGCTTCATCAGGTCAAAGAAGCAGAACAAAAGGCAGTGGTCAGATGTAATCAACAATCCACGCATAATGTTTATTGGCAATGGTTCTGGTGTTTCTGCGAACGACGCGCTCCGCAGTGGTACGATAACTGTTTAAAGAGGCGGTCGCTGTTGTACTGGTTACGGAAATTTCGAAACAACAGAGAGCGGATCCATGAGATTGATCTAAAGAATAAGCACAACGCGCTCGCCTTGACGATGCATACTTGGGCTCAGCGATCGAAGGCCATCGCCGCTGGCCAGCAGGAAGCAGTCTCCCGAGAGCGCCGGCAGCTTTTGGAGGATAGTCTTGGGGAATGGAGGGTCCAGTGTCAACTTGCTCCGGCCGCGTCTCGTGTTGCGGGCATGGTTGACATTCGCATCGTTAAAACGGCCTTTGGACAATGGGTGAAACGAGCCCAAATGGTGACACAAGCAAGGGAGCTGAATCGACAAAGGCTCGTACGCAATTCGTGGACTTCGTGGAACGATCTGCTCCGATGCCAGGCTCTTAGTGCGCGAATCGAGGAGCGCCTGAAGATGGAAACCATGTACAAATGGATCCTGGCAGAGCGGTTCCGGCTAATGCAGCGCATTCGGGAGCAACGGATTACACGCGATGTATTCTCCACGTTCGTTACTAACGTTCGGAGGACGTATTCTCGACTACTCGATAAAGCAGAACGACATGAGGACCACCGAAACGAAGAGCTTCTCCGGTCGAAATTCACCCTATGGCGCGACCAGCTCTCCCTCCAACATCAGCGCGATGTCGTTGCCTTCGAATTTTATGCACCTCGTTTGGCGCAGGAGTCACTCGTGGCATGGCGATCGAAGCTTGACAACGTAGCGAAGCTTGACGGATGGGCCCGCGATGCACAATTCTACTTTGGTTCAACAAGGGCACTGAAAAAGTGGCGAGTAGCAACGGTGGAAGCTGCGAAGCGGCGCCGTCAAGATGCCTACGCGCAAACCCGGAGAAAGATCAAGATTAACCTCGCTTCAAGAGTCTTGGATTCTTGGAGTATCAAAGCCCAGCACGTCTCTGAATTAGAGCAACGGGCTCTGCAATTCAGCCGAAGAAAGTCGCTGGAACTGGCATCAGGATTTTTAGGCCGGTGGCACGAGAAAACTCAGAAACAAATAGAGGATACAACAAGTGCCGACACCTACTATTTCCGACGCATTGCCTATAATCAACTGATACGGTTAGCTGAGGTCCTGATAGAATGGCATCGCATGAGAGAACAGGCGGATGGCGTGTATCACCTGCATGTCCTGGCCCAGGCCAACACCCATCTCCGGAAGCTCAGCCTGCGCGTTTTCCAGATCAAGAGCTCTGCCGAGACTGCGGGCGCCATGAGAGAGCGAAGTCTAAGGAGACATTCAAGGGGCATGTTCCGTCACTGGCTTGATAAGACTCGAATGAATATCGAAGCTCGCGACTCTCCTGGGCCCCTTATGAGCCCTGCGAAGACCTTTGACGGAGCCGGTCGAACAGATCAAGCAATATTTGATCCTTGGTACCAGTCCGAGACACCCTTCAAGCTCGGTGACTTTGTCGGCGGCTCTCCGGCTCCTTCTCCCAACCCGCTGGCTACTCCCAACAATTTGACTTCACCCTCTAAGCGGGCTGCGCGCGCGAGGACACTAGCCCAGGTGTCCACCACGCCTGCCACCCCGTTGCAGACGCCGTTTGCGAGTCGGCTCCTACGTGCCAGGACGAACTCAGCTGTCCCCAAGACCGCCTCGAGCAAACGACCTCGCAACGGCCGGGCCAGCTCCCTAGCGACCAGCGTCCGGTTCGTCGACGAGGCACCGGAATCACCTACGGACGGTAGGAGATCATCCGGACGACGGATGTGACATATTCCAATATTTTTGACACGTGTGAATGCCATTCTGTATCTTCTTAGCTTTAGACTTGGGATGGGCGTATTGTGATACCCTTTCGCGTTGTTCCGACGACCTGTATTCTGCAGCAGTGTAAACTGGTGTTATGTTATCTGATATCATTTCTGTTCTCTCAGTCATGACAATCTTGTGTATATAAAGTAGTATTCTTAATCATGCAAACTATATTCTTTAACGATCAGTCCGGGGTCGATGATCGCATGCCGCAGTCACACGACGGAAGGCGGCGCGGCGGCCACAACGTAATCGATCTGAACACCTCCGAACTTCTCCAAGTCAAAGACTCGCTCTCCCGAACTCCCACGTCGCTCGTGGCGCAGCCGATTTCTTTCATTCGCTTTTTAGTACAATAACTTTTTGTTTCGCCTGTTTTATCTCTCTGGGCCTGGCAATGGTGTAACTCCGTCTTTAGCGCAGTCAGCGTCCGACGTCAGCGACCAGAAACCACCGTCTCTATGCGAGCGGTACTGCCGGGGAGACCCCCGACGAAGCTCCAGTCTTTCAGCACCGCGCTGTGGGATGGTCTTCGCGTTGTGGTATGATTGCTTTCCGGCGACCCCTCTCTTGTTTATTCCGCATATTGTTCTTCCGATTGCTAATGCAATGCTCTCTGTTCTACACAGGTGTACATTTCCGGCCATGCGCTGGTTATCCTCGGCGGCCCGCACAAGCTCCTCCAAACCATCTACGTCGACGACACCGACGCCCTGGAGGCGGTGACTATCGACGAGACCTCCGGCAAGATTGCAGTGTGTGGCGGACCCGATGTCTTCATTTACCAACCGTATGGAATCCTAGACGAAACGCTAAAGGTCCGTGTGTCTTCCATGGGACTTGATCAGGGGATAGTGATGGTCGTTCTGCGTGAAAGGCGGAATTGAGAGCCGATTATGAAAAACAACGGTGCTGATGAGGGATATATATACTCTAGTGGTCTCTCGTTCATACCTTTCGCTGCGACGATGACGACGAACCGATCCGCACGCTATCGTGGGGCTCTCCCGACGAGTTGCTCCTGGGGAATTCGCACCTCACGCTTTGGTTCCTGAATGACGCGCCGCGCGAGATGTGGAAGCAAAAATTGGCGACGCCGGTAAAATTTGCGCAATTCTCGCCCGACGCGGCCCTTGTCGTGACGACGGGTCACTACGACCGACTGGTTAAGGTGTGGCGGCGCTTGTCGTTTGGGGCCGATGATGTTCGCTTCGAGGTGTCATATCTGTCGCATCCTGCGGTTGTGACGGGAATGCATTGGCGCAAACCATATCATCGAGAACAATCTATGGATAATGCGTTCTATACGTGGTGCGCGGACAACAAGATCAGGGTATGGGCGGCTGTGGACCATCATGCTCCGTCTGCATTACAGCTATGGACTCAGATTGACATGGGCGCTTCGGTTCAACCGCGGCACGCAACGGATGAGAAAGGGCCGGTCCGTCGCTATGGATTTGTGGTTGATAGTCGGGACTTTTGTGTCGCTACCGAACGTGCAGTGCAGCGAAGTACAGGGAACAAGGGGAACCACGCACTGGAGCACATTATCGAGGTCGCAAACAAGAGCCCGGAGATCTGCGTGGTGATCGATGGAGAGGGTCATATGTCCGCGTGGGCTTTGGAAGATGTAGGGTCCAAGGCCAAGTCGGAATTGAATATCTTCAACATCCTCCACGTGGAGGGCTTGGATTTCTCGTTTATGAATGGGCTTTCTGCGGAAGAGGATTATGTCCAGATGAGTGCCTTCCAGAGCATATCGTCAAGCGACTCAATATCTGTGCTTGTACATCACTTCGATGGCCGCATTGAGTGGTTTGACTCCCACGTGGATGTATTATTTGATCCGGCTCCGCGCAAAAACCGGGCGAGCAAGAAAGCATCCTGGACTGGACACAATGGATCGATTAAGAAGATTGTCCGCAATGCAATCGGAAACACTCTTGTCTCGCGCACCGATGACAATAAAGCTATGATCTGGCGGCAGAAGCGGAGGGAGAGCGGATCGACTCTTGTCCGCCGGAGCTCGTTGTTCTCAGACGAGCACATCCATCGCAGTTGCGTGGTCGAAGACGGAGACTTCTTGGTAAATCTCCACCATAAGGGAATCTCGGTCTGGGATATTCGCTCCTTCCATGCTAAGAAACTGGCGTCATCGACATTCGAGCTCTCTAGCAAACCGCTTTGTGTTCTGTCGATTCCCGCCGCGCAGAACGGCTCCGACATGGTGTATATCGCGACGATCGGAGCGGATATGAAAGGAATTGCCTGGGAAATCCGGCTTCCGACCTCGAAATCGCAGGTAAATGGCGGGACGCACGATCCCCGAAGCTCTTTGAGAAAGTTCTGTGACTTTGATTTGGGCCTCAACGAGGACGTGTCTTATATTTTGCCCGTCGACCCAGCAGGTCCGAAGGCCGAGAGATCGGGCTTTTTCGATCTTTTCTCGCCAGACATTGCGCTGTCATACACCAGCACTGGTGTTCTTCACACTTGGACTGCCAAGGTTGACAAGCAAAAGCAGAAAGTTGACTGGCTGCTTACATCAACAGTTGAAACAGGGATTATAAACCCGTCTCTTGCTAGTGGAAGCTCTATCAGGAAAGCCGCGCTTGTAGATGAGGATCGCACTCGCCTGACCATCTGGGACACGAATGGCGCCCAGCTAGAGTTCGAGGAGCATTTCTCCTCCCAGGATGTCATCCGGGATCTTGACTGGACATCTACTCCGGACATGCAGTCCGTTCTTGCCGTTGGCTTCCCCCATAAGGTCGTGCTACTATCACAGCTTCGCTACGACTACCTGGACGCGCGACCGTCCTGGACTCAAATACGAGAGATCTGGATCCGTGATCTCACTCCCCATCCGATCGGCGATTCATGTTGGCTCAGCAATGGCCATCTTGTGATTGGGGCCGGGAATCAACTATTTGTGTACGACAACGACATCGATGTCTCCGATCGAGTGGTCTCTCAGCTCCGTATCCCTTCACGGGGCCTCTCCTCGGTTGATTTGTTCGAGGTGGTGAGCCGGTTGAATGGTCCTCTGCCGGTTTTCCACCCCCAGTTCCTGGCACAGTGTATTCTCAGCGGAAAGAGTAACCTTGTACATTCTATCTTATTGAGCCTTCACCGAAAACTGAAGTTTTACACGGAAGGCGATGATATTGACAGTTTCTTGGAAATGCCTCTGGAGGATTTCTACCGGGAACACGATGTGAGTAGCGATGACAGGGGGCTGAGGATAATCGCTAATATTCGCACAGACACCGCAGAAGGCATCATCGAAGGAGCTACACTCCTCATATGCGGACCTCAGTCTAGAGGATGAGGCCTCGGTCATTGATGAAAATACTGCGACCTTGCTCAATGAAAATCTAGTCCGGTATGCTCTGCCGCAGCTTACCAGTCAGGAGCAGTTCCGCCTGGCAGACACTGTTGAGTGCGTAGCCACGGTTGAAAAGCACCGGCGTTCCATGGATGATAATGCCGCGCGCTATTTACTATTCTTCCGACAGCATATGCTGCGCAGGACGCAGGGCGTCGCCAATAAAGACACGGTTTCATGGCGAGAAATTGTTTGGGCCTTCCATAGCGGCAGCCAGGATATTCTTCTCGACCTTGTGTCCAGACAGTTTGGCGGCAAGGTCCTCTGGAAATCAGCCAGAGAAAGCGGGATTTTCATGTGGTTATCGGACCCTACAGCCATTGTAAGAAGTTTTGAGAACATTTGCAGCTTGAGTTTATGATCTGACAAGATGACTAGCGCGCCCAACTGGAAATTGTAGCTCGGAATGAATATACGAAAACGGAGGAGAAGAACCCAATCGATTGTTCGCTCTTCTACCTCGCACTGAAGAAGAAGAACATTCTTCAGGGTCTCTGGCGCATGGCTTCCTGGAACCGAGAACAAGGCGCTACGCAGCGGCTGCTAGCGAACGATTTCCAGGACCCTCGATGGAAGACGTCGGCTTTGAAGAACGCGTACGCTTTACTGGGCAAACGAAGGTTTGGTAGGTGGTTCTATTGATTTCGACTGTTTATTAACTTTTGTTGGTCTGGTCTAACACTTGCTTTAGAGTACGCTGCAGCGTGGTTCCTCCTTGCAGACCATCTGCGTGATGCGGCTCAGGTCTGTATGAACCAGGTGGGCGATCTGCAGCTCGCCATAGCGATCACACGCGCCTACGAAGGAGATGACGGGCCCGTCCTGAAGGAACTACTGGAAGAACGAGTGCTTCCCGAAGCTGCTGCGGATGGAAATCGATGGATGGCCTCGTGGGCTTTCTGGATGCTCGGCCGCCGGGATATGGCAGTGCGTTCACTTATTGTAAGATTCCAGACCTTTGTGATGTGAGGAGCACCAGACTAATGATAAAAAAAAACCAGTCCCCCGTTGAGGCTCTTCTCCCTTCAACGCCCGCCTCTCCAGGCAGTCCTGGATTGATTCCATTGCAAGCGAAATCATACCTTTCCAACGATCCCGCGTTGGTGGTGTTATATACCCAACTCCGGGACAAGACACTTCAAACTCTCAAAGGCGCGTCCAAGGTCTCTGCTCGGTCCGAGTGGGAGTTTATCTTGCGCAACGCTCGCCTCTACGATCGCATGGGATGTGATCTTCTCGCCCTTGATCTCGTCCGCCATTGGGAGTTCTTGGGCGAGCCCACTCCCCCGGCACCGAAGGAAACCGCGCTGGACCTACATGAAAACGCAGTGGATTACCGCAAGATGCTTCGCCGACGAAGCAGTCTCGTGGTGGCGGACATGCCCATCAAGCCTGGACTTCCGCAGGCTCCTGAAAGTCCGCAGAAACCGAAACCCAAGCCGCCTCCGACGACTTTCCATGAACCCGATGCCAACTCGCTTCTCGACAGTTTTGGATTTTAGGCGGATTGATTGCGTGCATGTTTTCTCAAGGCAGGCTGTCTTGATTTTCTCGGGCTCTTTGTTCAGTTGACCATGTTCTTTCTATCTAGGTGGTTTTATCTTGCATATAGGTAGCTGTATACTATGAGCGTCTGATGATGGGAAGGCCAATTTATTGATTGATTGATCCATTCATTGATACTTATTAATTAATTAATCTAGTTCGGTATATTTTTCAACTGCTCAAGAACATCCAGATATAAAATCAAATCAAGCACAAGCAAATCCCCAAAAACCCAGATCCATCCCAACCCCGAAATCTAGCCCGAGTGAAACGTCCAAAACCTCAAATGTATGGAAGCATTTCACATCCCTTCTAAAAGATCGGCAACTTCGTCCTCCTCTTTCCTCCACTCAACCTGCCCTTCTGATTCTTCCCGTGAGTGGCCGGCACCGTCGAGTTCGCCAAACCCCCATGCTTGGAGTCGTGCGTCCAAGGCTTCTTCTCATCTTCATTTTCATCATCATCATCCTCATCTTTATCTTCATGCTTATCCTCCTCGACCTCACAACTCAACTTCGCCCACACCAACTCAAACGCCAAAAACTTCCTCCTCACACACCCACTCTCCACGCTCCTTTCCCCCTCATCGATCTCCAAGTCAAACACCGGCTCCTGCTCACAGCCAGGCAACTCATGGACTGTGATCTTGCACTTCTCCTTCCCCTCCTTCTTCTTGGAATGACCGCCCCTCAACGGACGAGGATGCGGGTGCTGAATACTCGCCGACACAGAGAAATGGTCTACCAGAAGAGACGAGTACTCCAGCGGCACGGGGAGGCCGACGCACACGTTTGGTCGAAGCGGCACGGTGCTGCTGATATCGAGGTGCGGGCTGAAGTCGAGACTTTGGGATCTGTCGTCGCTGGAGAATGAGAGGCTGGGCGAGGGGTCGTACTCGAGGGCGCTGTTTCTGCGGTCGTCTGTTGTGTCGGAGGGGCAGTTTGGGGAGAAGGTTGCTGTTAGGAGGGCGGTGGTGTGTGGTTGGAGGAGATCTGAGGCTGGTGCGGATGTTGCGAGGGGGAGGAGGATTGAGAGAGGGAGAATGAGGTGCTGGTTGGTTTGTTAGTTTGGGAAGGGCTTGGTTGGGGGTGTAGGACTGTACCTTTGGTTGAAGCATTTTCGGGCCGGTGTTGGAGTTGTTTGTATGTTTAGGATATGGAAATGAGTTCAATGGAAGATATATGCAGTACCGAGAGTCAAGTCCGTCCAAAGACAAGGTAAGATGGCAAGCACAGGTCGAGTAACGAGTAAAGTGTTCGATATGTAGACAAAGTTGAACCAGAAAGCTATACACAACCCAAGAGACCACCATCCCATATTTATACACCTCTCACCCACCCTCACTAGCCATCAAATTAATTCCCAGCATCTCCCACTCTCCTATCCCCAAGCAAGAATCCCCCAGCCCATTATACAAACTGCGAAGCTTCCAAAAAAGAAGCTGATCGTCACACATCACCCAGAGCCGACATTCTTGGGCTAGGCGGGCGGCGGTAAAGATCGACAGCCATAGCATTCCAGAGGTGCCAAAAAGAGTAGAGATGGCGCGTTGAATGTTGATGTGTGGTGATTCTTGTCATGATGGCTTTGGGAAACTGAAAGGGCGCGTCGGTGGTAAATTTTTGGGCGTTGTTGTAGCTTTTTATGGACTTTGGCCCTCCTTGGGGGTGGTCCTTCCTTTCTTTCTAAATGGTTTGTGAGGTGCTGAGTGGTGGAGGTTGGGTATGTTGGCCAAAGCTTGGTGAAGGACTTGGTATGTGAGGCCTTTTGGGTGCCTAGGGGGCTTGGGGGACTTGATTGCTCGAACAGACTTCTCCTAGATGATACCGAGAGGGATTGTATCTCCGTGGAGGGTTGGTCTGTTCATGATGGTCTACTGCTATTGACTTGCTACATCTGAGTTTTACTTGGGAGCACGGTAAGAGGTGATCTCAGGACAGAGTTGAGTATAATTCCAAAACAGAGTATCAGAAAATAAAGATATAGAAATTAAGAAACATTTTATGAATACAATCTCGCGACCACCTTCCCATCCATTACAGTATCCCTCCTCCTAATCCAATCCCATGCTAACCAACAACCTCTAATCCTTCTCACAGTAAAGCTTGAGCGAGAGGTGTCGCCCGTAGTGCACATCCGAAAAGCACGGAGTCTGGATGTGGTGATCTTTAGGGTGGATAGGCACGATCATGTCGGGGTAGCCGACACACTCGTCGTTGCTGAAGATGCCCACGCCGTGGCAGTCGAACGTGGCATCCTTGGTGATGGCCTCGACGGAGAGCGAGTACGCGTCGATCGCGAAGCTGTGTTTCGTCGACACCTTAGTGCAGGTGTCTGGCGTAAGGGCCGTGGCCTCAGGCTTGTCCAGGGGCTGGTTGGGCCAGTCGCCGGGGTGGCAGCCCTCGTGTTCGCTCAGGTGTGCGGTGAACACGCCATAGCCGTATACGGCTGAAGGAGCGAGGGCCAGAGCAGTGGCAACGAGCTGGGGATGGTTAGTTGAACGATACTCTTGTCAAGAACGGTGAGATCGAGCAAGAAAGGGAAACTCACGCTAGTAAAACGCATCTTGATGGATGAATAAAGGAATGGAAGGTCTTTGGCCGGACTGGTAAGGAGCGGAGTGGTGCTGAGTGGAATTGGTTGCTGAGAAGATGGAGTCAAACGCTACTCCATGCACCGATGGCGCGAGCCTTTTTATGTCCGGGCTATGGAACCCATCGACGCGTTTCTCGACTCCATGCCTTTCGCGTGCCCCAGATCAACAGCTCTGCGGCGCATGGAATGTAGGAGCGCATCTGAGGCATCCTCGATTTTGGCAACAATGGGCGGGTGATAATGGAATGTGAGGCCGAGAGCTTGCAAAATAATAGATATGGAATTGATCGGCAAATGACCATCCAGGTACCATTTTCGTCTTGGCAGTCAACTCACCTGGCTCGTGGATGTGCGACCAAGGGGCATGCGATGCTGTATGCAAGGAGCGCACGCGTTCTGGATTCCTATTCCCCGAAGGCCCCAACACGACGCGTTTGGGATGCTCTCGCCCTTATTGCTTCAAAGGTGACCTTGTTCCTGAAATGCTTTGGTAAATTCCGGGGAATTAAGGACCAGCCTCTCTCATTAACAGGGACCGAGGACATTTCCCTAGATATCCAGTCGCCCTAGTTGTTTTCTTGTGGAGCGGGTTCAAGACGCGTCGGAGCGTTAGGGAGTCTATGATGTCGGTTCATTATCTGAATTTGAGATTCACTTTGACTGTTAATGGGAAGACCATGTTGAAAAGTGTCTTGCCAGGCCTAGAAAATTCTGGCAGAGGCTTCGGCATCTCATGAATTAAACTCACCAGACCCTGGCACCGACCAGCCAAAAGTATGTTCAGATGGAACCTTAGACGAGCTGGGATATACCTGTAGGTACTGCACTAACGACCGGGTACTGCAAGTCTTCCACCGCAAAGTCCCGATGTGCAAATGAACACCAGGCCACGGATTTGACGTAAGTGATCTTTGAAAGCGTCAGATAGCAACGGCGAGGCTCAGCCCCAATGAACTTGCAACAATGCGAACCGGGCTGCAGGTAAGACCGCCAGAGAAGAGGAGCAGACTCGTGCTGACCATCGATTCGTGGCGGATGATGACAGACCCACTGCTGTCGTTCAAAAGGCGTGGGGGATGTGGAGTTGTTTGGAGAAGTAGATCGATAACGGTCGCTTCGATTTAAAGGACTCGCTGGTCGCATCTTCCAATCCAACCCCTAAAGATCAATAACTCAATCGCACAGAATCCGTTATGACGAACCATCACATCGTATACCTTCAGGCCGATTTCATCAACGTTCCCGAATATGAACTCGCGGCCCCCAATACCTACACTCAGGCGATCTATCCCCAGACCTCACCCGCTGATCTCCATGCGCGCATCCACGACGCCACGATACTAGCTTTCTCGAGACTTCACATCGATGCGATTTCCCTGTCTCCGGAGGTAACGCCGCATCTTAAATTAATTGTTGTCGTGGCCACGGGGACCGACTGTGTGGACCTCGAGGCTTGCAAGAAGAGGGGCATTGCCGTGAGCAATTGTCCGTCAGCAAATTTCGAAGCCGTGTCGGAACATGCCATTGGAATGTATTTCGCTACAAGGCGCAAAATGCTGCCTTTACATTCGTTAACGCGCGATGGGCAATGGCCCCGACAGTCAACGCTCATGTATCAAGCTCTGGATCGCGACGGGGCGCCGCCTTTGACGTGTCAGGAGGAAGTAGTGGGTCTAATCGGTAACGGAACTGTAGGTAAGTACACATGTCTCTTTGCATTATTTATCACGCCTGTACAATTTTTCCCTGGTAGTTCTGACAGAGTGCAGGGAAAAGACTTGCCGAACTGGCACGAGGCCTGGGCATGAAAGTTTTGGTATCAGGGCGCAAAGAACTCGGCAATCATACCACCTTGAATGGAGTCGGTGGCATAGAAAGAACTTCGTTTGAGACGGTTATCAGGCAAAGCACCGTGATATTTCTCGCAGTCCCACTGACCGAGTCGACTCGGGATCTTATATCGACAAAAGAACTAGAAGCCATGTCACACCGCACGTTGGTCATCAATGTTTCTCGCGGAGGAGTTGTGAACGAGGAAGCTCTTGTCAAGGCCCTGAAGGAAGGCCAGATCGCAGGGGCAGCGACCGATGTCTTCAGCGAGGAACCGGCAGGGCCCAAGAATTCTCCATTGTTGAGGCCAGACACTCAAAATCTTAATCTGCTGGTAACGCCGCATCTGGCTTGGTTGGCCCAGAAGACAGTGGATAATCAGTCGCGAATGCTCAAAGAGGCCCTCGAAGGATGGGTCTCTGGTGCGCGATGTAATGTGGTTCTGTAGAGAATTATATGAAGTGAAATGGACCAGTAAATAAATGATTTTATCCAATTTGATTAACCATGACCATGAATAGATTTCAAGAGAGCAAGCGTTGTCTCATAACTTGAAACCTAACCCATCGCAGCCTTCAGTCCCTATCGCCGGCAGGAGAACTCTTATGTGCTCCCGTTTATCGGTGCATCATCGCCTATTTCGGCTTCAATCACGCTTAGCCCGTCTTCCATCGGAGTCCAGATCATGTTGATGGTGAGCCCATTCGACTCCAGGAGCTCCGTCCAAATGGACCGAGTGCGCTCCATGCCGCTGCAGAAGATCATCAGACCCATATCTGTCAGCGTGTGGCGAGAGCAAGCATTTTGATCGGAGAGGACATTATCTTCGATCAATACTTTCGAGTACCCTTTTCTCATAGCGGCCATCGTACGTTGCAAGATTATTCCGCAATTCTCATCGGACCAGTCATGCAGAACATGTTTGAGATAATATACACGGGCGCATGAATTCCAATCAAGGTTCAGTATAACTTAAGGGGATTCAATCAGTTTGATGTTATCAGACATACCTTGTATTGGTTGGGGCTGAAAAAAGTCGTGTTCAATCATTCGAATGTCAGGATCCAAATCATGTATATCCGCAAGCACGGAAGGCAGATCCTCTAGAACAAAAGACCCAGGAACTCGGGGAAAATTCTTCATGAATTCCAAAAGTTCATGACCTCGGCCTCCTGCAATGTCGACGAGGAATGCATCGCCCTGTTCGTCAGCTCCACCCACTAGGCGACTCTGAACTGGAAACCAGTCACTCCAATGGGGATGATCACACCGATTCCCCTCCATATAGGTATTGAAACGGTTGCATGCCTCTGGATTTTCGGCCAGCCAGTCCCAGGTTGATGATCCTGTTTTGAGGGTATATTGAAAGGGGCCATTGAAAGGATCGAGTGGGTTCTGGTAGTGGTTTTCTTGTAGAAACATCGGAGCTTTTTGAATAGTGGGCAGAAAATCCGCAAACCTAGGAGTCAAATAGATGAGCACATATGGAAGTCATGGCCTGGCGCTTTTGATTACAACGTACAGGCAATCTGGGATCCCACGGGACGTTCTCCGAGTCATCTGTTTCGAGAGTTGCGTTGGGAAATATTGACCAGGGCCACGCTCGCCTGCAAAGCCACCTATGACGACAGCTCGCATTATCCGCTCTATCGATGGTGAGTTGACAAGTCATGGCGGGCAATAGAGTATTCGACACTTCCTACCAAGAAGAAGTTTATCCACTTGTTTCTGGGCAGCGAGCTCACTACTTGCAACAAACGATGTTGTTTTGGCGAGAACTTCGAAGATTCCAATATCGCAGGCAATTTTGATGGCCATGAGGATCGTAGGCTTAGTTAGTGTTCAGAAATGATTAGTCAGGAGTCGGAAGAGCATGATACTATAATGCAATCGCACCGACAAAAAGAGCTGGTATACGGTGTCAGCCGGTTTCCTCAAGGCTCTGGTCAAGTCGTCCAGCTGCTTCAGAGTGCAAAGACGGTCTGTATCATTTCCGAGTGCCTGGTATCTCTTCAGGGAAGCAAACGCCGTCTCTGAGAGAGAAGAAATATCTTCAGTCTCGTTTGCATTCATGATGAATGTTTGATGGTTTGACCAACGCTGTATTAGCCACCTCAAGGGGGTTAGCGTGCAAGAACAGTTATGATCTGAAATAAAACGTTTGCGCCGGGACTATGAATATGTTGATGGCAAATGTTAACACAGCCACAAGTGTCAACGAAACTCTATCATCAGCTTTTAGGTGAAAGAAAAAGTCCATGCACTCTGGGTTTCCCCAATTGCTTTTTCAGGGTCTCCATCCCGGTTTCTATTTATTGGAAGTGTCAGCCCGTCTTGATGGTTTAGCAAAGACTGGTACTAAATCTTGATTACAAGACGTGGTAACTTGGAAGAAATTCTCCGGAGGTGGAGCCATCTTGAGTATAAATTCCTGTGATTCGAAGTAGCGCATGAGCTACCAAGAGTAATCGAAAGCCAGGATGGACGAGAGTTGAAGGATGAAGGATGGAGTCCATCCAGTTTCAACAGGTGAGAAGAGTAGAGCAAAGCAAACAAGACAAACAAAACGGGCAAACAGATTGATTACGTCACCGAGCTTATCTTATCGCGGCTGAGTAATGCGGCTGGGGTTGATCGGCGTCGTTGACTCCAACTCCTCCTCCTGCATCTCCTTGCGCCCACTGCCGTTCAATCTCGCTTCCTCTAGAATTATGGCACCCTGAGATCTGCCTCTCTGAAGCTCTTGTTTGGTAGCTGTTTCTGGGATGCAGGGTTGAGAAGTATCGCCGTGTTGCTGAAGGTCCGATGAATTACCAGTCTATCAGCATGCCGGGCAATGCCGCCAGTGGCCCTCGTTCCTTAAACATGGACCCCACAGATAGGTCTTCTTTGAGATCCTCCGATGAACGGCATCGAGCAGAATCCGACTACAACGATGGCGGTTTATCGTCGTCGGCGCCTGCGCCGCAGAGCTTTACCCCGCGGTCCCTCCTAGTGGGCTTGATCATCGGTGCCCTGATCACTTTCTCCAACACCTACTTCGGTCTGCAGACAGGATGGATTAGTACAATGGCTATGCCATCTGCGCTGATCGGATTCTCCGTCTTCAAAGTCCTGTCCAAATACCTGTCGTACCCATTCACTCCTATCGAAAACGTTCTCATTCAAACGGTGGCAGGCGCGGTCGGGACAATGCCGTTGGGTTGTGGATTCGTCGGTGTGATACCCGCGTTGGAATTCCTGTTGAGGGACGGAGAGGATGGGCCCTCTGGGGATGGAGGTACGGGAGAGGGAGGACCATTAGAACTCAGTTTTGGGAAGCTGGTCCTTTGGAGTTTGGGCGTGTGTTTGTTTGGTGTCGTCTTTGCCGTCCCACTGCGGAAAGAGGTGATTGTCCGAGAGAAACTCAAGTTTCCGAGCGGAACAGCTTCTGCACTGATGCTGAGGGTTCTCCATGGAAGTGGCCAGAGTGACGAGAAAACGAAGACTGGCCCCCGCCGATCTGAGAGACCCCAACGGGAGGAGGAGGAACCGCTAGTTGTTTCGCGGGATTCTGACGAGGTTGGGACACTGCTGAAACAGGATGATCCCGAAGATCATAGCGATGAGAAAAAGGATTGGCGATCGAAGATGCGCCTGCTGGTCGGAGCTTTCGCTGTTTCTGGTGTTTACGTGGGTTTCAACTGTTCAGGTACCTTCAAAAAATAACAGCTAACATCAGCAGACGCTATTTTCTTATTTTGTCCCGCAAGTACGTGATATCCCCATATTCGGGCTCTCTCTCGCCCAAAATTGGCTATGGACTCTCAACCCGTCTCCGGCCTATGTCGGACAAGGTATAATTATGGGCCCTTCGACGTGTATGCACATGCTATTTGGCGCTGTGCTCGGCTGGGGTGTTCTTTCACCTCTTGCGAAAGCCCGCGGCTGGGCTCCTGGACCGGTTGATAGCTGGGAGGATGGGAGCAAAGCATGGATTGTCTGGGTTTCCTTGGCCATTATGCTCGCGGACTCTATTGTTAGTCTAGGCTGGCTGGTCCTCAAGCCTCTCGTTGCACGCGCGCCCGCCCTAACGGCGAAATTACTCTCAACCGACATTGGTCGCTGGGTCGCGTCAAAAACACCGGTCACCTCAGTCCGCCATCCTTACGTCAGTTACTCAGCTTTAAGTCCGATCTCTGAGGAGCCTTCATTTATCCAAAGCCAGTCCGCATTGTCTAGTGGGAGACGTAGCGATACAAGTGATGATGACGAGGATGCGCCCCCTTCCCAACTCATTTCCACACGAACCGTCATTATCTTGCTTCCCCTTACATTGATACTCAATGTTGTCTGCATGCACTTTGTCTTCGGGGATGTTATGTCTCCGCTGCTTTCCAGCCTTGCCACATTGCTTGCTGTCCTGCTTTCAATCATGGGTGTTCGTGCTCTCGGCGAGACCGATTTGAACCCAGTCTCGGGAATCAGTAAACTGACCCAGCTACTGTTTTCTCTCGCGACCCCGGCCTCGCACTTCTCGCGGCGTACAGCACTCGTTACGAACCTCCTTGCGGGAGCGGTCTCCGAATCCGGTGCGCTGCAGGCCGGCGACATGATGCAGGATTTGAAAACGGGACATCTACTCGGCGCCAGCCCCAAGGCCCAGTTCTACGGCCAAATGATCGGCAGTGTAGTGGGCGCTGTGCTTTCCACCGCCGTCTACAAGATGTACGTGAACGTCTACGAGGTGCCGGGCCCTATGTTCCAGACCCCTACCGCGTACGTCTGGATCTTCACGGCGCGTCTTGTCACCGGCCAGGGCCTACCCCCCATGGCCTGGCAGGCCTCCTTGCTGGCCGGCATAGCCTTCGTTGGCGTCACCATCGTCCGCATCGTCGGCGCCTCTCCCATTGCGAATGGCGGCCAGCGCGGCGTCACCGCTCCCTGGCGCGCATGGGTCCCCGGAGGCATCGCCGTCGCCGTCGGCATATTCAACGTCCCATCGTTTACTCTCGCTCGAGCCATCGGCGGCGCAATCGCCTGGTGGTGGTCCCGACGTCACGCCAAGGGCACCGGATCTTCTGAGCTCGCACCTCCGACTCAACAGGCTGCTGATGGTGACGACGACGAGACACACCACGGCCCCGACAACAGACGGCCGCCCGAACAGACAGCCAAGGACGCCGACGTTGCGTCCTCCACCGTTGTGGTCCTAGCTTCGGGATTGATCTTGGGAGAAGGGATCATTAGTATTGTTAATCTCCTTCTTGCTAGTGGCGGGGTACCCCATCTTTAGAAACTGCATTAGACAGAATTCTTCTGGTTGATTGATGGATTCATTGTCTGTATGTGTTAACCATTTTGGCCATATGAAACGACCTTGTTGTCATGACTGTTGTTCGGTGGTTGTTAGTTACATGATTTTGAACATAAAAGCGAGGGTAGAGGAATACTCAATTCTTTGTATTAGCGAGTGTCGATTATACTACATTTGAGTTTGAGTTTGATTGAAGCGTCGAAGTTCCCGCCTTCGTTTTGATATATACAGTATATAGGTACCTTAGATACATATACCTGCACCCTGGCATCGAGCAATCCATATCCATCACACTCATTTAGAGGAGCCAATTCGTAAGGCTTTATTTACTTTACTCTTATCTTGTTTATTATTTTCGTTTATTACAGCAATAGCGACCCTGTAAATATGTTTGCAGGTGGCCTACGAAATAGGCCAACTTACAGCGAGCGATGTAATGTAAAAAACTATTCATTTATCAAGATATAAAAATTTTTGTCAATTTTTTTCTAATCTAATAATAAAAAGACATCCACCCACGTGCTCCTACATATACTGTACATAGAAACGCGTTCGCTTCCTTGACCAAGAAATTTGAATCAAGCAGACACGGTTGCACAGAGCAAGACAGACAAAGAAATAGGCGTCCAAAGACCAAAACAGATTCATCAAGCAAGTAAAAGAAAAAAAAATGATAGATAGAATAAAAGCATGATCTTTCCGGCTTCTTCACAGCTTGATATTGGTCTTTCCTCCGTTCTCATTGGTTTCTGGCACTTGACCACCTTTTTGAAGACCCTGAGTTGGCTGGCTTGAAGATGGCAAGAAGGGGAATTGAAACCACGAGATAACCAACGAAGAATAGGTTTGAGGTTCAAATGAACGAGATATCTGGAAAGAAGCACGGAAAGAAAAGAAAGAAAATGAATGGGAGTCGTAAAAGAATCAATCAATAATCAAAAGACATGGAATTTCATGTTTCAGTAAATCTTACAAAAATCGTGGGTATAACCTGCCAGTGTGAACATGGCAGAGCAAACTCAGCAGAGGGGTATATCGATATCCACCGGATCCAAGGATGACATGGATTGCCCATTATTGGCGTTGCTGCTGACAAGATAGAAGAGAAGAAGTAAAAAAAGGACCATTTGGTAGGCCTCCAAAATCAGAACATGAGATGAATAAAACAAGAGAAGAAAGAAGATAGGGGGAATCGGTGGATGAGATTGACATGGAAAAAACAGGAATGAGCCATTCATCGCAGACGTGTATAATATCATATCAAGTTCGTACCGTCCAGCGGCGATGGCAATCCATTTGTTCCCGGTATCAATCAATTTTGCCCCAGTCAGCATCAGCAATCGTAGATTTTACTAGGGCTGAGCCTCATGGTCAGGGCCGGGCTTTTCAACGGGCGTCGGAGCGGCGGTGGGAAGGGCGGGGAGCGCGCCGGTGGGGGGAGGCATGGGGGCCGCAAGAGGACTCGGTCCCGGAGACGCGGTCGTGCGGGGAATTGGTCCGCCCGCGCTGTTGCTGCGTTGTCGCTGCGCTGCCGGCATGTCCGGCCTTTGCATACCAGGTGGTCCGTAGGGTCCGGGGCTCATCGAGCGAGGCGGCATCGGGCGTGGTCCCGGTCCCGGCGAGTAGGACCGGGGAACGGGGGGAAATTGGGCGGGGGACATGGGCCGCTGCGCATGCGGGCGTGGCTGGGGAGGCCCGGCATAGCCAGGATGAGCCGGGGACATGGGGCGTTGAGCGGGCGACATGGGACGGGAGGAGACGGGGGACATAGACCGACCCTCCTGAGGATAGAAACGGGTCGGCTGAGGTCCTGGGACGGGGCCGTTGGGTGCCATCATTGGGGGACCACGAGGGCCGGGTCCTGCTCCAGGGGGTGGCCGGGCGCGAGGTTTCACGGGGCGCGAAGAGAGACAGGAGCGCGGAGCCACTCCCTGTTGGGAACGGTCGAGTCGGACGCAAAGAGCCCACCCGTCGTCATACTCGTGCAAGAGCCTGACGAGCTGACCGGCGTGGAGTTCCAGCTCATCTTCCATCGAGGGATTGAAATCCATCTGCACGCGATGCACGTTGGACGGAGCCGGGGCAGGTCCCCCAGGCCCGAATGCCGGAACGGCGGCAATGGCGCCATCAGGGCTCGTTGCAGTCCGACTAAGGTCCGAGGGGGTTTGGGATGCTGCGGTTCCGGGACGGTCAGGCAGGTCTTTGCCGGCTCCCTCTGAGGATGAAGATGCTGCGGCACCTGCAACAGCACCGACCGCCGCGACCGGCGCGATACCCGCAGCACCGATGGCCGACGGAGGAGCCCCATCCGCCGGAGAGGCTGCCTCGGAGACGGCAGGGGTCACGGCGGAAGCGGTAGACGGACTGACCGAGGGTGCCGCGTTGACCGGAGACGAGGCCTCAGCCTGGCCAGCAAAGGGATTGACAGGATCATTGAAAGGGTTCGTGTTGCTGCCAGAACTCGACGTGGGAGTGTGAGGAGAGGTGTTTCCGGTGAGATTGCGCGGTGCGGCGGCGGCGGCGGCGGCGGGCGTGAGAGTGTCCTCGACACCGCCAACGGAGAAAGCCGCAATGCTATTACTAGGGGTAAGATCGGGAGCGAATTGAGTGACGGGTCGGACGTTGAGCTGCGGAGGATTGGATGGAGCCACGGGTTCGATCTTAGGCGGAGGACCTGGGGGTACGACGTCGTTGGATACGAAGGCTTTTTCGTTCTCGGAGCCCGCATCGTCCAGTCTCTCGCCCTGCTTCTTCTTGCGCAGGAAGAAGAAGATCAGACCAGCAATCAGGCCGACGCCCAAAATGACACCAATGGCGATACCCGCCTTTGCGCCGTCTGAGATACCACCCGAACTCGCGGCCACGGCGGACGGCGAAGCGGTCGACTTGTCCAACGAGGAGGAATTGGTGGCGGCCGCGTTCTCCAGGCTGGTGCCGGACAAAGACGATTTGGAAGACGTGGAGGTTGACAACGTCGTTTGAACAGCGGTTGTTCTCTCCTGCTGGGTGGCAGATACTCGAGTCGGCTGCTGCTGCGTTTGCGTCTCCTGCACCTGGGTGGTCTGCGGCTTGGTGTTGCGGGTCGCAGTCGGTTGCGTTTTTTCCTCGGTGGTTTTCGGTTCCTCCTTGACAGTCTTCTGCGTGTTGGGCTGCGCCGTTTTCTGAGTCTCTACCTCGGCGGTCTTCTTGGTCTCTACGTCAGCCGTCTTCTTCGTCTCTGGCTCCGCGGTCTTGGTCGGCTTGTCATCGTCGTCGTCCTTGGTCGCCGCCCTCGTCGCTCCTACAGGCGCTCCTACGCCAACGTTGGCTTTGGTGGCGGCAGGCTTCTCGCCGGTCACATATCCACCGACGGGCCCGTCGAAATCAGCCGGGGCCGTCACGTACACGACGGTGACACCGTCGTCGGGGCTTCGTTTCTGGGGAACGTCGCCATGCTTGTGGTGCGCATGTGCATGAACCATGGTCGCTAGCTGCCAAAAGGGGGCAATTGAGCTTAGTCGCGCGAAAAAGAGAGACGGGTTAAAGGAACATATATGGCCTGGAATCAGTCGTGGAGATGCCGGCGGGGTTGGCGAAAAGGGTCCAGGAGAATTGCCGGTGGGATTGGTTAACGAAAGTCGTACAACGAAGGACAAAGATAGAACAAAACCAAGTCAACAAGAGGTCGCACGTAGGTGACCAGGGGTGTTTAATGGCTTCGCGTTCCGGAGCGCCAGAAGGTAGGTAGGCGCGTCGTCAAGGAATGTGGGCTGGCAAAGAATGGAAAGTATGCGGTATAGTTGGGCCAGGCTGGAGTGCCGGGCAAAGTCGATCAAAAGGATGACGAGCGTCCAGGCCGCGCAAGAAACGAAAGGAAGGAGCCCGAGCTCCCGGGAATGGGGAAGAAAGGAAAGAAAGAACACCAGATCGAGCGCGATGACAATCGAGGCTGAGATGAAGAAGAGGGAAAAAGGAAAAAAGGAAAGCAAGCGAAGGAGAGGAGAGAAGCGAAGAGGCGCACGAGGCGGTCATACCGGTAATTACGGACCCGTAAACGAGATGAGATCAATGGGGCTGCCAGCCTATAAACTAACCCTAAACAGCAGGGATGGGCGCCCAAGCCCCGCTGTTCGTGGGCGGTCTGGGGGCCCGATTGGCCTGCCCTGGTATTGGTGCCTGGATTGACCGTACCTTACGGAGTACCTTACGGAGGACTAAAGTAACACGAGCCATCCGGCACACCCGCCACTTTGGGGTGCTCCATCGGCCCCTTTTCTGTTTTTGAGAATCTCGTTGTTCCTGCACGTGCATCTGGTGCAGATTATAATATTATTTCCTTCATCTGCGTCCCGTCTCGCCAATTCTTGGCTTTCATTTCAGCCACCGAAGCGATTCAACCTTGTCGGGCCCCTCTGAGGCGCTCCGGAGCACTTTCTCTTTACTACTTAGTGACTGCATAATTAGGCACTTTCCACGCTCTCGCCTTTTATGCTGCCCGGTGCACTAACATTGGAACGACCCATTTCTTCTCCGGAGGGGTTCACTTCACAGGTCTACAGGGCTCAAATATGGGACTCTTAACCTCTTCACTGCGCAATTGGCCCACCTTGTCTCACACCACCGATGTTGACATCATTGCATGATCTACTCCTCTACTAGTACTCGGTACGATCGTCCAGATGGTCAACAGAACAGTACATGCAAAACAGTCTCCCTTGACAGCAATTATTTCGACCATTTTTATTGATGGCCCACTCCTGCGACGATTTCGTCGACATTTTTTGTTGCTGCAGGTTGAGAGTAAACCCGCAACCAAACATCCTCCTGGTAACGTGGTCGGGCTGCAGCTACCTAGATGCAGAAAAACAAATAACCAGTCAGGGTTGCCACGCCAGTCAGGGTTCGCAAAACAGGCATTGATCGATCCTGGGGCTTAGCTGCGTCAAGTCGAGAACTAAATAGACTCCAACTGCGGCAGCAAGGGGGCCGGGGGTATTAAGTTATTTCATCATCCATCTGCAGCGAATCTCGTCCATCTTCGCATGAAAGTGGTTCACAGTCGCGCTCTTCAAAATTTGGTATGCTTACTTATACCCGTCTGCAAGACTCTGTTGAAGACCCCTCATACCTCACTGTTCCAGAGCCATGTCAACATCACCGTCCATAAATAGCAATACAGAGTGAGGCGATCACGCCATGCCAGACGAACCATTGACTCACAATACCCCGTGGTTATGATCGAGGCGTTGGTGTGTAGCAGACATGGGGCCAAACAGGGTCTTGAAATTTACTTCGGACTTGAGACAGGGTCGGAAACTGGCGTCGCAATCATGGTTCGGCGATGCTGACCAGGATGTCGGAACGATGCAACAACTTACGAGACATGAAACCGATCCGACAAGGCCGCCCTTTAGCTATTGCCCGACATGCTGAAAAGTCGGCCTCGCGATCGTCAAATTGTCGATACCGAGAAACTTAAAGGGAGAGTTGCCGGTTTGAACTTGGATTCGCCGTTTCCTATGCATGCAGATCGATTGCATCGTCTCGATAGACTAGGGCTTTCAAACGAACTATCAAATCTGTGTGCTCGTATCGCCTTCGCTTCGCATTCTGAACCATGAACGCCTTTTGAAGACATGTCTTCGGTTGGCCGGACAGAGACTCCAGTAATAGCCTCCTTCTCGACCCAGGTTACGTGAATCAATCTTCTACAAGGAGACAGAGCGTTTCTTTGGTAAGTATGGAGAGAGCGCATGGTATGATGCCTAGTAGCTACAATAGCTCAATGAACCCATCTCCTATGTAGATAGCGTTCTAAGCTCTGAAGATCGCGCTCGGGAAGAATTCCGGGTATTTAGTTACAAGGTCAAAAATTTGAGCATGGTCGAAGATACTCTTGACATTATTCGATCGCGAAAGACTAAGATTCCGTTGATGGAGTCGGGGTCCTCGAAGGCCAGGCAGCAACGATGCCAATTGTGGCATTTTGGAATCAGTTGGTAAACTTCCTCCTCATGTTGGTGCTAATCATATCCTACTGGACGGTCTTCATCTTCAAGGCGTAAGACTAGGTAGCTCGACTGCGCCCCAGTTGCCTGTCACCGACAGGGCTCACACCACCGTTCTCCACTCTTTCCAACCGTCGGACGACTGAAACGACCGGTGGAGGCCGGTGGACCCTCGACCATCTAACCGACTCCAGATGATTAAATGTGATGCTCACTCACTAAACCGAACACAGTAGGTGGTCCATACGGAGTACTACCGTGGAATACGGAGTGTAGGAGGAATCGAATGCTCTCATTTGCGGTCGGCATTGTTCATGTGAACAATGCTTCAACCGAAGGCATTATTAATTATGCGGCCGAAAAATAGGGGTGTTTCAGAGCCTGCCAATGTTAGTATGCATTTTCCTCTGGCCGTGTTTCCTTTGACCCTGGATCAGTATTCCGACGTACCTCGGTGGCGGGTATGCGTTGGCTACTTTCGTAACGCACTAATTGGCTCACAAGGTCACGGCCTTTAGAAGATGCCCCCTTGAGAATGCTGTCCCATGCCTGTGCTGGGTATTTATAGAATTGGACTTTGTCCCAGTCGGGAAGTTTCTGAGTCTCCTGTACCTTTTATGTCAGCATAATCCGGACTGGTTGGCGTCGCGGCATGTGTGCCGTCATTTCATCACGTACCGGCCAGGTATCTTGGTCTGGGGTGCCCAGTGTTGTAAAGATAGACTGGATGAGGGAGAGGTCGCTCCCCAGGGGTCCAGAGTCAAACAACTGCTTGTGCCCGACAGATATTGCTTCTGCAACGACACATCCTGCTGCCCATAGATCAAGGGCAACCCCGTACTCCTTGAATCCGAACAGGATCTCCGGGGGTCGGTAGCAGGTGGTCCCAACATCCGTTATCTTCTGATCGGCCGGCTCGGAAGACTTCTGCCCTTCTTTCCAGGCAATGCCAAAGTCAGCGAGGTAGGCTGGTCCATCGGGCGAATCCATCAGAATGTTGGATGGCTTTATGTCGCGGTGTAGTATCCCCAATCCATGTAAATGTGCCAGTGCACTGAACATGTCGCGCAAATGGGACCTCGTTTGACCGGCCGTAACCATACCACGACGGAGCAGCTGCTCGAAGTCATATTTCACAAAGGGGAACACCAGAACGAGTTTCCCTCCCTCGGGTTTCAAAGTTTCTATCAAGGGGATTATATGAATGTTGGCGGCCTCTCGCAGAAGCTCGATCTCACGCTGAGCGTCGTGGGGTGCCGTTAAGAGGTGAGGCACGGTCACTTTGACGGCCACCAGGGTCCCATCCTCGCGTCTTGACTTATATATGGTGGAATGAAGTCCGTCGAAATGGGGCATACAAGCCCGATACGGCCCGATGGTCTCGCCTATGTCCCAAGATTCCTCTTCGGGTTCATTATGCCCTGGATCGGGACTACCAACCCCAGGAGCTACTGACTCGGACTCGGCGGCATCAATTGCCTGCTGACAGAGTTGTTCATATTCGTCCTACGCATTACGTCGTGAGAATGTGGGCTTGCGGGCATCGGAATCTAGCTACGCACCTTGGAGGTGGCCCGCTCATAAGCCTCGCTCTCAAATTTCTTGGCTTGGGATTGTGCCTCCGTGAAAGCAGCCGATGACGAAACATCCTGGTAGGCAATGGTCCTGTAAAAGGCCATAAGGATGGGAATAATCGGACACATCAGGCAATAGACGGGGGGAGGCTCGTAGAAATATTCTCCGACACGTGCGATACTTACAGAGATTGGATGGCTGTCAGGCGATCGGTGAAGCCCAATGCTTTTTTCCAATCCGACGCCATCGTTTGCAATCCAGCGGGGCGTAGTAGTCTGTACAAAGGAAACGGTCGAAATTGAACTGATACTGGTAAACAGTCACTGGATACTAAATAAATACTCGAAGCGGGCCATGTGACACCGGGGCTCGGGGCGAGTTCTTCCGGGGTTGCAACGGGGGCATCGTCATCAGCCATCATCCACCATCTTCCGTCACTACTCCGACCTCCCCGTCGCAATCGCTCGTTTCTCCGCCCACAATCTCCGTCGCTCTTCCAGTCCCCCCTCTCTCGTTCCCTGCTCTCCTTATTATGCGCCTCTCCAGCCCTTCTTTCCGCAGCTGTGATCTATGAGTATTGAGCAATGGACCTCTCACGGCAGGAGTATCCAGCCTTGCTGGTAGGCCCCGACCCAATTAACCCCCCCATCTCCACCCTCGGTAGCAATCGGTCAATTCGTCGGCCTGTCAATTCCATGTTTGAATCACCTGAACGTCTTTTAATGACATCATTGTGTTCTCCCTCTCCAGGCCTCTTTGCAGCCCAGCCAAGCTACCAACGTGTTAAACGATCGCATTCGCATCATCAACCGGGTCAATGCGGATATTGCGGATTGGCTTCAGGTATGGCTTCCCGCCGCCTTTTCCCCATCACTCGTAGCATTATGCGATCTAATTGCAATGTTTACTCCAGGAACGTCGGCGTGTCGAAGAAGCGTATGCACAAGGCCTACGGAAACTTGCGACGAGGCCACAGCTGGACAATGGCGCCGCACTAGGGTAAGGATGAGTTGCACTAGCTAGGACCTGGCATGAGAACACCGTGTCGCTAATAGTGGCGCAATTGCGTATACCAGCATCTTCCAGATACCATGGCAACGTATCATCAACGCCGCCGAAATAGTGGCTTCTTCGCACGAGGTCTTTGCGCAGAAGATTGAAGACGACGTGGAACGTCCCCTGAAGGAATTCAACACAAAGAACCGGGAACTGGCTTCGATGCCGGGTATCCAGAATGATATCGCGGGGCTTGCGAAGAACTTGGAGGCTTCCTCAAAGAAGGTGGACAAAGCAAGGGAAAAGGGCCCGAAAGGCGCGGATAAATTGGCAGGCGCCATTGCCGCAGCAGAGGAGGTTCGCCAGCAGTGGGAATCGAGGGCACCTTTCGTGTTCGAACAGCTTCAAGCCGCAGACGAGAGCCGACTTAATCACCTACGAGACGTTCTAACTCAGCTTGAGACCCACGAAACGGACCAGGTTGAGCGTTGCCGTCAGGCAGCCGAGAGCTGTTTGAATGTGCTTTTGAACGTTGAAACCGCAGATGAGATTAAGACATTCGCTGCAAAGATGAATGGTGGACGACCGGTTGTTCCGAGAGAGCCAGCGAGGGAGCAAGCTAGAGAGCAAGCTGCATCGCCGCCTCCAGCAGCACCTCTGCCGCCTCCGCCGCGCATTGCGGATGATGCGGCCAGTCAACGCTCCGAGACGTCCGCTGCTCCTGCCCCGGCTAGGGCTCCTACTGGTACGTAGCTCTGTGACTTCTGGTTCACCTGCCTCTATCGCGACACTGAGCTAACTCTTTGAGCCCTACTAGCCCCAGAAGCTCGTCATAATACGCCCCTTGGCGGCCTCAAGCGACTAGGAACTGTCATGAACCGACGCAAGAGCATGGTGCAACCGTCCGGAGGACCTTTCTTTTCGGAGAAGAAGCATCGCAGCCCCTTCGCTTCTTTCATGAGAGGAGATTCTGCTCGTGACACGCAGATTCCCGAGTCTCCTCCATCGACGGCGGATCGCCCCGGTACTGCTTTGACTACACAGGAAAGCCCGCGCGAAACGCGTGATGCTGCTCGTAACGCCAGCGAGCCTAGTGATCGCGACGGTGCCGGCCCAGGTCCCTCTAGCCCGGAGCCTCAGTCGGCGCCTGGAACGGCAAACGGAGTTACCTCTCCAGAGGTTACTACCGACACGGGTCTGGCGAGTGCGACCATCAATGAGGTAAGACCTTTTGTGGGAAAAAACATTGAGAATAGTGGACTGATTTCAAGCAGCAACCGCGAGTAGACTCGGAAGGGTTTACCGAGCGACCGCAGACCATTGATGAAATCACAAGGGCCCAAAGAGAAGCCATGGGGTAATTGAGTCCCCAAGACCCTCAGTAATGACACGGCGACTAATGGTATCTGCAGCATGGAAGAATCGGGAATGAACCTCACCATCCGAGACCAGCCGATATTCGAGGATGAGGACCAAGCGAAGCAAGCCATGGATGACATGGCTAGCCAATTAAGGATGGTGAGTGCTTCCGACAGCGACCTCTCTTCTGTGATATACTAACATGCCCTGTAGCGGGCCCAACAGAGTGGAGGCATTAGACGAAATGCCGGCACTTTGCGCGGTCGGCGCGATGTTCGTAACACCGTCTTCATCCCCAATCCCCCACCGAGCAACGAACTCCCAATCGCTCCATCGGGGGCAGACGGACCGACCCCGACCTCACCGTCAATGCCACCGAGGCATGCGCTTTCCCCTAGTAATGCCACTGATGAACATACCCTCTCTGATACGACCTCTGTTCGGTCGGGACATACCTTGCATAGCACGTCTGGCCCGGTAACTCACCCGGAACTACACGAGCCTGGCTTGAACGCTTCCATCATCGAAACCGTCAACGCGTGGTTCTCCGATGGTGTGGTGACCAAATCATTCGTCGTTGGAGAGCTTGCATTGGCTTATAATCAGGCCCCGGACGTATCGTCCGATACCAGTCTTGTTCGTCTGGAAAATTTCCAGGTGCTGGAAAAAGTGGCCGCTAACCCCCACTTTGTGAGTGAGGAGAAGGACAAAGATCAATCCGAGGAGAAGAGAGGCCAATACACTGTCTCTCTCTCTAACATAGCTCGGTCCTCACCATCAGTAGCCTTCAAATACCAGCTCCACATTGATCCCTCGGACACATCCGCCTACTGTCCGGTCATCTTCAAACCGGTCTGGAACCTGGAAGAATATCAAGCCAGCGTGATTGTGTTCTACTCGATCAATCCGTCTTTCGCTTCATCGACACCGACCGAATCACTGGTGCTCAAAAACTTGGTTCTGACGGTGAACCTCGATACCACGCCGGAGGAAGGTCGCGAAGTAGTCCATGCAACCAATGCCGTTATGTACCCCAACACGGGAGCATCCTTCCGCCGCAAGCATTCCGCGGTGAACTGGAAGTTACCCGAACTAGAGGTCAAACCCAACTCTGATGGCAAATTCCTGGTTCGGTTTTCCACGGCGAACAGTTGGCCGCGCAAGGGCAAGGTCGAGGCCAAATTTGAGATCCGCTCGACCCATGCCGGATCGCGCCTGGGAATCAGCGCTGCGTCTCCGGGCGGGGAGGTCGCACCGGATCCTTTTGCAGATGAGGATTCTGCACCGGCCGATACTGAGTCATTGACGTGGAACGAGGTGCCGACAGTCCGCAAGCTGGTCGGAGGCAAATATGTGTCTTCTTAATGTTGGGCCCCTAAAATCAGGCCCCCAGCACCCACCTCCTCTCAGACCACCAATGCAACCCAATCCCAATACCCAGAGCCATTAAATGCAACACCCGACATAATGCCATCCTACCGGCTTGTTGCCTACTTCTTCTTTCTTGGAACATCTTGCTCTTCCAAAAAAGTTGACTCAGCGATTCCATAGCCAACCTTATCTCTGAACTACTCCAGTACATAAATCAGTTCCATCTGTTTGTAACGGCGCTTATCTTCTTGTCCTCTTTCTCTGTTAATCTCTGCTTCTTCTTGTTTTTGTCTTATCTTATTCCCCTAGTTGATTGATATTTCTCTTCTTCTTGTGCAAAGTCCTTCTATGTCCTTTGGTCCCATAACTCGCATCCTTGTTCTTCTCGATCGAACCAGCTCAGCTCGTATGGCAACCGATGTTTTGTAAATACGTTTTTGTCTTGTCTGTTGGCAGGCTTCTTGCGTTATCGTATACCTCGGTTTGTTGGTGTATTCTACCTACTTTGTCTTTTTTGGGAGTGCCGGTGTTTTTTCGTTAATGAACTATGTCGTTGTTCCTTGTTTGCCCTTTCCTTTTTTTTTTCTCCCCGTCTCCTTAGCACGCTACGAAAATGATAGATCGGTAGCGTACAGACAATTGAACTTGACATATACATCACTTCATTATAAACTTGACCGGGGCGAAATCGAGCGAATCAACCCGGTAGAAGTTTCCCTTTCTGTCGCGAGCTAAGCTATGATGGATGATTACATGGATGCGCATAACTGACCTCACACTGGTTTCCATACAGTTACTAGAGCGGTGGGACAGATATTGCAAAGTAGAAAGGAAACAAAGGGGAAAGGAAAGAAAAAGATCGATCAAGAGAAAAGGAACATGGCACAATCCTGCCTGCGCCGGGGAATCGTAATCCATAACAATAGCCCAAGGATGGGGATCACACAGGGAAAGCCTATCTGTGTACTAATTTACACAAGAAGATATCGAGAAGAAAAGAGAGAAAGAAGAAAAGTTGAACAAGGTTCACGTGCGTAGAGCCCGGGTGGTCTTCTCGAAGAAATCCAACGTCATGGCGGCAAGGAAGCATGGGATGTCTTTACGTTCCTCGACCCAGAATTTGATAATGGGTTTGATCTCCATGGCGAAGAGACTGTTAGGCCCGCCGGAGATCTTCATCGTGCCGTTTTCACCGTCAAAGATGATGGAGTTCTCCTCGCCGTTGCCCATGCTGCCCGGTCCGGCGGAGCCCGCGGAGGCGCCGTCGCCGTGTCGGTAGGCTGGCGAGAGATGGAACATCGAGGTCACGCGAACGCGGCCGTTAGGAAGAAAGTCGAGTTTGTAGCCGAGTAGCGAGGCAACGGCTTCGCGGAACTCGGAGGATTTGGCGGTCCAGATCTCCTTTAGGCGGCGCATACGCTTTTCTTTGTCGGCGACTGTGCGCTCCATGTCTTGGATATCAAGCTTCATGCTTTCCAGGGTGCTTACGGGAACGACGTCGGTACCCCCCTGACTACCGCGCAGCTGAGCGAGCAGATCCTGGTTTTCCGCCTTGAGCGTGGCCAGGGTGGAGAGCTTGATCTTTTCGGCTTCTGCCGTGGGATTGTCGCGCAGCTCGAGAACGCGCGTGCGAGACTTGGCTTTGAGAGACTTGAGTTGGGATTTGGCGGCCTCAAACTCTTTGCGTAGTAGGGCGGCCGCTTGCTCGGATTTGGATAGAGACTCTTGAAGGGTTCGGTTCTTGCGAGAGAGGGCTGAGATACGCTCGTTCTCGGCCTCGCTTTCAGCGGGGGAAAGTGGGCGCTTGACACCGCGCGGTTGCGCATCTTCCTGCGGTACCGATTCTCGTTTGAAGAGCTCCTCGTGGGCCTGCTCCAACTCCTTCCTATATTGATCTATAAGTTTCTCGAGATTGGCGATTTGTTCAGACTTCTGCTCATCAAATTGACTCTGCTCGTTCATGGTCACTTCCTCCGCATCGAAGGTTTTCAATTGCGCACGAAGATACTCCACTTCCTTCACAGCGAGTGTTCGCTGACGTTCAAGACGAGCCTTGACCCGAGTATCCGCCATTGCCCCTCCGAGACCGGCGCCTGCGTTTCGAAGCTTCTCTAGCTCCTGTCGCAAGTTGGACCTCTCAGTTTCTAAGCCCTTGATCGTCTCGTCCTTCTCCAAGAATTGTGCCTCAATGCTGCCCACTCTGTCAACTAACGAGGCTTTTTCAAGGCGTTCTCGTAGCAAAGCCTTCGCAACATCTTCTGGGGAGGTAAACTCTTCGGACTGGTCGCTTTCCTGTAAAAGACTGGCCCAGGAGTTCCTCTCGTCTTCTAGGAGTTGTTTCTGAATTTGCAATGTGCCCAGCTCTGATTCCAACCCCTTCATCAATTGCAATTGATTTTCCAGCGACTTTTTCTGCTCTTCGACAACCTCAACGTTCTTGTGGGATTTGCGAAGTTGCCGCAATTCCGCCGTCTGGTCGCGATTTGATGTTTCCAGGTTCCTGATATGGTTGACCTGCTCCGAGAGCTCCCTTTTAAGAACGGTCAGGGTCTCTGCATCACTTCCCTCTGCTTTCAAGCGGATATTCTCGGTTTCCAGGTTGACGAATTCAACATCTCTCTCACGGAGCCGTTCTTGTGTAGACTGCAACTCGTTTCTCACATTCTGGAGATCGTTCTGTAACTCTTCGACGGTTTTTTGGAGAGATGACCGAATTGTTTCAAGTTCGTTGAGCTGATACTTGTATTGTCTCTCGTGGTCGAGCGATTGCGCCTGGTTATCTTCGACATCTTCCTGGAGACTTTGGTTCTGGTCTTGGAGCGTTCTGATCTTCCGCTCCAGGCTGACTTTATCGTTGAGCGCCTGTTCTTGAATTTCCTTCATTTCCCTCGCGAGCGTTTCGTACTTGTGGTTGGCCCGATGGCTGGAGGTTTCCGCAGCCTTTTGAGCAAAATCCCATCAGTCTATCGTCGGCTCCACGTATCAATTGTAGTGAACAAACCTGAGCTTTTCGAAAGTCCGCATCCCGCTTCGATTGTAGGTCCCGCAGCTCCTTTTCATGGCGCAGCACCATGAGATCTCTCTCTTGCTTGATGTTCTCCAATTCGTATTTAAAGGTGCTGCACTGCACACGCAGCTCATCTTTCTCCGTATCTACCGGGGTAAGTAATTTGCGCGAAACGGCTGGCACTTGAGCGCGTGGCATGGTCTTACCGTGCACAGGAGGTGGAGGTTGGGCGGGACGGGTGGACTGTCGCAGGACACTCGGAGCTCTGGGAATCGACAGAGGCGAGGAGTCCCCCGGGTGCGACCCGAAAGACAGACGGGAATTCCTACTCGAGTTCATCTGATGCGAGTTAGTCGCTGCGATCCCGATACAGCCGAATTGGAGGTAGAAGCCTACCATGCAGCATAACTAGCCATACAACACCATGAGACAAGTCCGCAGCCCTTGATGGGGTTTGAGCTCATGAACACCGACAAGAAGGGGTTGAATACGCCAGCACGCTGCCCAGAGATACCCAAGCCCAACAACCGTAGACAAGAGAGAACTGGATGCAAGAAGCAGCAGCAATGGAGATGCGCCTCTGCTTTGTTTTCCGGCGAACCTCGAAACGGCTGGGCAACGGCTGAGTCAGCTGTCTTTCACCGCCCGCGCCCAAAGGCCGCCCCGATCAGGACTAGCGTCAAAATTTTGAAGATTTCGAAATTTTGCGGGTTTTTCGACGAGACTCCGACGACAACCTCTCCTCGCCCTCCACCCCCCACGCTCTTCACTCCGATCAATTCCTCTCTCCGTGAGACCAGCAGTCAAGATGGGCAAGGACAAGTCTGAGAAGAAGGACAAGCGCGAGAAGAAGGAGAAGCGCTCGGAGAAGGACGGTGTCCACAAGAGCGGCAAGAAGGACAAGAAGGAAAAGAAGGACAAGACCGCGCTCGCCGAGGCCGTCGAGCAGGAACTCACCACCAAGGTTCTGGACGGCATTGACCAGGCCGTCGAAGATGCCCCCGTCGAGGGCGTCGCTAAGGCTGAGATGGACATTGACGTTCGTCCCGTTGGCGCCGTCGTTCCGTTCGCCAGCCCTCTGGTCGAAGACAAGTCGGCGAAGAAGGTGCTGAAGAGTGTCAAGAAGGGTAAGCTTTCTCTCTCTTGTTATCTACAGCTGCACTTTGAAGAATTAAACAAGCGCATTGCTCTCTTTAATATGTGTTACCTCACTCGGGAGTATCGCTGGAAGCTTCGCTCTGTCACTCGATTTTTCATTCCATCGTTCCATCCTCGTCAGATATCAAAACTAGCTTCAAAACTCAGCATATGCTAACTTGTTGTTTCTCACAATAGCCGCCGTCAACAAGTGCCTCAAGCGCGGTGTCAAGGAAGTCGTCAAGGCCCTCCGCAAATCGCCCATCCCTGCCCCTAACGCCCCCGTCTCTATCCCCAACGGCGTCGTCATCCTCGCCGCCGACATCTCGCCCATGGATGTCATCTCTCACATTCCCGTGCTCTGCGAGGACCACGGAATCCCCTACGTCTTCGTCACATCCCGAGCTGAGCTCGGTAACTCGGCGGCCACCAAGCGTCCCACCAGTGTCACCATGGTTGTTCCCAAGTCGGCCTCCAAGGGCAAGAAGAAGGACGAGGACGACGACGGCGAGGACTTCAGCAGCGTGTATGAGGAATTGGCCAAGCTCGCCCAGAAGGAGGCCAAGCGGGTTGGTGTTTAAGTGTGTCGGACTTTCTATTTGCTTAAGGGTCCGCGATGTTTCTTTTATCTTTTAATTTCAAGGTCTTTGTTTCTTCCCCCTCTTGTTTTGCTTTCTTGTCTCGGATCTTGGTATGGCTGTACAGTTCCACTTCGTGTTGTCTGACAAGACAGTGCATGTCTTCGAGGGGTTTCGGGCCTTTGGGACGTTTTCATGGGTTGACCTTTTATGATATGTCCGTTGCAAAATTTGGCGTTCTCACATCGGTGTACGAAAAAACAGGCAGGAAAGTGTGGAATTTAAACCATCAAGTTCATTGACTTCATCGTACGTAGACGGACGTTAAGTGTGGATTATCGACGGGATGCGACTGCAGGGACTTGTGCGCGCGATTCAATGGCAACCGGATCTGCCCAGTCTGGATCTATATCCCCCCTTCCCCTATTGAACGATCAAAAGATCAATCAAAGTAGATATAGTTCCCAGATAGCGCAAGATCACATCCAATATCAACCCTATCTAGACACCTACATGTACAGTACACCTACTGGATACATGTACAACGATCAATAGTACTCCCAGTAGCCGCAGCAAGGGATGCAGGAAATAATCGACGATCCACCACGAACCATTCCATTGATCTGCACCATCAGGACAACAGAAAACGAAAATGTCATTTCACGCAAGGAGATTGGACGTCAGTCAACTCAAGTCAGATTTATCCTGCAGCTTGCGTGCGTTGTGATTTGGCTTCTACGGTGTAGATGCACATATACACAGGAGGTTCTAGATCGGTATAAGTACTCCCTTCAACGCCCTCCTCTTCGAGAAGAAAGGCAAACCTACATATTTCGGTCAGTTGTTGAATTCGAACTCGAGCTCAACTTCTCCAGAGCAAGATAAAAAAGGGGAGTTCGTCATGTTACTTCTTTTTTATTCGATCTATCTCTTCCTCGGGTCGGTGTGTCTTCAGGTACAAGGGGCGCCTGTTACTCCTGCTCCTGGGAAAGGTCGTCAAGATGCGATTTCGTCGTGGACATCATCATCATCGTCATCAAATCCTACATTCAGGAATCATGGAAAGTTTCAAAAGGTTCGCCGTTCTCACCAAATTCAATACCTAATCTATACCAAATGTCATACATTTACTAAACTCTCCCTCCCTCACAGATCCACATCACCAACGTCAACACCAACACCAACACAAATCCCAATCAACATCCCAATACCCACTTCATCTCGCCATCCTTCCTCACCAACCCAAACCCAAATCCTCCCACCTCACCCCGACAATCAACAATAAAACCCAGCCCCCGACTACGCCAGATCTACGGCATATTCATCAACCAAGCCCGCCATCTCTCCTCGTCCGCCTCCCCCCACCAAGTCCAACAACACTCAACCCTCGAATCCTCCGGATGGCTCCCTAACAAGAACCAAGAGGAGGCAGAGGACACACCCACACCCGACCTCCTCACCCAGCGCCGACCCTTGGGGATCTACGCCTTGATACGACATCTACGACGCACGGATCGGGTATGGGCGCCTGTGGCGATCTTGTTCGCTATGTCGTGGTTGGCGGTCGTGGCGATGGGAGTGGTTGAGTGTATTGGGGTTTGTTGGCAGAGGGTGATGAAGAGGGAGAGACAGGGACGTTTTGGCGGCGGTGGTGGTTGGGGCAGACATCATGAGAGGGTCTTGTTTGATGGAGGGGTTCTGGATGAGGTGATCATCGAGGCGGTGCCGATGGATGACGACGATGAGGATGGAGATGAGCAAAATCATGAAGATGGGGGAGATAGGCATAAGATGTTGAAGAAGATGTGAAGTCGGACAGTTACGATGGTAAAGGAGAAGATATTTTGAAAATGTTCATATTCATATCCATCTATAATACATGTTTCGCATCCGAGAGGCTTGAAAGTAAAAAGGAACATCCAGTGAGAACCCGCTCAAAAGCTTTCATTAACCCATAATCGTCACAAACAAATTTCATCTAAGCTCGCTGGTCGGCCTGCAGCTGCTGCCAGGGGTTCTGATCGTCAACACCCTTCTGGCGAGGGCCACCAGCGGCATCGGGACCGCTCTCGGCAGCCATACGCTGGAACTTGTGCTCAGCAAAACGGCCAGGGTCGTTCTCCGAGCCAATGTCGGTGTTGAAGCTAGCGTTGGGCTGGTCATCTCCGAAGCCGCCCTCAGAGATGTTGACACCCTTAGGCTTGGCCTTGCCGTACTGAGCGGCGTCGGCATACTGGCCGGTAACATCGGCAGCGTAGGTGGGAGCCTGGCCACCGTTGTACTGGCTGTAGCCACTGCCGCTGGCCTGGCTCTTTCCGATACCAAGATCCTTCTTGGCGCCGGTAGTGCCGCCAACGTATCCAGACTTGGGCATGTGAGGGCCGGGGAAGTCGCCCTGGCCACCCAGGGCCTCAGCGTACTTCTCCTGGCGGTCTAGGTTCTCACGGGCAGCGCCGACGCGAGCAGAGGGCAGCTCAGTGGCGCCGGAAGCGTTTGCGGCCCGCGAGCCGGCAGCATCGGGCTGAGCGTTACGGTTCTCAGAGAATGCACCGCCCTTGGTGGCAGATTCGGCGGCAAGAGAATCGTTGGGAACCGGTCCAGCCGATTCGTGGATGGGGTTGCGAGAAGCCTCGGGGTCGGTAGTGACCTAAAGCATGTCATCAGTCTCAAAACCTAAATCTCTAAGAAGCCAGATATTCTCTTCCAACATACCTTGGTGCTGGTAGGGCCGCGGGGGATGGGCTGTCCTTGAAGATCCATTTTGGTAGAGTTTGGTGAAGGGAAGAAAGATATGGTAGAAATGCGGTTGATATAGAATTAAGAGTCCTGGTGATTGGAGATTGATGTGGAAATGATATGAATCAGAACAGAATGTCCGGTGCAATGCCATAGCTAAATAGCTTTGCACTGTCGCTGTCGACGACCTCCTCAACGCTGTAACGCACCAGGTGATGTCATTCTGACGGCGCCAGTCCGCCGTTCCCAGAACCGCCCATATCGCAGCGACCAACAGCTGGTACGTCAATGAAAGGCCATTCCCAGGCCTTCGAGACCCCCTTAGTGGCGCCAGATTGGCCTGAGACAAGAAAGATGAGTCGATGAGTCCACTTTCTTCCAGGGACTGTTGCGTTCCAGAATCTGATCTGAGGGGCTGCACCACCGTAGGTTGACGATCGCCCACATCATAGAGCCCTGCTGAATCCTAAATCCACCGCTGTTACCTCATCCGGGCTCTGAAATTCGGGTCTCCCACGGTATGCTCAATTGCGTTATGATCCTCGGTGGTTGCCATCATCGTCCGTACAGGGCAGATTTGACGTCATGCCCAGTCATCCAATGGCAACTATGCATTATCGTGTCTTCTCGATCATTGTGTAGGTGCTGGCTCTTGTCCGTAATTCGATATGCACGAGAGACCTGAAGCATGTGAATTCGGTCGTCTGGGCTCATCGTTGGCTTTTGGGCTGAAGTGATGGCAGACACAACTTTATTATTATGACGGGCGATGATCAAAACGCCTTGGTCACGTGCTCTATGTACAACTGGATGATCTAGATTTTAGCAACGAGATTAAATAATTTGGTTCTTGATTACACTCGTAATCAAACTACTTAAAACGCTCTTCAATATCAAATGAACTAGTGTATAGTTTCAAAAATGCAAAGCCGATATCAACGAGATTATAACCATTGATCTACCAAAAATATAGACCTACAAGTTACAAATTCCAAAAGGAAAGGGGGAAAATATCATGCTCAAAAGTACTGGTCATTCAAATTACTAGTACATGCAAGAAAAGAAATCATTATCTTCATCATAAGCCGTGAATCACAGTAGTTCACTCCCGAAACCAAAGCAAGTAAAACAGAACTCCCAACATCATCTCATTTACCGGGCCAGAGCATCACGAGGAAGACCGTCAAGGTTATCCTTAGCCTGGCGACCGACGTTGCTCAAAGGCGCGGTGTTGTGGTGCCACTCCTCGCCGTTCTCACGGACGCTGCTGCTTGCCGTGGCGGGCTCGCGGAGAGCGCTGTTGTTCTCGAAGGAGACGGGGGCCTCCGTGCGGCCGGAGCCGACGTTGACGGTGCGCTGGTCGGCGGAGTTCCAGTCGCTGGGCTTGGGGGGCTGGTCGGGCAAGGGGAGGTTGGCCTTGGTCTGGTCAATCTCGGCCTGCTTGTTGGTATTGTGCTCGAGGACGGACTATATGGGATGTTAGTTTCGGTCGTGGCAGGCAGGCTGAGAGCCAAGCAACGAACCTTCATGGCGGAGACGTCGGAGTCCTTGGGGGGGTTGCCACCGTGGGCGTTGGAGAGCTTGGATTCCGCCTTGCGGAGGTCTTCAGTGGTGGTGTGGAAGGTGTTGGAAGACATTGTGTAAGGAGGATGTGATATGTATCGAATTGGAGAAGAGTTGTGTGTGTGTAGATAAAAAGGGACGAGTTTTGTCTTTATTGTAGATGATAATTGTCTTTGAATCTGCTAAAGAAAAGTCTACTTCAGGAAGAATTCGAGCTTATTATATGTTGGGTGGTCTCGATATCCTTCCTAGTCGAGGCGAATGACGTCTTGGTCGGCGATGATATCATCGGGTCTGGGCCACGCCTTGGTTCGCCATTCCCCATCACAACGCTCACACTGAGAGTCTGGGAACGTTACTGCGGGGACAACTCGCAGACTAATGATCAAATCGACCGTGGAAAATCCAATGGGAGGACCCTCGCGACTCCAGTGCTTTCGTAATGGCGCATTTGGCGTCACCGGGTACGCTTTGCTCGGTAACCCTGAGGGGTTGGTAGCTGATTCTTTCTCCTGTCTTCTTCCATATTCCCCTATGCTATTTGCTATGGGCCTATTACTTCATGTTCCTTTTCAATTTCTTGTCGTTTTTATTAGGCGCTATTCTGGTTATGGACGTCGTCGAAAAGCTTGGTTGAATGTCGAGCAAGCCCTAGGTGCGAAGCCCTACCCAGACCGAGTCCCGGCCAACGACCATGGGCTAGCCTTCTAATCCACATTTGATAGAAATGGAATATTCAGTTGTCCGTCGTTACTGTTGTTCGTTTACTGTGACTTCACTGTATATTGAAAATAGTCGCTGTGAATGAGATTCATTCACACCTCGATATTTTGGGCAACTGGTGTTCCGATCGAACACAGGATGAACAAGAAAATCGACTATTGTACACTACGCATATTTAGTCCGTAGTTTAAGAATAAAAATAGATGTCTAGCGCTTCCTACCGGGAGGTGTTCGAGTCAGAAGAATGGAAATTATATTTCAGTCGCCTTTAGGGTTATGAATTCGACGTTTGTACGCCTCAAGCCAGTTCCCTAAAGGTGTATGAGCCAACAAAACTTTACTATACTTCCCATCAAGTTTTGCTCGTTATGATTACCCACTTTGCGAGCAGTTTTGGTCCAAATTGTGAAAAAAATCTTGAAGATAGAAACTTGTTGTGAGACAACAAGGTGAGAGTCCAGGGAGATTTCAACTGATTCCTTTTCTTCTCCGATTGAGCTCCAGTACTGCCGAAACGGTTTATCGCAGATGAGAAGCCGTAATCCTAATATAAGTCATGCTGAACCTTCCGTGTGGCACTAGAGGGATCCAATGGAGTTAGTTTGGTCTCTCAATATTGAACAACTCAAAGCTGGTACCTGTGGAGATATATCGCTCAGGTGATTCATTATGTTGAAGCATAAGCCATATATGTGCAAAGATATATTCTCTCCGGGAGATCGGGGATACAGCATTCAAAACCAAGTCAGTATAGTGTTAGACACAATGATATGCGCTCTTCGACACTGGACACATCCGAATGTCAGTGCTGTGTATTCTTATACCTCAATGAAACGCCCTGATTGATAGGGCCGGTAAGCCAGACCAGGAGAGGTATGGTGTAGGCGACACTGAATTCCTAGCCAACTACCTTTGAAATAGCATGACTGGTCTCTGCACCATCTGCCGGTCTATTTGGCAAGGGGATGTATGCTCTGCCATACCGATAGAAAGGTCATCTTCCGAAAGCAATAGTGATATCCAGTTCCCTTGCCTGCGCGCGAAACGAGCATTCACATTTTTCATCTAGTGGATGTACACTAACACGCTCGGTTCCAGGCAGATAGATCTGTCTGACATATCCACAAGGTTTTGTATGGGATAGGTATGAGCCCGCGAATCTCAGTTGTTGGAACCCAAGCCTTAGGCGTGCCATATCACAGGCAGAATTCTGGATGACCCGGAGGGGCCGTACCTTGAGGGATCCAAAATTTGATAGGCGAAACTGTAATCAGAGACATCGATCGTCTTCTTTCCAATGTGCTCCAACTTTCGGCTCTCTTGCTGTCACTTGTTCTCTCTTCCGGTTTCGGAGGCTTGAAAGGGAAACAAAACATGTCCTCTTTGCATAGTTAACACCCACGGCACTTTTATTGCGGACAGACACAACATATGCAGTGCGACTGCATCGGAAGATGACATCACGAGGATCGGACATGGCCGTTGACCATTTTTTTAATTTTTTTTTTTTTTTTTATTCTTCGCTCGGCCCCAAGAGTCCGAACTCAGATTTGCGAAGTGGATTCGATCGATTTTCAATGCGGCGGGATCCATGGATGGAAGGGTTTTCTAGAAGACTTCTTCCGCCGCGATCCATGGGTCGACTCGGTATAAAATACAATAGTTCTGTACACAGGTACAGTCATAGACCTGTCGCCAGGATAATATTCCCGCTCGTACAGAGTAGCTTTTTTAGATCGTGTGATGTGTAGATAAATACGCCGCAGACATAGACAGGGGAAGGAGAGGAAGTAAAAAGTCAGATCAGTAGACGTGGCAAGGCAGGTGGATACCAATATTGAGTTCATGGTATCCCTTGCTTTGAAGTCGATTATTGAGCTCCCTTCACCTTATAAGGATTCTCATCTGCAAGGTGCAAGGGCTAGTTGTGAGTCGGTCTCATCAGAGTCACATCGGTTGCCTCTGTGTACGATGCGAGGGGAATATTGGACGAATGAACTCATGTGTGCCTGTCAACTGTATTATGGGGCATTGCTCCGTATTGTGATCGCTGAATAGAAATTCTGAGATCAATCTTACGAGGCTGCATGAGGTGAATCTGACACTTCAGTGTCATCGCAGCATCTACATGTCTATCTCGCGAAGGCTTCCAGTAATGTCATGCTAGACGTAGTCGACGTAACACGAGGTCAGATGCCATAATTACTTCCAAGGCCCTGGTAACATTAATATACATTGACGGAGGCAGCAAGATCATTGGCGCCTGGATCGATTAGATTGTCAAGCCCTTCTTGACTCGAGTCGATGTAAAGCGTTACATTCCTTGATGGGCCTCAAGCCCTCAACACTTGTGGGAGTGACATGGCCACGAAGTGTTGCCCCGTTGATCGGTTCGACCCCACTGGTGTCTTAAATCTCTCAAATCCAGACTTCCATGCAAGAAGATCTTAGAGCCGAAGATGATCCACCTTAATGAACAACACATGAGACGTACACCGGAGTAGGTGTCAGGTTGCTCATGTTGGAGAGAGAAGCGACCGTCCGATTTCTCGGAAAAGCCGCAAAGGCGCTGGAATACCACGTCAGGCTTCGACGAGCGTTCTAAACCATTATGCTTTTTTGCTTCTGCCCGAAAACTCTACATAAGGTGCCGTGTCGGCCGTAGTCGGATCAAACGGGCAGGTGAGGCTTCGAAAAGGGCCGTCAAAACTGGAAATTCGGCAGCTATGGATGCATCTAGCTCATTTGGTAGCGGAGCTTTCATGCAACTACCGATAAGAACACGTACTGATCGCAGAGAGGATGGCCGTCGGTAACCTTTCGCCATCCCTCGCCTGTCCGTCGGCGGAAAGATCTTGGTATAATCCTTGTCTCCTCGTTATTGTCCGGACAGGTGTGCAAGTGCAATGATCATCTCAGATTCAACGCTGGGGGGAGGGGGGAAGCCCGGGGCAACAAGTCGTTAGTGTACTGCGTAAGTGCACCCTTGGACGGTCAGCGTCTCCGTCAAGGGTGAATCACGTGGTAGTCTCATGACCCTGGGTATTACACAGTAGTATAAGTATGTAATCGATGGTCATACATTGGTAGAACAGCGAGATCAATCTAGATGCAGCCATAACTCATGTCAATTCGCACGAAAGAGGAAAGTCGTCCTCTAGCTAAGCCGAATGCAGCGGTGCCTACCATCGGCCTCAAGACGAACGGTTCTTGAAATAGATACATACCACCCAATCCCTCCATGATCGACCAACATACTGAGGGAGAGTGTGAGTACGGTCCTAGTGGCGTTGGGGGGAAGAGCCACTGAGACACATGGGCGACGACTTGGTTCGGTCAACGAGGGGATGCAGCAAATGAGAACCCAATCAGCAAAGCGGATGGGACACCCTCTTGAGAGTTAGTTTGCAGCGCTAATGTAGGGGGCGGAGGTCAGTCTGTCAGGGAGGACTCCGTACGGAGTAAGACCAAAAGTGACTTGGTCTTAGCTAGGCACGGATAGGTACTAGTCTATCGCCGCTCATGAGGGGAGGAGGGGAGGGGGAGGGAAGTATCCGTAGGTAGGAACTAGGAAGTAGGAACGCAAGAAACATGACCAGGGGTTCGGCCCTTTCCTACAAGAATCAGGAGCAGGACGTTAATTTCGAGGGGATGCGAAACAATAGTATGGCTGGCCTGTGCAACAAGAAACAATGGAGGGAGTTGTGATACTACGGAGTAAAGGCGGACGATCTCCCAAGGACCAAACAAATAATTGAGGCAGATCTGCTATTCTTGTCTTTTGCGGGAGAAGGGAGGGGACTCCAGCTGGCGGCGGTTTCACTTTCACCTTCCAACCATCTCCTGGTCAAGACGTGTCAACAACCCTTTACAGGAGGTAATCAAACTAGCGCCAGATGCGGTTAGCGCGCCTCCCAGAAGCGGTGGCGCTCGGTCGCCTCCACCGAGACAAGCGAGATTTAGGCCCCACTTGCGACATGTAATTGGTCTACTCCCTCAGGTACGGGCAATTTAGCGTTTGTCCCATGGGTGCCTGGAGGGATTTCTCCGGAACCTCAATTAATATTAATAGATTAACCAGGCAGATGAATAATTCGATCCATGGGGAATTGAAATCAACAATACGAAGGTACGAGACCGCAACGAACGGGTGAGGCTTCCAGGTTGGATCGACTTCGGATTCTCTTTTCCATTGTGTTCAGTAACTTCAGTGGCATTACGGAGTACTCGATTACCATCAATAAGGCGTTCAATGACCAGTGCTCCCGATGGCTACCTGCGTTTCCACCCCCAAACTCAATAATGCTTGATCATGGTCATTGGCCCCAAACCCAGGGGGTTTTTAAGCTCGTATCCGGGTGGCAACCAACTGCGCTCACCCGGACGGAGTAGCGTTTGTTCCATGACGTCTTTGACTTGCATGTTCGGTTCGTTTCCCTCGACAAAGAGGGGATCCTCGAGGGTACGGAGTAGTCGATTCTTCAGGCATTTTCCCATACTCCGTAAATCAAGGAAATTTTAGGTCAACGTTCAGGCTGTCGAATCATGGCGGGAGAGAAGACGCAGCCATCCGAAAGGCTCTCCACCGTCAATTTCCCCGTAGAAACCGAGATGCATCTAAATGATACTAAGCTATCTTAGTCCAGTCGTAGTGAAGGAAGTAATCGGGATGTCACCACCGTTCAAGCGAATGAGTGATGTCGCCGGTATCAGCTGTCATCAGGGACGGCGCCAGCCAAGTGCCCAGACACTTTGCAGGGGAGTCTACTCCGTAGTAGATAGTACCTACAGTAGTCCATGGACCTGAAAGGGGAGCCCATTCGATAGTATGATAGTACATAATACAGAATACAGAATTCGCAGATAATAAAATCCAGCGTAAGAAAGTCCGTACGCCTCCACTCTCCCTCCAACCGGCCAATCATCCCCTGACGTCGCCATTTTCTCCTCCCTCCCCACCCGATTTTTTAGGTTGGTTCTGCTGCAAGTCAGCCATTTTATTATTATTATTATTTTATCATTATTTCCCATCCCGCCGTATTTGGCATTGGCTGCTCCGTACGGCGACCCGTCACTACAACTATCATCCTCTCCTTCCTTCGACCTCATTTTCCTTTTTCCAGGTTCTCTCTCTCTCTCTCTCTCTTCTCTCCTCTCTCTCTTCTCTCCTCTCTCCCTCCCTACCCTCCTCCTTCTCTCTTCTTTCCCTCTCTCTCTCTCTTTCTCTTCTCACCACACTTTTCTCTCTCTTATCGCTCTTTTCCACTCGTTTCTCCTTTTCTTCCGACAACCTCCGTACTTTCTGGCCTACCCGTGGCCGTCCGTTCCTTACAATATTATTTTTTTTCTACAGCCTGCACGACAAAATATTACTTTGCCGCCCTATTTTTTTGCACGGTTTCTTGATTTCGACTTTTTTTTGTAGTTATCTTATCGACTCAATTTAACTAAAGCGACCGTCAACTTTTGCCCCGTGCGCTTAAGGAGGCTTTTTCATTCCCCTCTTCCCGGCTCGGTCTTGCAATCCTATTCAACATTCAGACGGTGCTCTGGACTACGTGACTTGGGTCCAGGAATTTCAATGATCTCTGTGCGAATTTGAAGACCTCCAGACAAAGTCTCATTTTGGTCTGGAGGTCCCCGTGCGTCTGGATCACATCAACTGTGAACGTATCTACCACGGGGCTGATCCGATAACTTGTGGACTCGAGGTGGATGTGAACTTGGTCTTCTAACTCCATCGATCCTCGGTCATGGCTTCGATCTCTCTTCCTCTGCCGCCTCAACACTCGTCAGCGTTTTCTCAACACTTCGAACCGCTCGGTCAACCTCCCAGCGGACGTAGCCGCCGCCATCTAGCCATGTCAACGCCGCTTCCGAATCCTCCATTTGTCTTCCCCGCCCGAGAACCAGACGCAATGCCTCCGACGGCCGAGCCTCCATCGAATGCCCGTCATTCACTTCCGGCCTTCTCCTTCAATCCGGGTGCGGTACAGTCTACACAACCCACGTTGCCCACACCCCCGCCGAACCGACCGGTCGGACATCGTCGACGATGCAGCGAATTTGTCGGCGGTGAACACATGGTCGGTCCTGGGACGGTGGAAGCCGGCCAGAAAGCTGAGGACCCAACGCCCGTACCCGGGCCTGCCAAACTCCCTGCTCCGGGACCCGGTTTCTCTGCGGTCGGTCCCGGAAGGCGTCGCCATGCCCATCGTCGCTCGGAGGCTGTCTCTAGCGTGGACCTGACCGCTATCACCAATGCGTTTGGCCCTGCAGGCTTGATCGGGAGCGCCCCATGCACACCAGCAGACGGAATGCGGGATCCCGGCACCTCAGACACCCCCCACAAACCGATCTCCTACTCGGCAACCGCTCTAAGTAGACCGACTCCGCCCGCCTCTCCCCAAATCACAATCAATGGGCAACCCTCAAACCTTTCGGACTCTGAAACTCCCTTCGTTTTCCCCGCGGTCGAACGACCGCTATCCGAAGTCTCGAGGGACTCCGAAAGCACAATCCAACCACCCAATGTCGTTAGAAATAATGACCCCCCGCCCTCCTCAGCAAACGAAACGTCGTTTCGCACAAGTCAGAAACCCAAGCCTCGTCCGAGGACCGCAGATGCGTCTCTGATGCTGGATTCGAGCGGAAGTGACGATTTCTCGCGAGCAAAACGGCCCCTTTCGGCTGCCGGTCACTCGCGGTTCCGCAAGAGCATGTCCGCAGGGATCCTCGATGCAGCACTGAGGAAGAATGGAGAAATGGGTGACGGCAGCCGCTGGTCCGAAACCCCGAGAAATTCATCATCTGATGACGACTCTTTGACATCTGTCGAGGATCAAGGAACGTCAAAGAAGAGCTCCAAGGCGAAAAAGCGACAGAAAAAGGTTCGCTCGTGGGCGGGGGCAATCTTGACGAGAGGCAAGGGCAAGCGAACGCACTCGAAACCTGATACAGGGCCCAAATCAGCCCCTCCGCCTGTACTTACCCGGACCAATTCGGACCTTGGCTCAGGCCTGGACGTGGATTTTGACGATGACACCGTTGTTGTCATTCGGACTCCTACGAATCCCACCGCCCCGGTTTCCCTTGTCGACACTGACGAAGTCGATGGGCAGCCGTCGCTGGAGAGCTCTTGGAAACCCAGGAGCTTTTACGAACAAGGCACGCATAACGATGCTTTGAGCCCGATTATCGATCTGGACGCTGCGTTGGGCCCGTTCAACACACCGGATATGCGATCTGGCAATGTCCCTGAGACTGGGTTTTCGGCGGCGACAAAGCGCATGTACAGCGGTGGTCGACGGGGCGAGTTTGTTGGCCCAGAGATGCGCTATCATCGGCGCGCAGAAAGCGCTCCGGAAATGCCGCCTTTCGACCGCAGCTTCTTGAACAACCGATTGGCTAACAATTCGGCGATGGAAAATCCCGACGTTTTCTACGAGGAGGAAGAGGATGCCTTTTTGGCGGCTACAAGCGAAAGTGATGAGCAAGCATCGTCACGAACGGTCGCAGGCGATGCCGATAAGCAGTCGCTGGGAAGCAAGGAAAGCTCTGATACACTCACCCGTCAAGCGGGGGATAGCTCAACCGATCCGCAACAGGCTGGCCTTGGGATCCAAAAGCACGAAATGGCCGGCGCCCCGGATTCCCCCATCACATCGACAACCAAGGAAGCCCCCAAACCTGCAGAGCCACCGACTGCTGCCGATCAACTGCGGAATGCAAGAAACCCCTTTTCCAACCAGCCGAGAAGTCCGGTGGAGTTGGTCAAGCAAGAAGAGTGGCTCCGCAAAGTGCCGGTACCTCCTAGTCCGGACATTTCACCTCGTTTCTTGCCTGCAGATCATCGGCCTGCGACATCACCGATGGAGTTCACCCCCAATATACCCCCGCTGTCTCTCCAGGGCGTCAGTTCCGCTTCGAACTCTTCCTTTCCATCTCCAGACTTCCCTGGCTCGTCTCCCGATTTCCCGCGTTCGATCACCACTTCGTCTACCACCGATCGTAACTTTTCGAATCCCTCTTACAATCCGTCAATGGAGTTTCCTCATGCATCTGCCGACGATGTACCATCGCTGACCAGCAGTGCGTCAACGACCACCAACACGTTGAACCGGTTCTCCGCGACATTTTTCCAGCGGCCTCGGTTATCAACCGACCGTGCGGCATCTTTCTCCGCCGCAGTCCACCGACGAACCAGTCAAGCCAATGCTCCTAAGCGCTCCAGCCTCGCCAGTCTATCGAAGCTGGTCGTTGGGCCTCACGCTGAAAGGAGTAAGCTAAGTCACGAGGAAAAGCCGCCTAGTGACGAACCTGAAAAGTCTAAGAAGAAGGGTCGCCGGATTAGTCGATTGATGCACTTTTGGAGAACGAAGGACAAGGACCGGTTGAACGATAATTCTTTTCAGGAAGAACGACCATCATGAACCGAATCGGAAAATGGATCACCTGTACATAGCCAACCTGTTCACGAATCGTTCGACATGGTCTTTGCAAGATCTCTTTCGTATCGCGCCTTCGATTTTTTCTCTCTTCTTCTTTTAGCCTTTTTTCTTCTTTTATTTGTTGGGGTAACTGACGAATTTCTTTTCTCGGTATATGTTTACAAGCGTAAGAGTATGAAAGCTCTTCTATCGATTTTTTTTTACACTTTCTCGTCTCTCGTTAAAGTCCTGTTGCAATTTGCGGACATATCATTATCATCATTCTCCTTACTTTTTTCTTATTCTCCCGTTATTGGAGCCTGTTGTCTTTTGCTTCTTATCTTCTTACTCTCTGGCGGTCCACTGTGCATCTGCCCTTTTTCCATCGTCTTTACTCTCATCATTCTATGGGATATTTGTGTATGTGGCGGTTGTCCGCGTCAATCATGTCCAATTGGGATCATTCCTTTATTCTTGATTTCGATGCTGTATCTATGGGTTTAGAACCTCGCGAGGACATCTGATTATTTCAGATTTTTGTTTGCCTGCAGAATAGCATATCTACACTCCTTGACCATTCGTGGGTATTCTGATCTTCGTAAACGAGAAGTAATCTAAGAGAACGAGTGTTAATCCGGACTGTTGAGATAAATTCGGTTCCGACGGGCCGATACCAACAACCCCGTCAAAAATATATATCGCCAAAATTCATCTCCACTTCCGCCCTTCACAGTTATATATTCACAGCTCCAAATCCCGAGCTCAAAATGGGACCCCCTCGACAAGGGTCCTCCCGAAAGGCCGGCAAGGACAAAAAGAAACCATCGCAGGCCCCTCGACGGAGCAATCCGAGCAAGTCCGCCCCGAAAGAGGCAGACGAGAGAGAGAGTCCGATTGACCTCTCCGCCACCATCCCACTCACCCTGCAACAATTACTCCTGAATGTCTTCAGATCGGCACTGTTGACCACACCGGGTCCTCCGCCCACCGACTCTGCCGAGGAGCCCCGCCAACTCGACATCAAATCCCTCATCCAGACTATCAAATCTCACCTGTATAACCGGGACTTCGACTCTGCCTTCACCGACGCCAACGGCGACTTGCTCCACGCGTACGCCCTGCGCTGGAGTACCTCGCGAGCTCTGGGCTACGCGGGGCTCTTCAAGGCCCTGTTCAAGGACGTCCTTCGCCTCCCCGCAGGAGGAGATGCTGATGCTGATGCTGATGCTGATGCTGATGCTGCGACGAGCCACGTCACGCACCCGCACGTCGTCTGTATCGGCGGCGGCGCGGGGGCCGAGATCGTCGCGTTGGCGGCTATCTGGCGGGACCTGATAGACGAACGCGCCGGGAAGACGTCGTTGGCCGACGGCGTCGCTGGCACTTCTCTCGACGACGCGCCGTCTACCTCGTCTAGCAGCTCTACGCCAGCCGCATCGAGGGCAGCTCTCACCGTCACGGCCGTCGATATCGCCGACTGGTCGACCGTCGTGGATCGACTGGCGTCGACGATCGGGGCGCCGGACGTCCGCGGATCGAGAAGCCACGCGGCGCCCCTGGTCGATCCCGTCAGGGGCGGTTTCAGCGTGCGGTCGAGACGGTCGGATGTGCTGACGCTGCCGGATGAGGGGCTTAGGGAGTTGTTGCATCTCCCTGCGTCGTCGTCGTCGCCGACGTCCTCGACAGAACGGCACCAACTCGACGGGGTTGGAGAAGGAGAGGGGGAAGGGGTGGGCAAGAACCCTGCCACCACCGTCCTCGTGACGTTAATGTTCACGCTGAACGAACTCTTCTCGACATCGATGGCGAAAGCAACGGGGTTCTTGCTCCGTATGACGGATTTCCTGCAGCCCGGGACTGTGCTGCTGGTCGTCGACAGCCCCGGGAGCTACTCGACGTTGAAGCTAGGGAAGGGCGGCAATACGAAGAAGAGCGACGGGGGTGGTGAGGCGGAGACTACTGCAGCTTCGGCGTCGGCGTCGGCGCCGCAGGAGAGGAATTACCCGATGAAGTTCCTGCTGGATCATGCGTTGCTGTCCGTGGCGAAGGGGAAGTGGGAAAGAGTCTATTCGCAGGATTCGCGATGGTGGAGGAGAGAGGCTGCCCGGCTGAGCTGGGATGTTGGGGAGGGGGCGGGGTTGGAGGATATGAGGTTTCAGGTTCATATTTATAGGCGGTTGGATGGTAAGTGATATATATATATGAAGTTTTGGGGTCGGATTTTTTCTTTTTTTTTTTTTTGGATACAAGTTGGATCTTCGAGAGGGATTTTATATTTAGACGACCATGTTGGATGAAGATTACTTGGTATGATCTGCTTGCATGATATACGATATAAAGATGCTTTTTGGATACAGCAATACTGCAGCCGAAAACATGCACTTCAGTAATATGCAGAGAGGAATTGATATATGCTATTGCTACAGTTGGGTTAAGGAACATCAGAAACAGAGAGAATTAACCATACAACATCAGTTCGCCGGGGAGATCATGCACGCCCAAGATCCAGCCAGGTTTCAAAATCGGAAATAAGAGATATAGTCCAAGCTTGACAGCAAGAGAGGAAAAGAAAAAACAAATTGAAAAACACTCCACACCTTCACCAATCTAGCTCCGCAATCCCAGCAGGAGGTTCGTGCTCTTACCACCGTCCTTGCCCTCACCACCCGGCAGATACGTCACGTTGGGGTTACTCGACAGGGTATGAGCGATCTCCTTGCTGGCATCGATACGACGGATCTCGATGAGACCGCTGCCGGCCTTGGCGACGGCCTTGCTGATGATGTCGGCACTCTCGGCCTCACCTTCGGAGCGGATGACATTGGCCTGGCGCTCCTGCTCGGCGCGCTCGACGATGAAGCGGGCGCGCTCGGCGTCCTGCTGGGCGATCTGCTTCTGCTCGACGGCTCGCGTGAATTCCTTGCCGAAGGTCATGTGGGTGATGGAGACGTCTTCCAGGGCGATGTTGAACTGCGAGGCGCGCTTCATCAGGTCCGTGCGGATGCGGTTCGAGACGGCCTCACGCTGGGTGATCAGCTCGGCGGCGTCGAATTGGGCCACGATGGATTTCAGCACTTCGTTGCCGATGGAGGGGAGGACTCGCTCGTCGTAGTCGGTGCCGTAGTTCTATTTGCCCCACGATTCATTAGCCGGATCAAACTTGCGGAAGAAAGGAAGCAGCTAGAGGCGAGCACAGAGGTGACCGGAAGGATGATTGGATGAGCGAGAGAGAGGAAGGACATACCTGGTAGATAATCGGCAGCTTCGGGACATCCGGACGGTGTAGCACTCGCAGGGTCAAGCTGACCATCTGCAAATCCTTACTGCCGGTAGTGGTGGAGATGTTGCGAGGCTTGGTGCGGACGTCGTAGATAATGGACCGCTGCAGCCAGGGGATCAGGAAGTGGGTGCCCTCGTTGGCCACCTTGTCCTGCACACCGGACAAGCGGTCGAAGATGACGGCGCGGCTACCACCACGGACGTCGTAGATGGAGGCGTCGACGGCGTAGGCACCGGCGAACAGGCCGACAGCCCAGCGCATGAGCCGGGTAGAACCGTTGGCAGCCATTGTGAGAGAAGGAGAAGAGGACGTTGATGAGGGGAGGTGGGCGGGGAAGATATGGGAGGGAGAGTTAGCAGAGCAGGAGGTGTTGCAAAGAGGAGCTTAGATGATGTCGGGCTTTTCGCAGGCTGGCCCGATGCGGACTAGCGCCCTGGCTCTTCTCAACTTCGCCGTTTTGGCCCGAACCTCAGTTCCTCGACTTCTCTCGCCGTCTCTCTTGCTCGTTGTCTCGCTGCTCTCCCACGCTCTCTCATCTTTTCCTTTTCTTTATCTCAATACCTGCACAATGGGTGGCTCTTCTGTCGATCCTAAGAACGGATTGTGAGTGGTTTCTGTTTTTCCTCTGCCGTTGTGCTGGGGCTGGTCCTTGCCCTTCCGGTCATCCTTTCGGTCACGGTCAGCCCTGCGTTGCCGTTGAGCAAGGATGCCGGGGCAGGCCAATTCTAAGACGAGTGGAATGCACCTCACTACATGAGTAGCAATGCTAACTTCTGCTTGATGACAGCTTCATCGGAGAATGGGGTTCTCTCGGTAGGTTCCCGGACCCTGATACCGCCACGAGATATCGCCAGACAGGAAGAGCACGGGATACATGAGAAGGCATTGGACTTTGATATCTTCTCTCAACCCTTCTGGATGCTCGCCTCGGTGATCCCGACAAGCGAACAACGCGATTCCCGACCGAGCGATAATCTCTCCGAGCAATGACTGACCCAGTGCCCTTCGTTCTTATACAGGCTGCCCTACTCCCCAGCGCATCGCGACCTACTCTCTGTCGCCCAACCGTCAGCGCCCTCTCGCCGGTGCCTTTAACGCCGCCATCTTCAACACCTTCCGCCGATTCAGCGCTCAGGTCCTCTACGTGGCTCCCCCCTTCGTTGCCGCCTACGTCGCCATGAACTGGGCCATTGACAGGTATGTCGCGCTCGCCGGACACCGAAATTGGGAATGGACCGGGACTGACTGCGAACTCCAACGCTTCACAGAAACCACTACCTCAACTCCAAGCCCGGCCGTCTCGCCGAGGGTGGTGACGAGGAGTAAATGAAATCTCTGGAATGAGGGGACCTCCTGCTAACCGGGCGGAGGCACGGAAGGGATGGTGATTGCAATTGTACAGTAACTAGAAGCAATCGAAAGAGTTGCGCGCTATCTACTGGGTTGAAAATGCCCTCCCATCGAGTGATGATTACCTTAAAATAATGGACGAGACGTAAGAACTACTCTGGACTGGATGACGCCGTGAATTCTGGATGCGGCCATTGGCTGGCGGTAGTTGTGCCCTTTCGGGTAAGGCTGGTACTGGTATTGAGGTAGTATTCGAAGTATTAACTGGTATCTTTTTGGAGAACTTCATCTCTGGTCTGGTTGATGCCCAACAAAGTGACGTTGCAGAGAGAAGTGAAACATGAAATAAGCCGAAGGTAGGACAGAAGGCTTGAATGCTGTCCTCCTACTTTTCCCGCCTGAAGAACCAGGCGACTAAGAAAAACGAAAAAACCAACCCCAAAGCGGGCGGGACAGGCGTAATGCAAAATACCGCAAACATACGAGAATCATGAATAAGAATTTCATGAATTTCCTCGTTTCCCCCCACCTGCGACGTCTCTGCTTTTCCTCTTCTTCCTCTTCCTCTTTCCTCTCTCCATCCCTCTCTCTCTTCATCCCCTCGTCTTCTCGTCTTCGACGTTCCTACCACTCCATCACCATGTCCGAAATCACTCACCCTACCATCAAGGGTATGTTCATTCCCTTCCCCCCATGCATCTTGATCTTCAGCCCCTCCATGGCCTGCCAACTACCCCGCCTTGCTCTGCCAGACCACCATCGGTCTCAATGGATCAATTCTTGAGTTGAGCAGATAGACCGGGTCCTTCTTTTGATTCCTCCTCTCTTCATGCGCTTCAATTGTCTCGCTAACCTCTCATTTCCCTCTAGATGGCTGGTTCTCCGAGCAGTCCGACATGTGGCCCGGTCAGGCTATGAACCTTAAGGTCAACCAGATCCTGCACCACGAGAAGTCCAAGTACCAGGATGTCCTGGTCTTCGAGAGCAGCGACTACGGTACCGTCCTCGTCCTGGACAACGTTATCCAGTGCACCGAGCGTGATGAGTTCTCGTATGTTTATTTATTTTTTTTCTTTCTTTCTCCATCTACCCCTCCCTCTCCCCATGCACGAAAATACTGATAAAATTTCAGCTACCAGGAGATGATCACCCACCTGGCCATGAACGCTCACCCCAACCCCAAGAAGGTCCTGGTCATCGGTGGTGGAGATGGCGGTGTCCTCCGTGAGGTCGTCAAGCACGAGACCGTCGAGGAGGCCATCCTTTGTGACATCGACGAGGTATGAATGTCCATTGTCCCATGGTGATTCTTGCCGCGCAGAAGAATCCCACCATGGTTCCTGTCAAAATGAAGACAAGCAACTCACCACCGTTCTATAGGCCGTCATCCGTGTCTCCAAGAAGTACCTCCCCGGTATGAGCATCGGCTTCCAGCACCCCAACGTCAAGACCCACGTTGGCGATGGCTTCGAGTTCCTGAAGAACCGCCTGAACGAGTTCGACGTTATCATCACCGACAGCTCCGACCCCGAGGGTCCCGCCGAGAGTCTCTTCCAGAAGCCCTACTTCGAGCTCCTCAACGGTGCTCTCCGTGAAGGAGGTGTCATCACCACACAAGGTTGTTCGTCGCCTTTCCTTTTACCTGTCTTCTGCCCTCTTTTCCTCAAGCATAATTCCCCTTTGTATCTTCCTTCCCTCGTTTCTTTCTTTCTTTCTATTGTTTCTCTCTATATATGTCGCTCTCTTCTCGCCACTTTTTGTCTATTTTCCTATACTCATCCCCTCCCACATCCTATCAAAAACCACCGCACTTTGATTTATCCTTGAGAAACCTTGAAGCTAACCTATCTGCTCCCCTAAACCGCCCGACCATCTCGGGATTGGTTTTGGGTTAGCGTTTCCCTCCACAGCCGAGAACCAATGGCTGCACCTCTCCCTGATCTCCAACCTCCGCAAGGCCTGCAAGGAGGTCTTCCCCGTCGCCGAATACGCCTACACCACCATCCCCACCTACCCCTCCGGCCAGATCGGCTTCATGGTCTGCTGCAAGGACGCCAACCGCAACGTGCGCGAGCCCTCTCGCACCTGGTCTCGCGAGGAGGAGGAGCGTCTCTGCCGCTACTACAACCAGGACATCCACCGCGCCAGCTTCGTGCTGCCCAACTTTGCCCGCAAGGCTCTGAACAACTAGGCTTGCTACCTATTTAATCTTTTTTTTTCTCTGGTTTAGAAATTCTTATGATTACCCCCTCCAACATCTTCTTTATTTTCCTCTTTCTCTCTCTCTCTATCTCTTATCTGATTTCCTTTGCTTCTGGATCTCGGTTACTGCTCTTTCTTTCCAACTTTTGATATCTTGGGAGGAATGACTCGTATTTTCTATCTAGAGGCGCCTAGGGGGTCTGATAATCCACGATAATCCATGACGGTCTGAAGAAGGCTTGACTTATACACTGGAAGCCTTCATTGTATTGCGTTTATGATCTCTTCGTGGGTAGCGGAAACGTCAAGTGAAGGCCTTGAAATAGTCAACCGAATCTATCAAAACGGACGGTCTACAAGCGCCAGTCAAGTGTAAACTCCAAACATCGAAACAGTGGTATTCTTATTTTTGTAGACTAGGATTCTCCCTCTAAATCTACTACAGAGCCAATTCAGATCAAGAAAAAAGATGAACAGAAATAGGCACGCAATTTTCTCAAAACAAAATTCGTCAAGCCGTGGATTGGAATAAATAGGACTTCTCCCTGGCAGACCAGGGATCAACATCGTCCCAAGTTACATTTCATAAAACAAGAAATTAACGTGAACACATCATGTCGCTAGGTCATGAGAAGACATCTACAAGATCTGCTGGAAGGCACGGTTGATGGGCGAGCGCACGGGCGTGCCCTTGTAGAAGTCGATGGTGGCCAGAGCGCGCTTGCTGATGCCCTCAGGGGTGAACTCGAATTTCTGAATTTCGAATTAGTACATGCATAGTGAGAATTAGAGCAAGGTGGAGAGCTATCTTACCTTGTAGACATCCTTGTAAGGACCCGAGGCACCGAAGCGGTTCAGACCGAACTGCTCGTGAGCGTAACGCTCCCAACCCATGGTGGAGAGGGCCTCGACGGACATGACGGGGATGTTGTCGGGGAGGACCTTGAGCTTGTAGGCCTTGTCCTGGGCGTCGAAGACCTCGAAGCAGGGCACGGAGACGACGCGGGCGGTGACGCCGTGCTTCTCCTTCAGGTAGTTGGCGGCCTCAACACAGATGCTGACCTCGGAACCGGTGGAGATGAGGGTGACGGCGGCGTCGGAAGCCTCGATGACGGGGTAGGCACCCTTCAGAGCAGCCTCGATGGAGTTGCCCTCCAGCTGGGGCAGGTTCTGGCGAGTAAGAGCCAGGATACTGGGTGTGTGCTTGGAGGTGAGGGCGGAGTAGTAGGCAGCGCTGGTCTCGTTGCCGTCGGCGGGACGCCAGACCATGCAGTTGGGGAGAGCACGGAAGTGGGCCAGGGTCTCGATGGGCTGGTGAGTAGGGCCGTCCTCACCCAGACCAATGGAGTCGTGGGTCGCGACGTGGATGACACGGACGCGGGAAAGGGCGGACAGACGGACGGCACCGGCGGCGTAGGAGACGAAGTTCAGGAAGGTACCACCGGCGGGGATGTGGAGGCCGTAGGCGGCAAGACCGTTCATGACGGCAGCCATGGCGTGCTCACGCACACCGTAGCGGAGGTAGCGGCCGGACCAGTCGCCGATGCCGTACTCGGGGGGCTGGAAGTCGACGGCGTTCTTCCAGCGGGTGTTGTTGGAGCCAGTCAGATCGGCGGAGCCGGACAGCAGCTCGGGGATGACGTCGTGGATCTTCTCGAGGACGGCCTCGGACAGCTTACGGGAAGCGACAGCGGCGTCGCTGGACTTGTAGACGGGCAGGCTCTTCTCCCAGCCCTCGGGAAGCTTGCCAGAGAGACGACGGCTCAGGTCGGCACCCTCGGCCTTGTGCTCAGCAGAGTACTTCTGGAAGAGCTGGGACCACTCCTGCTCCTTGGCGGCACCCTCGGCGGCGCGCTTGTGGTAGAGGTCGTAGACCTGCTGGGGGACGACGAAGCTCTGCTTGGGGTCGAAGCCAAACAGCTGCTTGACGCCCTCGCAGTCGTCGGCCTTGAGGGGGTTACCGTGGACACCACCGGTACCCTGCAGCTTGGAACCGAAACCAATGGTGGTAGTCAGGCGGATCATGGTGGGCTTGTCGGTGACGGACTGAGCCTCGCGGATGGCGGCCTCGATGCCCTCAAGGTCGTTGTCACCGTCCTTAACCCAGACGGTGTGCCAGCCGTAGGCCTCGAAGCGCTTGGTGACATCCTCGGTGAAAGCACACTTGGTGTCACCGTCGATGGAGATACCGTTGTCATCGTAGATACCAATCAGGTTGCCAAGCTTCAAGTGACCGGCCATGGAAGCGGCCTCGCTGGCAATACCCTCCATAGCACAGCCATCACCGAAGTAGACGTAGGTGTGGTTGTTGAAGAGGTTGTAGCCGGACTTGTTGTAGGTACCGGCAGCCTGGGCCTGGGCAATGGCCAGACCGACGGCGTTGGCGAAACCCTGACCCAGGGGACCCGTGGTGACCTCAACACCGGGGGTGTCGTGAGCCTCGGGGTGACCGGGGGTGATGCTGTCGAGTTGCTGTGGGAATTATTAGTACCGATAACACGAAAAAAAAAAAAAAAAAAAAAAAAAAAAAGGGCAAGACATACTCTGAAGGCCTTCAGGTCATCCATGGAGACCTTGTAGCCGAAGAGGTGGAGCAGAGCATATTGGAGCATGCAACCGTGGCCGTTCCTGTGAGGGGGTAAGCGATTAGCCGCCAATCTGATAAGAACAGATAACAGAAGACGTACGAGAGAACGAAACGATCCCGGTTAGCCCAGTCGGGGTTCTGAGGGTTGAAGTTCATGAACTTGTTGAAGAGAACGTGGGACACGGGGGCCATGCCCATGGGGGCACCGGGGTGACCGGAGTTGGCCTTGAAGGTGGCATCGACCTGGATGGGGAATTAGCATCAGAATGGGAAACCCGGTGAAGAGTGCTCCGGAGCCCATGTTCCGTGGGGTGGAGATGAGAGGAGACGCCGCGGAGAGAGCGAGAAGTTGAGGATCGCAGGCAGCGATGAACCCTTCATTCCAAAGGAAACTGAACAGCCACCGAGAAGCATAGCTTAAATCCCGCAGTTCCGAAACCACTCGCCCGCAGCTCCCAGAAGCATCTCATCCTGCCGCGGCGAACATGAGGACTCGGAGCTTTCTCCAAGAGACGTACCGCGAGAACACGGATCGTGTTGATGGCCAATTGGTCCAAGTCGGTGTAACCCATGATTGCAATGTCTGTAGCGATGACGAAGGTTAGCTACGGAGATGGAATGAAGCTGTCGAGTGAAGTGAAGGCATATACATACTCTTCTCTCGATATACTTTTTAGACAAAAAAGAAAAGAAAACAGCGAACAAAGCCCGTCTTGCGTGAAATGGAAAAGCAACGACAGGGGAAGAGAAATCACAACAAGAGGAGAGAGAGATGGGAGAGAAGAAAGAAGGAAGGAAGAAGGAAGAGAAGAGGGAGGAGAGCCGAAGAAAAGAGGAGGGAGCCGAACGGGCAGGAGGGATGGAGGGGTCTCTGAACTGGGCAGGTGGGGGCAATGATGTCTTCCGGTGGGGCAGCGGCCTTTTCTCTTCTCTCACCGGATGCACTGGTCAGTCTACAAGGTACATTCATGGCTGCAGATGGACATTGCCTGGACGGACAGTATTCGTAGTACCTAGGGAATACGACAGGGATTTCTCATATTCTCAGTACGGGCTATCGTTCCAGCTGAGGTTGACCTCGATGCAAACAAACTGCTCGAGGCCAAGTATATAAAGTTCTGCCTCAGGCACCCACGCCCCTCGGATGATCTCAACAAAATCCATCCATTCTTCTTCTGCTTCTCTTACATCAATCCATCCCCGGAGTTTTTCCTGTTTGAAACCAGTTACTTCTGTCAGTCTGACATTATCCATCCATCCTACCTACACATACGATGTAGGTTTCTTCTATCTACCTTCGCCCTTTGTCTAGATCAACGCCAATCTATCCAGACACTTCACCATGCAGATCCCATGAGTTGGCCGACCTTCCGTGCCCCCCCGGTCTGGACTGGGATCGACTGAATAATGCTTTGTACCGCGTCGGGAGATTTCTGTCGCGGAGGAACTAATTAACTAGAAAGCCATCCCACTCTCACGGCCTGTTCTATAATCACGGAGCACAGTACTCAGCATTAGTCACGGTTCAACACCTTCTGGGTCCGGAGGACGCTGCTCCGATGTCCTGGCGGTGGGCGTGTGAAGATTCTTTTCCTTCATTTGATCGGAGACTTCTCCTCGTGGGATTACTTCATCCTATGGGGGTTTCTCACGTCTTTCTATCTGGACTAGGGGGGTATTGTTTTTGGTGGTTGTAGTGTTGTAGTAGTATGGAGGATGTAAAGGTCCCCCGCCACGTACCGAGCCATCCGATCACAGATTTCACGCAATAACACCAACAACAACAACAACGACAAATCAAATGTATAACGAAAAAAAGTCAATCCCCGGCTTTCACAAGCTCTCTCCGCCAACGAACCCGTCAACGTCCAATCCGACATGCGGGAGTTGGCTTCCTGCGATCGGCCGACTCCGGATTAGCTGGACTAAATATAAGGACCTATTAGATAGTGTAGTAGGTTCACCTGGGAGTGGGGAATTTGATATCAACCTCACTTCACGAGCAGAGACGAGCATAGACCGTCTTGGACGACGTCATGGCGGACAGAAAACCAGCTCTTCAAGGCCGAATGTACCCGACTTGCATCTCTTCGTGCATGCAAAGGTCAAGGGCAATGTGATGCATGGCGCCGCATACGTCGAGTGTCAAATCTATCAGCGCGGGGAAAGAAGGAATGGAAAAAGAGGGAGAAAGAATGTGATGTCGATCAAATCAATTTCATAAACAGTGACCATTATGTATGTACGACGTGCCTCGGTCACGAACAAGGTCACTGCGGCAGAAGATACTAAATAAATCGTTCAAGTCAAAGACGCGCCTAATCCCAATTTCATATCCCAACGCACAATCCACAAACATGAAACGTCAAACACATCAGAACAGAAGACATCCAAACACCACGGCGTTTCATCCCGGAGCTTGTGATGTTCGACCCAAGACTCCCGACAATTGACCAGGTATCACAGGAAGAGGAAACAAACACAAAGCGATAAATAACAACACACAAAATCGTATCCTGGATGGACTAAATCAATCAATCCTTCCAGACGCCATTCCCAATCAAGAACACCAATCGTATCCCAAAATCAAAAATCAAAGAGTTTCAACGGTTTAAACGGCCAGTCGCCGATCCCATCCGCCCAGACCAAAGTCGTCCACCTCGTCTTCCACCGCCGGCATCATGACCGCCCGGAACGGATCTAATAAAGTGGCCTGGTCCTCCGGAGACAGCCGCATGTCGTGGTACCCCACGCCGTCCTCCGCGCTGCCCATGCTCTCGTCCGAGTAGCTGAGCACGCTTTGCGCCACCACGTCCTGGTTGGGCGGTATGTCACTGCCGCTGGTGGCCGACCAGGCCTCGGGCGACAGTCCCTGAACGTCCCCTGGCGGTGCAGCTAGCGGCACGCCGCGGGAATCCGGTTTCTGTCCGTACTCGGCGGTCAACGACGCGAACGGTCCGCTGTCTTCTCCACATTCCTTTCCGCCGTAAATGCCGGTGAAGATGTTTGAGTATCCGCGGTCCATGTCGCTGAGCACGAACTCCCAGTCCGACATCGTCATTGTTCCCGACGTTCCGTCCGCCGGTGCCGAGCTAGCCATCACCTGGCTCGGGTCGTAACCACCCGTGGGCGCCGCATAATACGCCTTGTCGGTAGGCACGTGGATCGGGTGGAAATTGTCGGGCGGCAAACTGGCCCAGCTGGAAGACCGAATCCGCTGTTGGGAGATTTGCGGACTCATGCCGGAGATCGTGGCCCGGCGCGACGGGGAATCCTGCTTACTCGGATGGTCCGCGCCGCTATGGCCAGCCAACCGGTTCTTCCAAGACTGCAAGTGCTTCTTAGGCGATTTCAAGGGCTTCTGCGTCGGTGGCGACATTTCTTGTGCTTTACTGGCGGGGGCACGCTTGCTGCTATCCAGCGATACCAAGATGTTCGCCAGGACGCTGAATTCCGCGGCGGCAGGCGACGACTCGGACTCGATCTGGTTGACGACAGTCGTCAAAAGTTTCTGGCTTTCCTTGACAAGCTTGCTGTCGCGCTTGAGGCCGAGATTCTGCCAAAGAAGTCCCAATCCACAAGCAAAGACCAGCTCTTTCCGGTTGATGCTGACGGAGAGACAAAGACGCCGCTCGTCAAGCAGCTCCAAGATTTGAATAATGTGCTTACTCGAGTCGGCGATGGCGAGCACAGATGGCGAGCGGATGTGTTCCTCGCCGAAGCAGACAGCGGGACGATGAATCAAAGACCGAATGAAGTAGTATACCAGGGACTGGTAAGACAGTTAGCGATTGGGCCTTACAAATGTGTGAGCGGGCCAGTACGTACCAGAAGCGGCGAGCGGCTACTCGTCACATTCGTGCTAGGTTTATCCTGAGAGAATTCTAGGCGAAGGTGAGCGGGCAACGCCTGAACCCACTGATCCAGTTGGCCAGCAACCGAACGCATTTTGGACACGGGGATGTCGTAGCCACCATCAGACGGATACATATCTTCCAAGGCTTTGTTCAATACCCTCGAGGCAGCGAACAGGGCAATGGCACCGGACACACGGGTCGACTCTCCGGGCAGTGTCGGCAAAAAGCCCGTTTCCGTGACATTCTCGTCATCGATGTCCTCGGGGTACTCAGTGCGGATGTCGCCCTCGCGTAGAACGACGGGCAAACCGGTCAAGGCGGCAGTGAAACTATGGCTGAGTCAGAGAGTTACATTCACGCAGACGGACAAGGTGGGACAAACCGGTCGAGCACGTATTGACACCAGAACACCTTCTTGCGGGTCTCGGCCAAGAGGGGGTTCGCCGAGAAGCGTTTCTGGCTCTGATGGAGTCTCAGCTGATGGCAAATGCCAACAGAAAGACTCCGATAACGCAGAAGGCTAGTGTAGTCGCCCTTGGTCATGCAATAGATCTGGGCTAGAACAAAGCACTGCAGCGTTGGAATGGAGATATCGCTCGAAAGCAACTCCAAAGCGGGCGACCAATTGTCTTCAAAAAAGGCGGGATCCTGGTTGGTCCTCGACTGTCGTAGTGAGGTGTTAGCAATTCGTATCGTAAGCGCTCCGCGTGGGGGGGAGGGGGGGGGGGGCTCAATCTTACAATCGAAGCAAGAGCGGCAATGCCAAAGATCAAGTTCAACTGTGTCATGTCATGCTTGTTGCTCTGTAAGGATTCCGTATTCGATAGATACTGCTCGTAAGCTTTGAGGATGGTGGGCCTGTGCACTACCGGGTACAGAGGGGCCCATTCTTGGAAGAAGATGTTGATGAGTTGGTCGGACACCAAGCGAGGCGCAGTCTTGATCTCCTGATCGACACGAGAATGTGAGATAGGCGACGGCGAGGCCTTTAAGACACGGGTCGAGACGTTCGAGGGCAGTCGACCTTGTTCCATGAGTCTGTTGGTGAAGGTATCTAGACAGGGTGAGTGGTAATGCCTCAACGGCGGCAACGGCGACATCTTCCAACCCTAGGAGGGGAAGTAATACTTACCAGAGAAACCACGGGCACTGGAGACACCAGCACACTCCTCATCAGCCGTTTCCTCTGGCTGCGAGGACTGCGGCACCTGAATCAAATCCTCGGCGGGATTGGACGCATTGGTCTTAACCGGCACGGACGGCGACCGGGACTTCTGATGCGACGAGGAGAAGGAATGTATGCGGGACAGGACATCGATCTTCTCGTCCTTCTCGTCCAACAAGTTCTTCAAGTCCCGCACCTCGCTCTCCAGGGCTCTGACCCGCTCCTCCAACGATTCCGTGTATCCGCGGGGGAACGCTCGACGGCTGAGCTTGTCGCTGGTCTTGCACTCGAAGCCGACGTTGGCGCATTGTGTACAGCACGGTCGGACGCCGTCACAGCGAATCTTTTTGCTTCGGCAGCGGTCGCAGGCCTGGGCGATACGGCTCTGCGAGGTGCTGCCGACCTTGATAACTTTCATAGGTAGGATTCCGGGCATATTGGCGGGATGCTCTAACGCATCTGCCTCGGCAGGATGGGTGGTCGTGTCTAAATGTCCGGATCGGCGGGATGCTTGCCTTTTGCTTTCTGTGCGTTCTGTTGGCTCTCTGCGAGTGGCGGGTAGGGTACGTGAGCAGTGTAATATCGAAATCGAAAAAGTTGAAAATGTCCACCGGGTCTATAAGAATGAATTGTATAGATCGAGTTTGATGAGGCGTTGTAGGAAGTGAACAAGGAACACTGAATCGGACGAGAATAGAAGAGGGAGGAGTGTCGAGGAGAGAAAGGCCGGGGTGATCCAAGAGGCGGGCAAGTATGATGGTTCGGGTGGCGTGGATGTGGAGGAGAAGGAGGGAGGAGGAGGATGATGAACCGGAGAGAGGAGAGAGAGTAAGAAAGAGAGGCCAGCCAGACCGGGGAGAACCACAGAACTTTCAACTTTTCCATGTTGTACGCAGAGGGTATCGCGTATTGAGCGGGTGACGGCAGCCGGCTCGAAAAGGGGGGCGGTGGGGTTCTCCAGGTGGGGTCACCTGCCCGTCTGGACGCCAATCATGGCGCTTTGCTTACGATTCTGGCATTCGGCGCTGCCTCGTCCGTATTGCCCTTACCGTAAGGACGGTAAGGTACGCCTGCAGTACTCCTGCGCTCCCGGAGTCTCCTGGAGGTTTGTTGGACTCTCACGGGGTAACTACGGAGTACCATCTATAGATAACCATGAAGGCATCTTCCTCATACTCAAGCATACAAAACTCCTGGACAATGCTGCCCCTTCACTGTACTGCCTAACCGTACCTCGCACCGCAGGATGACGACTTGCGCAAACCGTCTCCCTACATACATCCAACTATTGCCCTTAGCATGGCCCATGAATGCAATCCTCTCGGCCTAGGCACCGAATCGTCATGGGTGCGATATCTCCTCCGTACCATTTCCTCCAACGACAGTCCCTCGACTGGGCCAGGGGGCGATGTCGGATCGTCCTCGACGGTCTTCTGTTCTTCACGAACATCCCAGGTTCCCGTCCGCTCGACACAGTATAGTATGGCGCAGTACACATAATGTATCGGGGCCCCGAATCCTGTCAACAGCCCAAACTACTCCGAATTCGGTGCGTATCGGACTATCGACAACCCAGTTGGTTCGTGATGGTCACAACTTGCGTTCCCCGGTTTGGAGGTGATCGTCCACTTTCGGAACCATTAAAGCTTTTTCCACATTTGTGCTCCCAGAGGTCCTTGGGACCTGGAGGACAAGTCAGTGAAAGTCAGTCACCCAAATGTGGATGAGAACGAAGATCTTTTCCAGCCTTTCCGACCCAATTGCCCCCCCTCTCTCCCGGTCTCTCTCGGTTTCCCCTCCTCCCCGCAATGGCGGGAGATCCTAACAAAGGTTGAAACTTGAAAGATAACGCGAGTGCATGCCAATGCCGCCGATTCGGCCAAGGGCATCTGCAAGATGCGTGAGTGTAAAACAGAAGCTGTCGCATCGAATCAAATATCGGTCCCTGGTTCTGCGGGATTTTCTGGGTTTTTTTTTATCTTTGCTTTTTTTCTTTCCCCTGCAAAAGTAATTAATTTGTCTGGTCGGTCTCAGACTAAAAGCGCCAGCGGGATCCCATCGGACAGGGAAGTCACGGCTCTCCGTCCACATTATTACGAGGCCCGAGTCTTGGCCGAATTTCTCCGCCACGAGGGAAGCCATTGTCCATAAACCATACTCCGTATCATTCTCTTGCCATTTCCCTTTTTCGACTGAAATCGGGTTTGATCGAGGCTTCGAGAGCCGAAAGTGTGTCGTGAATGGTCAACGTTCCCCCGGTCGTTCGCGGCTAGAAAATCGCGGGGGATCCGAGTTCCATCGTCCGATCCTGAGAAACGACCGTCGAGGGATTGGAGGACAAGATTCTTGGAAGTTGGTTGGCGTCGTCCGCGAGGTGGGGTTGAGAATCGCGCGGAGAGGGAGCCCTAGAATAACCATGATTGGGGGACCTATGAGATTGAGATCACTGCTCAGACATCCCGCCTCAAAGATAGGTTTGGTTCTTGGATGGTCTCGCAGTCTGGTTGAGGAAATGAGATGGTGAATTGAGGCCGAGAGTTGACCGAGAAAATGGCAGCTGTGGAGGTCAAAGTTTCCAGTCTTGAACGATTTGGGCTGACGGCTGCCGTCAACTGCCGAGGTTCTATTTCCAGATGGCCCCATCAATGTTCAACTGTTCAATAATGTTCCACCTCACGTATGCAGTGATACACCATGCAGAGCTTATCCAACACCCTTGACTTCTGCAATAGACACGGTTCGAATTTCAACACGTACATGGTCGCTAACTTCGTGGCCACCGTCGATTTATGGTTCCTGGTATTACCCCCCGTTACAGCCTGACTTCAATATGTTAAACCTAGCGCTGTCCAATCCTTGGTACTCACGTTACTCCCCGACCTCGTTCCGCAGTCGGCCCTTGCCACCCAGATCCAATTCCCCTGGTACTGAGATCCGGTCGAACCTTTCTTGCGAGTCGGAGAACGTCATCGCACCCCGACTGTCGGGTGTCGGTAGTCTACTCAAGGCCCTCAAGCGCGATCGCGACCCAATTCTTGGTCAATCCACGTTGTACCCCAACCGGAGAAGTCGATCCCACTTAGTCGCTCCGTGTGATTCGATGGAACCCAAGTCCCCACGCGTGGCTGGTCCAAAACTTTGATCGCCATTGAAGATCGGGTCGTCATGATTGTCCTAATATGTCATCTATCGACGGACGCCCTGAATGTAGAGTGCCATCACATTTTCAATGAATCATAATGCATTGGATGGCCACATCACGAGAAATCTTCTTCGACATCGCCTGACTGTTGACTGTTGAGGTAAGCGCTGACCGTCTCCGTGGTCATCAAATCGTCTCTCTACAAGGGTGGGTTAAGAATTAGCGTTCACGGGGTAAACCAAGAAACCATCCACAAGTCGGCATGAGATTGCTTACCTGTTTTGCGAGGTCCCCAATCGCCTTCTCCAACATCTTCGCTTCTAACCCTCGCAGTCTCATAACTGTATCAAACACGTCAGGCCTAAAGATTTCCCGCATACGCTCGTCTTGACTGATCTCCGCAATCATCCCTTGGGTCTGCTGAAGCGTAAAAAATTGGGTTTCCAGCCGATCCAGGATTGTCACGACGGCTCGCAGCTGGAATACATCCCATAGGGGATCCGTAGCTAAACAGTTTCTGAGATCCCCGGAGAGGTCCACTTCTTCACCTTTCCAACTAGCTCTCAGCTCTCGCCCGCCGTCATTGGTTTGCAGCACGTTAAAATCGAGTCCATCCTCCTCGTTGACGCAAGCCCACCAAACAAATGGGCTGTCCCAGCCGGTGCTCTGAGTTTCTGAACTTGCAGGAGGCGATAGTATCCGGACACCTGGCGCACCCTTGTAGAACGCCATCTTTGCCATCTTCAACGGGTCGTCATCGGGGATATCAAGATCGACGAAGACCTGATTGGCCGCCGTTCGTTCGGGGTTAAGAAATCCGTACGAAAAAACCATCTCCGATGCTGGTTTCTCGTTGCCATACCTTCAACCGTCGCCACGAGCATTAGCTGCTTCCGTCCCTGGTGATGCACGCGCACAGAATAAACCGAAGACTTACGATATGGTAACCTCATCGCCAGCATTCAACTTCTTGCCCCAACGCAACCGCAGAACGGCGTTCCCCTCAATATCTTCGTCATACAGCGCCTTCACCGCATCACCCGACGCATGATTTGCCATATCAACGCAGGGCACCATCGCGTGGCCACTGCTTGGTAGATCAACCATGCGCGAGCGGTACACGGCATCGACATACCGCCAGTCATCGAACGTAAATCTCCCGGTCTCCTCATCCCACCACAATTTCTCGCACCAGGATATACTCTCCGTGGACTTGCGCAGATGCTCAAATTCTTTCTCGAGGGAGATGACCTTCGCATCGACCGCCAGCCGGAGAGAAGTGCCCTGGAGCAGCTCTAGCTCTTCTTCCGTGTAGAACGTAGGCAGTGTGATTGATGGCGGCATGTACTTGACGTATTCGGACCACGGATTCGACACCCCGATCTTATGCGGCTCGGTCGTGAAGTCTGGACTTGAATGTGTGATTTGCATGATCAGGAAGATCAGGATTGCGCCGCGTGCGGTCTGCTTTCATCAGCTTGTTTAACCCTTCAATCAACTGAGATGTAAAATCCTCCCCTCTGTATTCAAGAGAGGCCCCGAAAACGCCAAAGGAAAGAAAAATATAAAAAAACCAAAGAACATACCCTATCAAACTCCCCCACCGCATCCAACACTTCCTTCAAATACCGATCTGTCTTCGCATGCGTCTCAACCATCTGAAGCGAAAGCACCATATCGGATGACACGCTCAGCAGAACATCCCCAGCATCCCCACCTCCCTCTTCAGATGCATTTACTCTCTCCTCCGTCGCGACAATCGCAGTCCCCTTGTCTGCGCCGTCGTCGTCGCCCGTCGGCGCGAGCTTCCGGAACGCGACGCCATTGGTCGTGATGCCGTTCAAGCGCGCCCAGGAGGGAAGGGTCTCGAGGGGGAGGTATTCGCGTTTCATGACGGGATGTTAGATTATCAGGATTTGCGTTGTCTGGGCTTCACAGTGCAATGTTTTATGTGTGTAGATGCTTGAAGAGCTCAGCTCAGCTCAGCTACTGAAGTGGTTGATTGCCCGGGGTCTGCATCACCCCCACCTTACTGTTATCGATAAGAGCTTAGCCGGTTACCCTAAGCCCTAGCTGTCTTTCCTGCTTGGGTGGGCAGTATTTGTTTCCGAGGGCGCGGTGTTTGAGAGCATGTACGGTGGATGTGCTCTATACTTACTTTGCAATAAACTACAAGGAACTCTAGTTTTGGCATCTAATCCCATGCTATGAGAATGTAAACTATGTTAGTCAATGAATCAATCTTCTTATCGATAAGCCGGACCCTAAGCCCTACTATCCCAATCCGGTAGAGCCGGACATTGCAGCATCGAGACGTCATAGCCACCAGCTACCAAAGTAACCAGCCATCAGGGATACATTGATGGCGAGCCAAAAGAAAAAACTGTAGTTCTCGATAACATACACCTCAAATAGTCTACATTGATTGCTCTTTTGCAAACAGATTCCATATTTCCTACACTTTCCGACGATAATTCTACTACTAGAGTTGTCTCGCTCTACACCAGAATCAACACATCAATCACTCAACATGCCTATCAATCCTCGCCTCCCGGCTATAACGTCACTGCTCCGAAACGCTCCCATCCCACGCGCCTCGCCTCCCTACGTCCTTTCGCTACGATCCGTCGGACAGAAGCGCTTCGAAGGCATATTGGCGCCGGAGTGGAAGGGAACGGGTGCGGAGGACCATGCGTCCCAGAGAACCAAGAAAGGAGATAACACCGATCCAACTACGGATTCGTCGGGCGCTGGGATGCAAGAGCGGGAGGAATCCGAGGGGGTTCGGAATGATGCGAAATCACAGGCCACGACGGAGAGGGGAGGATTGCAGCATGGAAAGCAGGCTAAGAAAGAGCATCCGAAGGCACCGGAGCCGATTATCGGGATGAATGATGAGAGGGCACAGGTATGTTATGGTGTTTCTCAACCCTTCTCTTTTCTTTGTCTGTCAATGAGGTCAATGGCTGACATGTTCTCATTATACAGAAGGGTCAGTGATTCTTGCTGTTTGGAAGGGGGGTTTTTTTTTGGTTCTCTTGGTTTTGAGTAACTGGGAAAATCATCTGAACATTTTTCTTTTTCTCTTTTGTATCGTTCATTACCAGACATTAGCTGTACAGAATTGTATCACTATCACAATGGTTTAACGGCCAGGCTTGAAGCTGAGGACCTATGGGAGAGAGAAAAGCGCGGTCAGCAATGGATCTTCAGAATAAACCAAGAATGTTACTACACATACATCGTGTTTCCCAACTTCAACAATGTCATCTTCCGAGACACGGACACCGCCAACTCCTTCGATGTAGGAAATTGGTACATCGCCCATAACCTTGTGAGCAACGTAGCCCACCGTGCTGTTCCTACTAGGGGTTAGCAAGACACATACAGCCAGAAGGATGTGGAGGGCTCACTTCTTGACAAGAACGCAATCTCGGAATACAGCGGATCCGGCACCGGACGAGAAGGTGGAAATGTTTCGGACGGGGAAGACGGGTACAAGTCCTAGCAGTTCCGCAGCTCGTGAGAGACATTGTACCACTCCGGTAGACCCGAATCGGTAAAGTACCATGTCCTTCATGTTCTCAACGCGGCTGGTTCATCGTTAGACACAGATGTCAAGAGGAATCGCAACAGGGTGTCGTACTTCTTCAACTTCTCATCCATCTCCTTCAATCCACCTCCATCGGCATCGCCCATATCTATAAGATCTTCTCGTGTATCTAGAAATTCACTTCCCTCCACATATTTGATGTAATTTTGCTTTGCGAGTCTTCGCAGGAAAACCTCTGAAATGGCGGAACAAAGAACGATGGACTGCGGATCTTGCATTTTGGCGATTTTGCTGATGTTCTGTCCCATTGCTGTTAGTAGCGATCCCAGCGAAGAACCACATGAGATAATCACGAACCTTGTCTGCGTCGGGGTGGTCGATTTTGTTCAAGGCAAACACCGTGGGGAACTTCTCGTCAATAAAAGCTTCCACCACTTTCTGGATCGTTTCGTCCGACCACTCCTCAAGAGGCTCCTTCAGCCCTATTCGGTCCAAGCACCTTCCCACAATCGCTGTCGTACTTCCGTAACCGGAGAATTGGTTCTGCAAGGTATCCACCGCCGTCGACTCTTGGGACAAGGTCAGTACATGTTATTAAGTCCGCAACGAGGACAGGGATACTCACTAATCGCCATATGTCTTCTCTTGATTGATCCCCTGCCGACAATCAGCATCTGATGATGATAAGCGACCCAGCATACGTACCATTTCTGCATCAGGTTTCCGAGAACCCATCGCACGATCTCCGAATGCAGCCATTCAATGTCTTGCGAAGGGTCATAACCTCGTGTCGCCTTTCCTATTATCCCAACCTATGTCAACCACGATCCTTGATATGCAACGCAGACAGGGTGCTACCAGACCTTCCGCATCTGTTGTTCCGCTAACATCCACCACATGAATCAATGCGTCTGCATGGCGCAGGTCATCCAAGAACTTATTTCCCAGTCCTCGACCTTGATGCGCACCCGGCACAAGACCAGCCACATCGAGAAGCTCAATCGGGACAGACCGCCGTCCCTCAAAACAGCCTCCGTAGTTCGGTTTGCACTTGTCCGAGACGTTGTATCGCTGGCAGGCGCATTCTATTTGAAGGTACCCAATGGCGCGCTGAGGGTCGATAGTGGTGAAGCTAAGATCGTCGCAGAGATGTTAGAGTGTTCTCGAAGGAAACATTGCGGAATGCAGTAGGAGTAGTAGTATGCTAGGAGTAGTAGTATGCAGAGCGCATATCTCGGCGTGGATTGAGACGGCGGTGCCACTCACGGGAAGTTTCCTAGATGCGGAATCCCATCGTTAGCATGCGTAGTGATTCCACTGTATGTGCAATTCAAATCCCTTACCAACTTTAGAAGAAGCATCGGTCAAACTGTTCAGCGTGGTCGATTTCCCGCTAGATGGCTAATGCCCCTCAGTTCAGTCAGCGGGCGTATCTTGCGCGGGGAGGGAGAGGGGAGACAGACCTTTCCAACCAACCCGATCAACGGATCCCTTGGCATTTTGTTATATCGGGATTTGAAAGTCTATATATGAAAAAGAAAGAATGGACAGCAGTCTATATGGGTCTAATTCAATCCAGTGTATCGCTGCGACAGCGGGGAAATGATTGTAAATTCTGCAGTCTGTGATAGGAAAGCGGTGTGCAGATACCGGTAGGAAGATCGCGAGATTGCCGGCACTCCGTTCGCATTCGGATCGCTCCTCTCCATCCTCAACTGTTCCCATTATCTATCTTTTTCGGCATAGTCTTCTGAATCGAGACATCCAAACCTAACCACTAGCCGCACCTCAACTAGGGAAACTCAGAACGGCCAATTCAACATACCTGCGGATCTAGAATGAAACCGCCGCAAAGAGCTGTCCAACAAGAGCTGAGGACGACCAAACCTGCCCCTTTCTAGCTGAACCATCTGTACAACATTCGAAAACGTTCTTCACCCGTTGGACCAATATGAGCAGATTGGACATATTACGCCTACCGAAAAAACCCCGCCAGAGTCGACCGGCGAAATCGATGCTGTGCAACCCGATAGGGTTTGCGAAGCCAAACTATACTCTGGGAACTATGACTGAGACATCTCAGACGAGCGTGGAGGGTCATAATGGTGACATTTGGGCCGTATAGCATAAGTTGTCCGGCGGGTTCGGGAACGTCACGATTCAAGACGTTGAAAAGGGATATTCGGCAATTTCGCGAGATGAATCTTCAACACGGAAATTTGGAGACTTGACGCTTGCTGCTGGTGGCACAATCTCAATAGACAAGTGTGAGGAACGCTGGAAAACGTAGAGAAGTATGGTTCCAAAGATCTCGGAGTCGCAACTAACGTCAGTGTGGACGCGTCTAAATCGCAAGATGTTATCCGCATGTGCTCAAATCCTAGATAAAGAGATCTGCTAAAGGACTTTCACCACAGTCACCACAGACTGAGGACCCAAACGACAATTCACAGGTTAATTATCTATATAATGCGTAATCTTATGAACGTATCCAAAACGCTAAACTCGCTGGGATAAGCATACAAATACCAACGCTGCACGATACGAGGCCTCCCATAATACATGGACGAAGGTAAGCGCTAGCCTTCAACGGCGCCTGGGGAGATAGCCAGAATGACGACTAGGGCCGCTATGATCAGGGCAGCGGCTACAAAAGCGATCAACGCGATACTGCCACGGCTAGCAGGAAATTTACCCCGGATGATCCAATACTGACTTTCAAAGTAGCGATGGAAACCAACCAGGAGAATCAATATCGCAACGCCAATGAATGTGGTTCCGAGAGGTTTACCAATACTGCGAAGACGTTCAGACGTAATAGTGGTGTGGACAGCGTTGGGGTCGTAGAATGGAGGCGACAGAAGTGGAGGGAGGCCATGCGACGAAACCTCGGCACTCGATGTGTTACCGTTAGTAGAGCTGTTCAGGCGGAACAACTGGGTCACCGCTATGCCAATAGATGCGAAAGCCAGTGATGTTCTCAGCCAGGCAAGGAATGTCCGTTCTACCAGTCATAAAATGGTTAATCAGAAAAGAATGCGAGCGGATCAGGGGTGTAAGAATCAAAAAAGGCGCACCTAATGCCAGATGATCACGAGCAACACTCCCCTTGTTTTCCAGTTCTAGACTCCCGTACCGGTCAGCGAACTGGCTATACCACGACGCCTTGGGCTCTGCCGATTCTGTCGGCTGAGCCTGTTGGTCGGCATCTCTGGCATCCCGTTGCGCCGAGTTCTTTCCAGTCGCATCGCCGGACCCCGAGTCCCGATTCCGCAGCCCGTCAGTGGAGTGATAGTTGCGTCTGGTCGAGTCGGAACTCCTCACGATGGGGGTAGATTCGTTGACAGCTTGTAGCGGGCCCTGATCAGGCGCCGCAGGGGCGTGTTTTTGGGAGCCGAAGGAAGGCATGCGTCTGGGTTCATTTCGAGACGAATGGGGGGATGATGATCGATGCGTGGGAGATGAAGCGTTGACCTCCCTGGCGTCCGGACGGATCAAATCAGAGTAGTCCATGATGGCGTGCTCGCACGATCGCAGGGGTCATACATGAATCGCGAAGGATGATTAGGTGGATTTCGGAAAACAAACCCCTACTTTTCCGGAGCGAAGGTGGAGATGAATTAAGGTAGAGATTAGAATCGATCCGTGGGACCCGTCAAAACATTTCCTCTACTAGAGTGACTTGACGTTAGAGGACGGAGAGACAGAGGAGACATAGTAATAAAACGACAAGGGCGCAGACTTCACTCTCTCTTTCTCAATGATGAGGGACTTTAAGTTGGCGTGACGGCAGCTGAACTCCGACTGTTCTTTTCTTTTTTCTGTTCTTTTCTTTAAGCAACACAACATCACGCGCCTGACTGGACGGCTCTCACGCTAACCCTTTGTGGCTATCCCGGTGTCGATCACATGATAATCACGATCCGGGAGCTAAGCCCGCTTGGGAAACAGCGGTATTCGGATCGGGAAGGCGGTCTAACCCGGGTCCCCTCCGAGTCATCTTATGTCATCACGGCCATCGTCAAGTGACGGCGAGGACGATGGAGAGTGACCGTCGTCGCTTGTCGTGTGAACAAGTCAACTGAGCCTTGTAAAATCACCCCCTTTGAGTTCAAGATGGCTTCTGAGGTGTCTGTGCCAAGTCAACCCCCCACCGGCAAGATCGACTTGTCGAAAAAGCTCTCGGAGCTTCGAGCGAGTAATCGCAAATCTCAATCGGCGCCGTCTAGAGAACCAGCCCCCGTCACCCCGCCTCTCACGAATCCGCCCGATCTATCATCCCATCAGTATGCACGACCGGTGCGTCGGATCCTATCGAAGCATGATCACGATCTTTTTCTCTCCTCGCCCACTTATACCCTAATTCTTGCTTTTATCTTCGGTCTTTCCGACTCCGTGCGTGGACGGGCCGCAACCGATCTCAACCGCCAAACACCCTCTCCCAATATCTTGAAGATCCAGTCGGTCGTGAATAGTGTCCACGCGCTCCTAGAACGACATCCCTCCATCGATCAGGGCGGCTCGAGATTCGGCAACCCCGCTTTCCGCGATCTGTTTGACGATGTGGCTGCGCAATGCGCCACCTGGCACCGGGATATCCTGGGAATGCAAGATGCGGCCGCCATCGAAGAAGCGTCAACATACCTGATTCACTCGCTGGGCTCGCGGGATCGACTAGATTACGGGTCCGGTCACGAGTTGAACTTCCTGATGTGGCTCTTGTGCCTTCGCCAGATGTCGATCTTCTCGAGACCAGACTTTCCCCTGATCGTCTTCCAAGTCTACGTCAACTACATGCATCTGATGCGCCAGGTGCAAGCCACATACTATCTCGAACCCGCCGGCTCCCACGGTGTCTGGGGCTTAGATGACTACCATTTCCTCCCTTTCCTGTTCGGCGCTTCGCAGCTCGTCGGCCACCCTTACATCACGCCCTTGGGAATCCACAACACGGCTATTCTCGACGAGGAAGGCGACCAGTACATTTATCTGGACCAGGTGCGATGGGTGGATAGCGTGAAAAACGTCAAGGGGCTGCGGTGGCATAGTCCGATGCTGGACGATATCTCGGGGGCCAAGAACTGGACCAAGATCGAAGGTGGCATGAAAAAGATGTTCGTCAAAGAGGTCCTGGGCAAGCTGCCCATTATGCAGCATTTCCTGTTCGGTAGCCTTTTGCCGGCCGCCGAGGGCATGGGAGAGATGACCGAGGACATGCTGGACGAACATGACCATGACCATGGCAATGATCACGCCCATGCTCAGCATACTGACCACTTTGGCGATTGCTGCGGCATCAAGGTACCCAGCTCGGTGGCGGCGGGCGAGGAGATGCGGAAACGCATCGGGGGGACGGGGTTGCGACCAATTCCATTTGACTAGATAACGTTGACTCTTATGATGCATGAATTGAATACGGGTTTAGTTGGTACATGATATATAATCATTTGTTACTTTGATATTCTACTTTTCTCTATTGACCATGTTCTTCCAGATACATCAAGGATAGTGCTGTGTCAACATTGGTCACTCAAAAATGACTCTGACATGACTACCAACTCCCTAGGCACTTATCGCTAATGAAAGCCAACCATACAATCCTTCAGCAAACAAATAACCTTAACACTCAGCAACCTTCTTGTCCTTCCGAGATTACCACATCTATGTCAAACCACCGGAAAGTATCATGCAGCTTCTGATGCAGATGGCCACGATGTCGGTAGTACCAAATGCACGACCAAACCAACTCGCTTGCTCTCATCCCATGAATAAAGATACCCCCCTCGAGAACTCGGCTAATATACTACAATCTACAAACTTGGAATCCCTTGACTCAATTTTTTCTTCTCATTTCCAATAGGCTCTCGACGTCTACTCACGTCAAGAGCCAGGTTTTTAAAATTTTTCAAACAGATCCTTAGACAAACCAACCTCGCAAGATCGGTCAATCCAAAGGCAAACAAACAAGAAGCACCCATTCCAAAGATACAAATCAACCTAGAAACAACAATCCCATTTGCCAGTTACGTGCTAAAGCAAGAACAGCACACAAAATGAAAGATTCTTCGTCGTCGTGACAGCGAGTCATCCGAAGGGGCGGAGTAATCACTACGAACCGATTAGCAATTGTACGGATACAACAGATAATCACGGTCATCATCCCGGGGAGCGGACTCGGACCTTATCTCGGAAATCGAATCATAAAAGTCCATGGCATCGGTATCAGAAGCATCCGAAGCATCTGACGCTAACACTGCCGCCGCCTCCACATCAGCTTGAAGCTGGGCTTCTGCTGCAGCATCGTCATCGTCGTCTTCGTTGTTGTCGTCGCTGTCGTCATATTCATCGCTGCTGCTGCCGCTGCTGCTACTACTGCTGCTGTCGTCCATACTTTCGTTCATACGTCCGTCTTCCTCGGCATGCTGGCTGTACTCACTGCCATTGACCCCATTAGTCAATACACCGTTCATCACAACACCGTTAACTCCAGTCGACAACGTACTGTTCACCCCATCCATCGCCACGCCACTCTCTCCATCCACCGGATAACAAACGCAACTCATCCCCTCCAACCGCATCCCATCATGAACAGCATCTCTCGCCATCCCACGCACCTCATCCTCATCCTCTCTCGGGTTCCGGACTTTCAAAATCGTGCCTGTCCTCGGACACTCGCTCAAACGACGATACAGGACGATTTGATCCTGCAGGAGATCATAATGAAGCAGTGCCAGGAGCACCGAGTTGGTCGTTATGTCGGCCTGCATGAGTCCCCCGATTGGGAAATGCACGTAATAGCGAAAAACGTCGTCGGCGTCGGGAGTTCCGTGGCGGGATTCGATCCAGAAGTCGGTTTGGGAGGTGGTTTCGACGAGGGTGCTGGCGGTGGAGGATACGGATGGGGAACGAGGTTGAGGAGGAGGGCGCGGAGGAGGAGGTTGGTTAACCCGTATATGACCGCGCGTGTTGCACATTGTGGTTGATTGTAATAGGGGTTATTGGAGAGGTATTCGAATGGGAAGATGGGGATGGGGGTGAACAGGAAGGATGAGACGTGCGAGGAGATTAGGGAGTGCGAAATGATGACGATGGAGGTGAAGAAGAAGAAGAAGAAGAAGAAGTATGAGACGTGCAGGGAAATTTGATCAAGTATGTATCTCCATTCTCTCTGGAGATATCATGAAGAACAACGTTCATATACTGAAAGTTCCGCGTACAGAACCTATCCTGTTAAGAATTGCCCTGATCTGGGCATATGCTAGACGGAGGTTTCCGGTCTGCAGTTCTAGACGCTGAATCTGTTCTGAACAAGGGAGAGAATGCATAGACGTTCCTGGTTATGATAATGTCATACTCTGGTGCTAGGTTGTTGAATATAGGTACCTGGGGGCACGGAGCGGACGCAAGATGAACGGAAGATACCGTTATCTCTACTAGTGTGTGCAGTTAAATTATCCAATTATTGGGGCTATGATAGCATTTCATACTAGTTTAATATCAATCAGTATCAAACCGACTAATCTAGATCTTGTACATCACAAATCTCCATTCATATTGTATACTCGTCACCGTATGTATGTGCCCATTGATAAATCAACAACACAGCCTTTCACCACACGTCCTCGACAAACCCTGAGTTCATAAACTACATAAAACATACCTTTATAACCAATCTCAACAGCTTTTAGGAAATTCAATCCTACCTACAGATAATATACACCCACTACTCCCTACTCCCTACAACCCTCGACCAAGTCACATGACTTTTCCACTAAAGCAGCGCCCACGCTAACCCGCAACCCGCACTCGGCAACGGCCAATCCTCATCCATACCTCGCCTTCAACTCTCTCTTCATTTCTCAATCTCCCATCCCGGGGAAAAGAAGAGAAATCACTAAACATATAAAAGAGAGGGAGGGGGAACAAATCATGTCTCCAAATGAATACGCCTCGGGCGGAGGCGGAAAACTCAAACTGAAAGGCTCCAAGGTCAGCGACGGCCGAGTAGACAAGAAAAAGAAGAAGGCCAAGAAGAGGGAGAAGCAGGAGGAAGGGAATGCGACCAAGGGGAACGGTGTCGGTGATGACGACAAGAAGCTGAGCGAGAATAACGACAACGAAGCTTCGGGCCAGGGGAGATCTTCTGACGAGGAGGTCAACGCGACAGCTCAAGCAGCAGCAGAGGGCGAGGATGGAGGAGGCGTGGTGGTGGGCAAGACGGAAGCGGAAAGGAAGTATGAGGATGCGAAGAAGAAGAGGGTATGTTTTATTTCTCTCTCTTTCTCTCTCTCTCATCTATTTCTTATGTTTCTATATTCTTCTATCTGGCCTTCTCTTCTTTATTCTGTTGTTTCAGTTCGACGTTCTGAAAAAAATTACTAAAAAAAGACCTAAACTCCTACAGCTCCAGGAACGGCTCAAACGCGAAGGCGTCAAAACACACAAAGAGCGAGTGGAAGAGCTAAACAAGTACCTGAGTCGACTGAGTGAACATCACGACATGTAAGTTTCCCCCCTGCCCACCCCATCCACTGCCCAGGATAACATAAACTACACTACACTGTATCTGTACGGAGTACGGAGTATTGTTATGGATGTTGTGGACATCTTTCAAACTGACGACATCAATGCAGGCCGAAGATCGGACCGGGTTAAACATAATAAGAATAATAAAAAAAAAAAACAGGAAGGGGGCATGGCCGTCTGTTGCCATGCATCACATCACATCATTTTCGGTCTTCTTGCCGAAACGAGGGGGAAGGGCTTGGTTGGGTTTCATTCATTGTTGGTTGGGATTTGGGAGTTTTTTTTCTGTTTCATTTTGTTCCGGTGCCATCCAGGCTCTAATTCTTCTTATTGTTATACTGTACAGTAGATTTATTCCATTTACATGGCTGGATTCTTACTGGACTTGTTTCATCTGAAGTAACGCTGCTTAAAATCCCTAGTAAATTCATACCAAGACTGAGACTAACACTGACTCCGTAACCAGGCAGCTAGTCTGGCCAGCATCATATGATACACGGCTACGCTCCGACAGCTCACTGGCTACGAGGATTTGCTGGCCAGCGGGAGACTCCTGCTCGTCGTACCTGTAGATTGCGGCCACGCTTTCTGAGGCCATGGTTGGACAATCCATGGCAGCAATTATGCAAGAGTATATACCTAAAAGCATTCGCTTATGTGACACGGGCAACGAAAAGTTGAGGCCGCTAATCTATTCAAATGTCTATGACTGGGCCAAAAATGAATATGGAAAATGAAATGGTATGTTGAGTTGAAATTAGAACAAAAGAAAAGGGGGAAATCCGTGGATCGTGTCTTCGCGAACAATGCCTTCAGACGCAACCGATCCGCGGAATCCATGCGAAAACTAATTCAAAACCGTAGTTAACAAAACTCCACAGGTAACAACGCCTGGCACTTGATCTTGAGCAATCCAAGATCAAGATTGTGAAATCGAATAAAAGCGGAGAAAAAAAATCCTGCCCAACCCCAAACATCAAAAAGGGTCATAAAGACCATGCGGCAGTTGCTAATGACGAAAAGATGAAGTGAATAAGCCGATTCCACGCGGTAACTGTTCAGACTCAAATCGGACACCGCGCTAAAAATTTATCAACCGGTTCGATGACCGAAAACCGCAAAATATCGTGAAGAAGTGAAATGTAATCAGATGCTGTACGAGAGCAATCCTCGGATCGGAGTGCACTCGTCTCATACACCCTTAATGACCTGGGTGCGTTCGTTGTTGAGCTTGTCGGCGTTGCGAGCGTGGGATTCCTTCTTGCAGTCTTCCAGACCGGTGCAGGAGTGGGCCTCGAGCATGCGATGCTTGGAGCAAAAATGGCCGTGGCAGAAGCTGCAGTCGCCGACGATGCGCTGGGCGGCTTCCTTGCACTCCTTGAAGTTGCAGCGGGGCTTACGGGGAGCCATGATGCAAGAGTGGCGAGTCGGAACGGAGGTGGTGTGGAGGAAGCGTCGGAACGGGGCCGATAAGCGCTGAGGATAACGAGCGAAGGGGCGAGTCGTCTGGTGGAAAACGAGCGAGAGCGACTCTTGTTGCCGGAATTGTTTTTGTTCAAAAGACGGGAAGATAGTCTTTATCGAAACAAATGATAGCGATCGCAGTCACGAGAGGTGCAGACCGAATGTTCAGTGGTTGCGGGTGACGTGGAAGGCCGAGAAGGGTGCGGTGGTTTAAGCCGAGGAAGGAATGGAGTGGAAGAGAGGTAGTTGGGGAGTAGGTAGATAAGGGAGGAAGAGGAGAGAGAAAGAGCAGGAGGCGATGAGGGCTTATATATACTGGGCGAAAGCGGAGACGAGAGAGATAGGGATGAGGAGAAAGGAGGTAGCGATGGATCGGGAACGGAGATCTCCAGGTGGAAAAAACGGAAGAACAAAGGGTGAGGCGGCAAAGGCGAAAGCAATGCAAAGTCAATTTATATGGAAGCCACGAGAGGATTCATGGATGACCGGCTGAGTCACGGCGGTCGTAGTACCACCTGCACCGCGCTGATCCGATGTCGTAGCAGTCGTAGGCGTCGACCCGACTAGTCACTGGTAGTGGAGGCAAATCGGGGGGGAGGTGGAGCCCGTCTTGAGCATTAAGAATTAGAATTGTATCCTAGGATGGATGAATTATGGACGTTGACTCCCTAACTCGGAGGAGGCAAATTCAAACGGACCGCGCGGATGGCCGTCAAGGGAATCTCTTCCACGGTACCTGGTTGAAGATCGGAAGAGAATTGAAGAGTTGAGAGAATCGAAGCTCTCACATTATTAATCTCCTTTAGACAGACGAGGCATCCAGGCCAACAAGGTTGTCGGCAACGCCCCTTTTCTAAGGCTTCCTTTTCCCTCCGCCTGCCTTTCCGGGTGTCGAACGACCTTTCCATTGGTTTGTCTATTCGATTTCTGCTTCTTTTAATTTTCTGATTATTTAATCATTATTAAGATGAAAAGAAAAATAGAAGAAAGAGAAATTAAACAAAAATAAAAAGGAAAATCACAACATAATCCCCACTCCAACCAGGCACCATCCGGTCTCTCTCAGTGTGGCCTTCAAGTCTGACTTGTCCGGTGCCCTACTCAGTGTACGCTATCGACCAACACAAACTCGCTGTCGTAGTATCCACCTGATATCCGTCAACTCATGATGCGCTGAGTACCTTAAGGCATCGAACTCTCTTCCAACGCAGCTTGATCAACCCTCGCATATCAGAGCTTACCAGGCCCAAATGATCGAACCCGGTCCTCAACTGAGCACACTGGGCATTGCAATGTTGGAAACACGCCCATCTGGCTGACTTTGACGAAGTCCTGAGCTGGACAGAAGCTGTCCGGGATATCCATTCATTCTCACCACACCACACTTTCTTAGTTCGGAAACCTGGTAGATAGGTATAGTGCCACGCGATGCAACGCAACGCAAACTTGAAGTACAGACAAAGCCGTTTTTTCCCTGCACCGAGCGAAGGATGTACACACTTACATGCCTACCTACCTACACCTACATATCGGCTAGAGGCGCCATGCAAGCATGAAGAACTTCCCGGAAGAGGTCCGTGGGGTAGTCACTAGTCAGTAAGGGAGGCAAATAACTGATACTCCGTACTATCTACGGAGTAATAATTATCTACACCGTAAGTTAGTCATTAACTGACTAACCTCGTCCGAATTGAATTTCGATCTCAAGAAAAAACCAAACTTTTCCCACTTCCCCTCAAGATCCAAGAAGTCAAATAAATTCGAAAGTCAAGGAAACTTCTACGAGAATTCCATTTGAAAATCCAAAAAACCTTCATCTCCAACTCCGACCCGGTTGAACCAGAAAAAGCCCAAAGCCAACTGAACCTGAACTTGCGGGTGCCACGATAAACGGCGACGAAAACGCCGGATCCGTTCAGGCCCCTTCCCCTCCCCTCCCTTTCCCTCTTGCCTCCACCAAACTCTCTACTGTGTACTCTTCTATCTTCATCCCGACTCCTCATCTTGGGCACGAATTCTTCATAGACACATCATCGGGTTCCTGCTCTATGGGCTTCCCGTCCCTCCACATGGTTTGATGGCTTGAAGGTACTCGATTCGAGTGACCTACTTAGTTTTATGATTATAACTACGAGTTTAGACATCGCTGAAGTAATATCCGGACAGAATAAACGAAATCCATCACCTCAAAACCAGCAGTAAAAAGAGGTCGAGTTAGCAGAGATAAAACACCTCTTCTCATAAAAGTACATATCTACTATCTACTACTATCCACCTACTATCTACAATCTCACCCAACATGTGAAAGCCCAAGCCCCGCCAGACTCGCACGAATTTAATCTCCAAACCCTCCTACGCGAGGCGAGGCAGGACAGGAACAGAACAAGACAGACAAGAGACAAGACGCGATAAGACAAGGCAGGCAAGTCGATCATTTCCTCACGACCGGTTGGGATCATGCAAGGCAGGGGTGAACGGACACTTCATCCTTGGACCCAGAAGAGGCGACCCCGACGCTGGCCTCCGTGGGGATTTGAATATACTTATGCGTATGTGATTGGGTCTGGGGATTTTGCTGGGTAGGGATTCGCTATGGCGTAATTGGCTAATTCCGTAGATAGTGAATAGTAGCGATGGAGTGAATCGTGATGGGCGGCGGGATATCTCTGCCTTGCCAGCGAAGTGAATTACTGTTGAGGGGTTTAATTAACTAGTAGTAAGCCAAGTAGCTAGTACTAACTAGACTGACTAGTGGCATTGTACCCCGTACTTACGACCGGAATGCTCGTTATCATGTCCGTCGCGAACTTTTCTCAATTTCCTTGGTTGACGGCGACATGCATGAAATAAAAATAATCAAGATAGAACCCCCCGGGTTATCAGACAGCAAAATGGAAACGCAAAATCCGTTGTAGAAAACGCCATGTGCCAATCGCAACGCACCAGATCGCCCGTGAACCACCAGCTAAGAAGAAAGCAAATATGAAATAATCGAATCAAACCCCCATTTCCTTCTCCTTCCCAGCGTCGGGGTCCAGGTAGGTCTCTTTCTCGGCCGCCTCGTACTCCGCTACGAGGTCCATCACTACGGCTCGCGCCTCGTCGAACTCGCCCAGTCCGTCGGTGAACGGGCTCTCCTTCTTGTACTGTTCCAGGAAAGCGTTTCGCTTCCGCAGGCGGTCGTACTGCTGGACGATCCGCTTGAACAACGTTGCGACCGACGTGTGGTTCGCCAGCATCAGTCCGCTGACCCGATGCGTGTTCTGCATGTACGGCGATTTCTTGGTCAGGGCAACTTGGATGCTGGCGGGGCCCCAAGGGATGAACGACGCCAATCGCCGCTCGCGAATCCGCAGCAGGGATTTATGCACGTCGGTGGGATCGGCTTCACCCTGGATGATGTTGAGGATACTCATGTAGCAACTGGATTTCGTCGGGTTGATAGAGACCATGCGGTTCTTGGGCTGCAGCAGACGTCGCATGACATCCAATACTGTCGTCTTTCGGACCGTTTTGGCCTGCTCGATGTTGTCGCCCGTGAACGGCGTGTAGGAGGTGATCAAGAAGTGGCTGCGAGGCGTCGGGATGAGGGAAGCGATGATGCCGACGAGGTCATTGTGCATGTACCCGGGATAACGGAGGGTGGTGGTGGAGGCGGACATGACGGTAGAAACCTGTTGGCCGACAATTTAGCAACGAAAGACCTACAAGCTGCAGCAAGCAAGCAATACTCACCAGTTGGTTCGTCTGTTGGAATGAAGGCTCCTGCACGTGAAGTCTGTCCGCAACAATTCTCGAGAGTGCCCCGTTATCTAAAACCACCTAGAGCCACAATTTTAGCTTCCTCAAAATATCACCGAAACGGTATTGGGTTCTTACCACGGAGTCGGCGTTCTGCGTCAACCTTCTCATCGCAAGCAAACTGTTATACGGGTTCACCACGACATCTGCCGACTGGGTATCCGGGAACACGGAGTATGTCTGGATCAGCTTCTTCGGAAATCGGTCGTTCATCCGCTCCAGAATGAAACTACCCAGTCCAGAACCGGTACCGCCTGCAATGGAATGTAGAAACATGAATCCCTGTGCCTAGTCAGCGGAGACCGATCAAATCCTTGCCCGATATATCCCTACCTCCAGCGAGTCACTACCGTCCGCTTCACGGTCAATCATGTCGAAGATTTCCTCTTGCACCACTTCACCGGCAGCGTAGCCCGCACCCCAGTTGTTTCCCGCGCCAATTCCTTGTTGTCCGATGAAGAAGTTTTCGGGGTTGTAGATGTTCTTGTAAGGACCGGATTGGATACCGTGGAGGACCTGGGTTCCGCAATCTCAGCATGTCGTTCGTTCGAAGGAATATGGGGTTCATCTCATACCCTAGGTTCTAGGTCTAGCAAGATCGCTCGGGGAATGTATCGCGTATCGTCACTCTAAACCAGACGGATCAGTATATCTCTCTCCCTAGAGCCAGAGGCCGCAGAAACATGCAACGCAACCCGGGTCGGTACGTACCTGGTAGAAGAAGACATCTTTGCGATCGCCGCCCTCCGTCGCGAACTCCTCCAAGTTTCCATCCTGACTGATTCCATGTTCCTGGCAAAGCTGCTGCCAGAATTGGCCACCGACTGCAAATACCGTATATTAGCAACATCAATCTCGAATACATGCTGCTTCGAGAGGGCTAGGGAAAAGCGCGAGGGCATTCGTACCATTGTTGCCGCACTGGCCGGCTTGGATCGTGATTATTTCTCTGCAGCGCGGACAATTGTCAGTGATCCATAGTTCGCATATCAAGGGAGTCGGCCTGAAGGATCGAAGGAGTGGCACATACCTAGGCATCTTGGGGAGGCCGCTGGGAGTAGTCGATGGTTGACGGCCCACGCGTAGCGCGCCGCGGGGAAACTTGAATTGGGAGCTGATGATGTGGTTGCCTCAGGCGCCAACAGCTTATCTACTCCGACGCACGATATTGTTCTTATGGGATGGGTTGTTTTTAATATGACAGAAGGGAGGTGATGGAAGGGTCCTTTTTCTTTTTACTGAATTGGATATTAAATTTGACTGAGTTTGGCGCCTTGGGCACCACCAATGGATACTGCCGCGTAAACAAGGCATTAATTACCTACACCTTCCTAACCATATGGATTGGTTTATTGACTTCTGAATAAAATATATTATTTGATGTATTATAATGCTTTGAGGGGTCTTTACTGTTCAGGATCTTGTCTAGTACCATACATATCTTTTCGTAATGGATTGCCTCTCGATCAAAATCCCGCCTTGCACGCCGTTACCAGCAGCCCAGCACCGGCAACCACGCCGTCAACAATTCGAACCTGCTTCGCTTGTTTCGGTCCGTAGGCCTTGATGCAGCCTTCTCGCACCGCTTCCTCCATACCTGCCATGCCCGCACATCCCATACAAATCGCAGTCAATGGGTCGGGCGTACTCTTGATGAGCTTTTCGGTAGCCTCGCTGATTCTCCGCTTCACTTCCGCAGGAGGTGTGGTATGTAGTTCAACAGCCGTAAGTCCCGTCGTTTCTACGCCGGCGAAACGGCGGGTCGGGTTTGCGCCATCCCCGGAACGGACGAGCATTTCAGCAACCGCCTTGCCAAGTTCATCCTTCCAGACACTCCCTGTGGAGATAATCCCGAATGTGTCCTGCGCCTGGGTCTTGCCATATCCCTGATCGTCGAGGAGATGAAAAGAACTAATCAAAGACAGCGACGTGACAACACTTGCTTCGAAGATGCCGGTCACACATTTCCTCGTCGCTGCGGGTTCCGTGGCACCCCCTAGAGCGCTATCTTCCAGATTGGTAATTGCCTTTTTCAGCATACCCACAAGAGGATGAGCGGAGTAGCACGCCACAAGAAAGGCGTCATATTTGGGTATCAATGGTTCCACGAAGGGCATGCAGTGCAACGCGGATTTCGCCGAATCCTCCCCAGAGTTGATACTGGGTACGCCCTCGATTGTTCTACCATCGGGAAGGGTGACTGATTCCGACGGTGCTGTGAAGTAGTCGAACTGGATGTCCGAAAAGGCGAGGTTTTCCACGATAGGGCTTAACGCATCCGTCATGTGTGTCGAAGTGTTCGGGTTGATGACTAGGATCGCGAACCGTCTGTTAGTGGTGGAAGCCATGGTGGAGCAACGTGATCGGCAACATGAACGATCGCGGACTGTTGGAGGAATCGAAATCGGGGATGATAGATGGCTGTTGACAACGGTGGATTTTAGCGAATCGCTAGTAGGGAAGGAAGCGGGTGGGTGTTAGCTCGCAGAAGAGCAGCGGCGGCGCACTGCATACTGACGGACAGCGACTATTCTTGGACAGCGGGTCAGCTGTATGAGGGGTCAGGAATGCAAGAACTCAAAATGTAAGGGTGGTACTCCGAAACCCTTCCTCATCGAGCTACTCGATGCGGAACGGATACGAGGAGAGAAGAAGAAGGAAGCGCGCGTCGGCAGTTGATGGAAAGGAAAGCGGGGAAGATCACATCAGCCCGTGCTTATCTCCAACATCCCACTTTGAAGTCTACCCCGTAATACAACGCCATTCCTCAACACGCATCAAGAAATCTGTGAGAGTTTTGTGAGAGGGCTTCATCCTTTATCGGAAACTATCTCATCCAATTGAGGTAACACCTTAACCTTCATAGATCTCATCCATCTTCATGACTCCTGGCCTGACGTGATCTCCGCATCTCCCCCACTCTAGTACTCCCAGCACCCCGAATCCTTGAACGCGCCGATCCTTCAAAATGCCTTTGGTAGCACAGAATACCACGCCGAGGGTGATCCTTGGTCTTATGACATTCGGACCCGACGAGTCGAAGGGGGCCCGGATCACGTCTCTGGACGAATACAACAAGTGCCTGGATTACTTCCAGCAGCAGGGATTCAACGAGGTCGACACCGCAAGGATCTATGTGGACGGACTCCAGGAAGCTTTTACTGCCCAGGCGAATTGGAAGGAGCGTGGTCTAACGTTGGCCACCAAGTGGTACCCCAGAAACCACGGGGATCACAAGCCCAATGTTCTACGAGAAAATCTAGAGCGCTCTCTGAAAGAGTTGGGCACCAACCAGGTCGACATCTTCTATCTGCATGCTCCGGATCGGTCTGTCCCTTTTGCAGAGACCTTGGAAGCCGTCAATGAGCTGCATAAGGAGGGCAAGTTTGTGCAATTGGGTCTTAGCAACTACACGGCGTTTGAGGTTGCGGAGATCGCCACTCTTTGCAGCGAGAGGGGATGGGTGCGCCCAACTATTTATCAGGCCATGTACAATGCCATTAGTAAGTTTCTTCTGAGCCCGGGGCCCGAAAGGGTTAGCACTGGATCTAACTGTGGAATCTGTAGCTCGGTCCATCGAGACTGAGCTGGTCCATGCCTGCAGGCGGTACGGCATCGACATCGTGATTTACAACCCACTCGCCGGCGGGATCTTCTCTGGCAAGTACAAGACCAATGAAATCCCCGAAGAGGGCCGGTATGGCGCCAAGTCTGTCATTGGGGAGCTGTACCGTAAGCGTTATTTCCAGGACGCAACGTTTGACGCCCTGCGCGTCATCGCACCCGTTGTCGAAAAGCACGGGTTGACATTGCTGGAGACTGCCTTTCGTTGGCTTCACCACCACTCGGCGCTCAACATGACAGGGAATGGCCGGGACGGAATTGTTATTGGCGTGAGTAATTTTGCGCAGTTAGAGGCCAACCTGAAGGACATTCAGAAAGGCCCGCTCCCGGAAGAGGTTGTCGAGGCTTTGGACCAGGCTTGGTTGATCACAAAAGCCACCACTCCCAATTATTGGCATCTTGACCTGAAGTACACTTATGATACCAAGGCATTGTTCCACGGCAAGTCGAGCGCTTAAGGTTGTGACGCAATTATGTCAAGTAAACGAATGACCTTGAAGAATACATATTTATCATTGAAATACAAGCTCAGAAAGAAGAAACTTATGAAACTTTGCCGCAAATTCAAAGCAAACATGGCGTACTCTCCTTCGCACTTCCAGCCGTCTTTTCGCCTAATTTCTTCCATATATCGTTCCCAACTCGACAGCAGGATAGTATTAGGAAAAGCATTGAAGCTTACTGGATGTGCCATGGGCTTCAATCCAGCCACACTCAAACCGCACTAGGTGTAGTATGAGCTGCGCTGTATAGCCCATTGTACCACCCAGCTTGAATACGTTCTATGGATCCCGAGATATTACAGGCCCGGTCCCTGCTTCCCTGTATATAGTTATAGCCAGATGTAACTTTCTCTCTTCTTCCATGAGATTGTTGGGGAGAATCTTGATATCAAGACGGTGAGGTATTCACGTTTCAAGTCTCTGTTCTCCAAGAGCCCCACTCTATACGATCCAGTGGAGAGTGAAGAGGAGACAGAGTTGATGCTTGAGTCGACATCAGGGATTAAAACCCACCATGAAGGACTCAACGCGACGTTATCCAAGTGTCTTTACTGCGGATAAATGTCACCCTCCTCGGTATCACGGCGATGTTTTTCTTTGGGTCTCTTACGAAAATGGGGTACCACGACACGACCACCCCTCTGAGGGACTTCATATCGATGCCCTGTAGGTGGTGAAGAATTTAATCGAAAGCATGCAGGTGATAAATGGCCTGTATAGCGCCAGCCATGGACGATGCCGACATCTCATTTTCCACACTATGGATAGATGGCATTTCCCTTACAATGAACCATATTCCGACAAAAGCCAGCCTTGCAGTCGACATTGCTTGGTCCAAACTCGCCGATACGAGGCCAATTCCTCTGACGCGGGAAGATATATTGGCGATTGGGAAAGACCCAGGGAAGTCGGTTAGACTGGGGCCAGAGTTCGGACTGGGCCCAGATTTATACGCAGGCCGGAGTGATGTATTTTACCAACTGCCTTGCTTGAATGCTCTGCGACAAGAGGCATACTTCGAGCAGTACCATCACAACACGTACCCAGGCGGATATAACCAAAGCACCAAGAAGCATCGAGCTCGTCTGTCACATTGCATCCATATCATTCAGCACAATATCCTATGCCACGCAAACACGGATAGTCTCACACATCTGGATAGATGCTGTCGATCATCCTTGGCCGACTTCAACATCCCGCATAGGTGTTGAGACTATCGGGCGTTGATGGACTGGCAGAATCATCATGCCGTGGACGAAGGGCTGTTTGTTACGATGAGGAGGCCAGAGGATCAGGAGCCTCGCCGGACGAGCAGTGATTTCAAGAAGATTGTCAATCTGGAAATTTATAGTCATCTTGAAGATATCGTGGATGATGGGGACGTTGCATAGGATTGCGAAAGGATGGCCTTCTATACAAAGCAATGCTACCTTTTCTGTTGTGTATTGTTTATGTGGCGTAGATATGGGGCATTTCTTCATCAATTCCTCGATGGTCTAACGGTCATGATTTCCGCTTGTCACTCAACAGAGAACGAGCGCGGGAGACCTGGGTTCGACTCCCAGTCGGGGAGATTTCCTTTTTATCTTTCGATTTTTTTGTTTGGTGTATGTGTAGAAGTGTGGTGGATATGGAAATGAATGATATTTGTTGGACCTTTCCCGTCTCTGATAGTCCTGTACTCTGTACACAATCGTAAAAATTATGCCCCGGTGTCAATTACTCGAGTCCCTGCCACACCGCCTTCCAGGCCCCTTATTGCAAAGTTGGCAAAACTAAAAGGCGGTACTGCGGGCGGTAAGTCAGTGGACCAACCAACATGTTTTGCCAGATGGTGGCTGCGGTCTGCCGTAGTCTCGGAGTGGCTGACATGGCCGCGAGCTGCTTCCGAACGGACAAGACGGCACCCTCAACAGCTCTACACTCAACGATAACCCTTGTCGCGAGTGATTGCGACATCTTCCTTTCCGAGAGCCTGCTACCTTACTTTTTCCTAAACCTTCTCTAATTGATTATCGCCCGATCACGACTCTTGCAGCTTCTTTGTTCACCCCCAGGTTCTCCAGATCATCTTTCATCATGGCGGACAGCGAGTTCGCGCCCAAGTTCTCTCCCTTCTTCTCGTTTGTGAGTATTCTTTGGTCAGGTTATTTCACTTCATCGAAAACATGCTGATGAGACAAACCAGGCGGGTATCGCAGCTGCAGTATGTTCCTCCGACGAACCCTCAACTCTAACGATAACGCTAACCGTCTCTCGAAGATGATCTTCGGGAGTATGTCTTTCCCCTACCTCGCCTGAGCTTGATAATGGTCCCCGACTCATAATGAAACAGCGATGGGAGCCGCATATGGAACGGCAAAGGCTGGAATTGCCATTTCGGGTGTTGGAACATTCAGACCGGATCTGATCATGAAGGCATGACCTGACCGAGATAATACGACTTACGTTCCCTACTAACTGGGTCAGTCTTTGATTCCTGTGATTATGTCCGGTATCATTGCGGTGTACGGTCTGGTTGTTGCCGTCGTTATCCACGGTGATTTGGATCGGGACCATAGTCAGGCTCTGTACACGTATGTTCAGCTCCATAATATGCCCAACCGTCCCTATTTTGCCGTGCTGACGATTCATCCAGCGGATTTATGCATCTTGGGGCAGGGCTGTCTGTTGGATTTACCGGGCTAGCCGCTGGATACGCCATTGGAATCATTGGAGATGCGGTAAGCCCTACTTCTAATGCAAGATCCTTGGCTTTTTGGCACTAATAATTTGCGTAGGGTGTGCGCGCATATATGCAGCAATCTCGTGTCTACGTAGGAATGATTCTCATTCTTATCTTTGCTGAAGTTCTTGGGCTCTACGGGTATGGTTTCATTCTGTGACAGTTCACCAGACAAGGAATTGCTGACGCTAGCTAGCCTGATTGTTGGTTTGATTCTCAACTCGAAGTCCAGGGCTTAATCCTAGTGGCTTGGCACATTTGGTTGATTAACATGCTAGATGTGAGTTGAACTCACTTCTTCGGATGTCGAGATTGTACCATCAAATATCTACCCTTCTATTGTATATCCTGTCAAGGAGCTGGCCGCGAAAACAGATAGCCTGGGTTAATTTCGACCAGCTAAGCTTTTAGGCCGAGACTCTGTCATCATCCACTCATGACTGGGGACTATCAATGCTAGTACGAGGAAAGAGGCCTCCCGCTGAACCACGGAATACGGGATTTGTATGATTTTATAGTCAAGGCGCAGGTATTGCTCGTATGCCATCTAGATAAACCCCCTTCTCAAATATAACGAGATATCACCACGTCTGTTTCGGGGTTCATCATGGAACGAGGCCGACAGAATTCAGTTGCGTCGGAGAGTTTCCCTTTTGCCCCAACAATTGAGTAACCATTCTTGCTTTTTTCGACCAAGGAGGAGTAGGCCAGTCTGGAAGATCATCAAGACTTGAACCTCTTTTAGTGTGACTGGAGCTTGGCCTTCTATTTTGCGTGTATACCCGACAACTGGATTGGCCTGCGGTCTGAAATCCAGTCACGAATTACCATCCGGTGACCGAATAATGTTTCTCTGGGGCTAGTGCTTATGGTCAGCAGTATTATCCGCATCAATATCCCCTCACGCCAGGATAATCTACGCCAAGGCTACGGGGGACACGGCACATCTATAAGCAGACCTTCTATTACATTACAGTCCTGTTCTTTGACCTATGGTAGGTGACTTGGCCTCTCGAACGTGGCAAGACTTGCTTGCTTGTAACCCATTGGGATCTTCTGCCAGCCGCGTGAAGATGGCTATTCCGCTAAGGTACTCGTTGCGTTCCACATCCTCCGATTGGCATTGGTCTTGAGGCTCTGCGGGCGGAACGAATGAGGACTTGTTGTTATGAACCAACCTGAAGGGATGTAAGTATCTTCTGACACAAATTCAAGCGAGAAACACACCACCATCGACGCTGTGTAACGGCAAGCAATCGAGGGGCTGATATCATGCGCTCCATGTCGATTGGAAGACGCTTCATCCTTGGAGAAACAGGACGAATACCGACTCAGGCGAGTTTGAAAGATGGGGACAGGTGACACAGTGCATGGCTTACTGGTTACTACATCACAGTGATACCGTTGAACCATATCGCCCTACCGAATCAGGTTCTTGTCGGCCGAATCCGGGTGATCCTTTTCGTATGCGAATATTATGCTACACTTTAGGAAACGTGGGGGAGACAGACATGGATCCCTTGTCCAATTGACCTGTTCAGTCATGTTCGAATAGAAAAGCAGGCGGGCCGATTTTCTTCGGAAGCTGAATCCACAAGACTGTCATTCTATCAGCTAGATAGCTGACCTGTCTCTCCTTACCGCGAAAGGTCATTTCTAGGCCTTCCAGTAGCATTGATGGCGATAACCCGCACTCACAAGTCTCAAAGAACGGGTGTGAGGGCATCATTGGCATGTGTGCAGGTCAGTATTCATTGGAGGATGTCTTCTACCCCACGTCGTTCTTCGAGCCTGATGTGATTAAAAAGTGTCGAAGCCAGCATGCGAAATGTGGTGCTGAGATGCCCGTCTGTAGTCGCTGCCGACAAGATGGGAAGCCCTGCTTTTATGTTCAATCTCGTCGTAGTGCCATTGCTAAGGCAAGCACTCCATCGCTTCCGGTATCAGACACCAGTAGCGATGTTCTTTTCCCTGCACCATTAGCAGCAGCGCATGCCTTTCCCATACTGGAGAGCGACTGTCTTCCAATCAAATATAAAGCATTATCTGTTGTACCACCTGTCCAGGCAACGGATGGCTCTTGTCCTGGGGAAAGTGAGCATGCGGCCTGTCGCAGGTTTATAGATGCATATTACAAGTATGTCGGCCGCCGATATTAAATTACCAACTCGTCCAGGTACTAGAATTTCTGCTAAACTTTTGCCTCTTTACCACCAGTAACTTTCACAATGCGCATCCCTTTCTTACGCCATTCCGTCATTTTCTGGACTTTACCGACGCTAATGCCCAGTCTCTGACACATCTTCTACCTGTTGTGCACTATATTGGGTCTCTCTATATTAATGATGGATCTGCATCATGGTTGAGAGAGGCAGCCTTGAAACAACTCCATCCCACGGATCTCACGGTCAGCGGTATACCACTGAGTGGCTATACCACCTTGGCCTTCCTTCTTCTTGCCATTGCGGCCTATGGACAGGATGACCGACCTCAAGCGCGCCTACTGTTGAACCGCGGTATGCAGATGGCCATTGATGTAGGGATGAATCGTCGGAGCTTCGCCACCGCCGAGCCAGATCCTGCATGGGCCGAAAGCTGGAGACGTACTTACTGGGGCTTGTATGTTACTGATGTGATCATCGCTGGGTTTTGGCACGAGACTAGTATCAGGTCGGCCTCCCTGTCAAGTGATTGCATACTCGGGGCTCAAAATAACTGACCCTTGGCAGTTTTTGTGACAATGAGTCTGATGTCGACCTTCCGTCTGATGATGTTGCGTTTGAGCAGGTTCGCCAAGCCGTATCATTTATGATACAGAAAGAACGAGGCTAACATGTCTAACAGCCTCGCACTCTCGAGCAGTACGAGATCCGCGACTTTGAGGACAAAGTGCCCGTCTTCTCATCATTCACGTACCTGATCGACTTGGTCAAAATCGCCCATTCAGTGTTAAATCTCTCTTCCCAGCGAGAAGACCGCAATACTGCCATCACCAATGCAGACACCATGCTTGTGGCCTGGAAACTTCATCTGCCTGTCGAAAAGCAGTCGGTTGTCATGGAGGACGGAGGATTCGACCATATCATGTTCCATGCTCATCTCCTTTGGCAAAGGTAGAGTAATGCATTTTGTCACCTCAGCTTCCAAAGCTGCTCTGTCCATAGCACCGCTGACTGTCGGTATAGTTTGCTCATAACTATACATCAACCCCTCTCCCGACTGAATCGCAACAACACCGTCAGTTATGAGGACAATTCTTTGATATCCCCCAGTTCATCCAACGATGAATCGCTCTGGGAGGAACAATCCGAACGGCTCCACACCCGGAGGACTCTTGATGCAGTAGCGGCAACCATGAACCTTTGTGCTCTTCCGATTCCAATTGTTCAACAGTCCCCACTCACCATCAACTGCGTGGCACTATCAACCATGACAAGCATGATGGAATACCAGTCGATGCTCTCCTTCTCTCACCCTCCTCCGCGGGACAAGGTGCGCTTAGGGATAGCCATCCTTAACCAATACGCGCAAGTCTGGGTCATCGGTGCCAATACCAGCGCCAGGATGAAGAAGATGGCCCGGGAGATATTTACGATGGTCCGACCGGATCGGATCCCTGAGTCTGGCTTGCTTGTCGACGTGGCTACTTTCTTGGACCAGAATCTGCTTTCTACTGCGGACGCCTGGCCAGACTTTCATTCTGTGGGAAGCAGGCTATAAGTATGGTAATGGTTTATATGCAATGAAGTAATGTATTTACATTAGTTGCTTTGGATAGGGATGTTCTCGGGGCCTACATTTAGCTTGGACTTACTTAATGATCTACTTGTATTTTCAATTCAGCTCGCTACTCAGTATCTTGACCAGAAATCATTGCTTTCATTCACAGCCACTGACTTGGAAACTGCCTACAATCAACTGCACTCACTACATAGATCTTGCCAATCTTACTTCGCGCCTTTCTTCACGTTTCAACGGGTCCTTAGGAGACATCAAGACTATTCGAGTGACATCCGCCTAAAAATGCTCGGCATGCTCCAGCCCAACTTCCTAGGCCTACTCCACTTGCTAAGCCGGATGCACCTCTTCGGCATCGACCTCACCCTCCGCCTGCTTGGCGTACTTCCATGGGGGGTTGTATTTCCATGGAGGATTATACTTCCAGGCAGTACCGTCGATTTCGTCCTCGACCTCCACGTCGCGTTTGCCGTATTTCCAGGGTGTATACTTCCACGGGGCATACCTCCAGGCGGTAGCGTCGATGTCCTCATCGATTTCGACATCACGTTTGCCGTATTTCCAGGGGGTGTACTTCCATGGAGGGTGATGTTTCCAGGCGGTACCCTCGATGTCGTCCTCGTCGATCTCCGCGTCGCGTTTGCTGTATTTCCATGGGGTGTACTTCCACGGAGTATACTTCCAAGCAGTACCCTCGATGTCGTCCTCATTGATCTCCGCGTCGCGTTTGCTGTATTTCCATGGGGTGTACTTCCATGGGGTATACTTCCAGGCGGTAGCGTCAGTCTCGTCGATTTCGGGATCCCGCTGGGTAACCTCTATACCTAGAATTAGTTACTGGTGTGACATGCGAGAGGAAAAGAGAAGCGTATCTGGATTCGAGATGCAGAGAGACATAGAATGGCAAGAGAGAGAAAGAGAGCACTAACCGGCCGGTTCGGCTTCGGCCCAAGCTACATTAGGCATGCTCGTTAGTTCACGCAAACAAACCCAGCGTTCATTCTCGCATGGCTCTAGCTTACCGACAGGAACGGCTACGATGCCCTGTAGGGAGACGAGGGCAATGAGAAGGGAGATGAATTTCATTTTGCTTTTGTTTTCTTTTGTGCTTGTCAGGAACGAACAAATGTGCTTTGAAAAGACTCAATCGAACTGGACAGTGAATTGGACTTGCAGTTCAGGGTGCGGATGAGAGGATAGATGAAGCCAGGTCTGTAACGGGTATACTTATAGCTTCGCCTCCCACTTATACTTCTCCCACAGGCCAAGAGTTCGGAGCAATGTTTAGTCTAGACCTTCAAGTCGAAAGAGCTACATTATTGGGTGGATTTGGCTTTCCTGACCTTGTCTGTGATGCGATACAGTGCATAGCCTAGAAATATCCTCCGTGGGCATTTTGCTGCTCTCTCTCCACTTCAAAGATGCACCACAAAGTTCGGAGTATTCGTAGTTGAGTTGGACAAAAGAATAGGCTATTAGGACAGGAATCCTCAGGCTATGCACTCAAACTCTAGAACTTGAACTGGACAATGGGCTGCTAAACGACGACGACGATGGCTTAGGGGATGGCAGGGGAGAAGACGGGTCACTGATGCGATATGATCGTGTATCATAGTTTCAGATAGGCTGAACGCAACTTCAAGAGTGATACACAGCATAGCCGGTTACTAGGGTATGGAGAATCTCTGTGAACGGGCATAGGTTCATCATGTCATATTGTAAAATAATCACTATCTCTTGAGAACATCGGCAAGTCATTCGAGATATGTTTCTGCTACACTGGATTAGTAACTCGATCCAAGAAATTATATATCCTTGATATATAGAAAAGGTCGATTAGGAAACAATCATTCAACCCCCTGTGGTATCTGTTTGGATCAAAGCAATTCTGATCTACGTCTTATTCAGCCTGCATGTCATCTGATGGCGGCCATCCAACTTGCTTGAGCTGAGTATTGCCCTCGCACATAAACCGGTAGCGCAGAATAGAAGAACGATTATCTCGAAAAGGTAGTATTTTCTCAACTTCGATGAAAAATTGTCGGGAATTGTCAACTTATTGCCATGTGGTTCGGTCACAATTGCAGTGACTGATTCTTCTGTCGTCATCCGGTTATGCCATGGTCTCCAGAGGACATGCTAAATCCGATAATCTTGAGCAGGTTTTACTACTTTCAGAGGTGATTCCTGGAAATCCTACCGGGAAATGAAAGCGATAGAGTCGAGAGCGTCCGAGGATCTCCCGGTGCAGGGCTTTCGACATGGGCAGTTGAGATGTGCACAAAGTTCACTTCTTCTAATGGGATACCATGGATTGTATCTGAAGACTATTAGCAAGATCACATTGAACTCAAATGAACACGACCATCATGCAATGCTAAATGACCTAAAGCCGTCATAGACACAGCACTAAGCTCAAAGAATGTACCGTCAAATCGAGCTGTCCAGGGAGTGTTTTCCAGTTCAACAACTTTCCCTGGGCCCCTCTGGCTCTATTTCACGATTCTCCTTAAGATAATCGGGGTCTGCTGGTTTCGCGTTTGAGAAAGGTGGATGGCTTGAACTATTTCATTTTGCTGCCTCCAGAGTAAACTAAAGTACTGTATACAATAGCTTCTTTTGATATCAGGTCATCAGAGATAAAGACTATTCTAGTCTGGTACTCTTCGGTGGATATCCGCCTGCGGCTGTCCGTGACACAGAAAGCCGCCGGGATTTGTAGGCTATAAAAAGTGACACAGGCCGATGATACCATTGGCTGACCAAATGATCAAAGCCACTACATCGTGATAGGCTAGTTGGGTTATGAATCGGACGGTGGCTGGTCAATGGTGTTTCTGATGACGAGGATGGAGGGGTGTGCAACAAGCGGTGGGCGCTTCTTGTTTCTTCCTACACGCTACTCGACAAAATGCGGGCCTACCACGAAGAAGGCAGCCAGTATACTGGAGACTCGAAGTTTCTTCCTCTTGACGACAATAAGGGTCTGCTTGTTGAGGAAAGGTTGACGAGGAGAACTCGTTTCTGTTCGCTCCCTTGGGTGCTCACCGTTATCTTTGGAACACTTCTCATCCTTCAAAATGTCTTTTACTTAGTATGGGAGTCTGGCTGTCGTCTGGGACCCGTATATGATACAGACTTTGGTTTGTCACTCTGCTGATGGCTTTTATCTCAATCGCTCGTTGCTAAGTGGTCACAGAACCCATGAAACACGCCATAAGCTCCGTTAAAGTCCGATTCACCAGCCCTCTCTACGTGGACGACAACGGTACTTTTCACCGACAAGAAGACCCTGGAGCGATAAAGTATGTTGGGGGCCCCGAAGAAGAGTTAGATGCCAATTGGGACTCGTTACTCGGGGGTATGTATCTCTGTTTCTCCACGAAGAACAAAGTGATCCGACTAACGAGCACTCGGGATTATCACATTCTAGGTCGATATTTCCGACTCACAGAGCAAGAGACCAGCACCCTCAATGAAGATTCCGAATTACCATCTCTATCACCTTGGGACCGGAATGGCGAAGAATACTTCTTTGCGGGAATCGACATGCTGCATTCGCTCCACTGCCTAAATACACTGAGAAAACACCTCGACCCGGACTTTTCGGATAATGTAGCGAAGATAGCACCGGAGATGAGGCAGCTGCATCTTGGTAAGACTGGTATCCTCCAAAAGCAATGGATAAAGATTGACAAGTAGTAGATCATTGCGTGGAACAGCTAAGGCAGTCCATAATGTGCCATGGAGATGCGACGCCTGTAACCCTAAAGCCCATACTTCAGGATACGTCCACTCCAGCCCTTCTTGGTGAGACTGAAAGACTACATACTTGTAGAGACGCAAATCGCCTGCGAGAGGAAGCTACAAAGAAGGGACAATTGAGGGGGACGAGTGAGATAGTTCTTGGGTAGTTGAGCTCCTTGATTATGAAAACAATCGATTACAACCCCAGTTACTGTGTGGGCGACTCGTTCCTGAAACTCTCTCCTATATATATCCTACCCATGCATCCCATGTCCATCGGTGTGTTCGGGAGGGAGGTTAAGATTTCCCGGAGCATGTGGCACATCGTGCCTTTTTGCCCACTTATGGATTTTGTCAAAGTTCCTACATTCTCGCACACCGTCGCCTTCTGCGATATACGTCTTGGTGGTTTCGTTCCATCCCACCGGTCCGATGTTCACGTCGCCGAGACACATGAAGGACTGTCGAAGATAGTCAAAGCAGTGGTCTGTGGAGTGGAATTGTTAGCTCATATTCTTATGTTTCGTTATTATTGGAATGCATACAAGTGTGTTGTCTAATGATATCGGCGTCTTCGCCATACTCTCCCTTGAGATCCGTATAGAAGGCGAGCCTAATACGATTCTGAAGTATTGCAATCAGCAAAGCGCTAACTGAAAGCAGATCCAGATCCACCTACCAAACAATGTATTTGATGAAACACCTCCAAAACCCCGACGTAGGACCCTGGAGCGGAGTCGTATTGCCGGGCTGTGGGTGCGCCTAGGTATTGTGCCTGTCTCTCGTTGAGATGGATCAATCGCACTGGATTACAATCACCATCAGCCTCTATTGTTAGCCATAGCTTTCGTGAGGGTATGATATCACACCGTCCATGAGCGAGTCCCAAGCAGCATTGGTCTTTTCGTCCGGCTCTCCGAAAAAATCGGTCTCTCGGTCCGCAGTGATACCCGTGGAAAATTCGCGCATCTCCATTTCCACGGGGATGTCGGCCGGTCCCAGAGTCTGAATTACTGGAATGTCATTTCGAGCAACGTCCTGCTCGAGTGTCGTAGCGGGTGTCTTGGACTTCTGAGTCGTCGAGGCGTTGCTCCAAAATGCCAATGTTGCGAGGTTGGTGAGAACGAGCAGTATGATTAGGATATACTGAACTGAGGTGCAACGCTTGTAGAACAATTTCTGTGGCGAAGTTTCGTGAGTACTGCATTCATTGTCGACTTTGCATACCTCCTGGTCTCTCGAGCTCTCTTCGCTCTCAATGGGACCATATTTGTGCATGAACATAGCGAGATTTCGATTCATTGTGCCTCAGAATTGGACAGGGCAAAGATTCCGAAACCACCGAGTGCCCAAAAAAGAGGGACTGACTATCTTCGGCCGATCTTAACAATTGCCGGTGTTGATCATGTCGGAGGAATTAATGCTCGCCGGCATAGCCTATATCTGCCGGTGTCACAATAAGCCCATGGTACATAGCCTATCTTGATTTTAGGTTCACAAAGAAGGCATACAATTAAGTTGTCAATCAATGCAGATCTCTGTCATGGATAACGGCTGAAGATTGACCGAGTTGGCAGGATACCCTAAGAAGTTGGGTATGGCACTTCCACAACGCGTTCCGCCGACATGATACCTTTCTGAGTTTATCATTGAAGTGCCCTAGTATTTCCCTTCGAACCAGAGATGCCCAGTAAAGGCAGTCCCTCACATACCGCCACCTATCCTTTCAGCTTGTCCTGGCAAACACCGTTACCCTCTTGTTCTCTTTCTGGATCCTATACACTTATCGAAAGTGTCTTTGGCAAGGATGCAAGTACCCAAACCCCTGTACGAGGTAAGAGGGGTAGTAGAGATACCAGTGCAATGGACGACATGCAAGCTTCTCACCGGAGTCGAAGAGGGAAGTCTCATGGGGAATCCACAAGACCCCTCGACCTATGTCGGCGCCCTTGAGGTCTTTCATCAGCTACTGTACATTGTCTGGTCGTGCGACATTTCTTCCCATCTCCTCGGCTAGACCACTAATCTATGAGCAGTTCCATGGGGTAACCGACTGAGAACAGAATAATATCCGTCATGGATACTACGTTCCAGAAGCAAGGGATCTGGCACCCGAGCCAGAAAAGCTCCTAACACATGCTGGTCAGTTATTCTTCTGCCTGGAATAATGGAACGGTGCTCACGGTTAACTCCGAAATTACCTAGACCATGTCTTTGATCATTTACGTCTGAATATTGTGTTTGGGCCGAATACTACCATTTCATCGCTGGGTTGGTCGACCATCCTTAACGAAAACTGTCCTTGGTTTGACCCCGTCAAGGAATGTCTTGATCTTGAGCAAATACATGCATGGGCCACGCGAGAGGAGAATTGGTTGCCGAATGATTCGGTGCAAGATAATTCTGGCTAGATGGGAGAATTCTCTTCAAGCCAGGTTATCTTGAATGTCATCAACAGCATGTCACTATACAAAGATGACTATAGAAAATGTCATGCAATTCCCGTACTGTTCTCTCGAGGAGCACATGTGACAGGCGTTGAATGGAGCAGATTCCAATAGTCAACTGGGAGAAAACTTTGTAAGAATTACCCTACCCCAAAATAGACGAAATGGTCTGGACTTGGGTTACACTGATCTAGAACGATCCAAGTGCCGAAGTCTTTCGCAGCAGTTGGTCTAAATAAATGCAGCCACCTTCCATCCCTTCCAGCACGATAGGTTCTGGTTCGCTTCCACCTATCCAGATATACTGTGGTAAACTATCCCTTACTGTCACCAACAATTCCTTGCCAGGTGACAATGAATTTGCTTCGATATCCAGCCAGCCCTAGATCACGTCGGCCCCAGGTTGATTTAGCCGAAGCTAGAGTGAGACAACACGCTTGTGAGCCTGGCTACCAAGAATAAAACAGCCTGGATGCAACCTACCTGCAGGTCACAGGTGAGTGACTTTGAATTCTGCCACATTGTAGCATCCTCCCAAGGTAGTATTCGAGGATGAGCAACTTCAACCCTATTACCCCTTTTTAACCTAGGCAAATCTGAGCATATCTGGGACACACATGCTGTGCTCCACTCAAATAGAAGAACTTTCCCCGGAGACAGGGTTCAAAGACGTTTATTGCCGGTCTCCCGGTGTTCGACTCACCCTCGCATGCTGCATCTGCTCCAGCCTCACCCTTGCGTTTGACGATTTCCAACAACCTCTGTCTGCACCTCCTCTAAGGTAGACGAGGCAAAATGTCGCACCGCACACCATTTAGATGATGAGGAATCACTTGTCGAACTGCGCGGGAACTCTTATGAGTTCGATTCGAAGACCCGGTATCCCTTTCGGTGCAACGCATTCCAGCAGAATCCACGATCTATGCAGGGATGTCGGGGAACCACTGCCAAGGCATGACATATTGAAACGGTCACTCGAGTCACAAGGAAATGCTTGACACCTGAGCGAAAGAGGTGTTTTCTTTTCGCTTGACCAAATGACTTCGGGGATTTTCGCATCGTTGCAGAGTGGAGAAACCCGGAGATAGCTTCTGACGCCATACAAGCCCACCCCCCTCCATACTTTATGACTTTATTTTCGGGCTTAAACCTGCACAAGACATTCTCGATGTGGTTATGCTGCAGTGATACCCTACTGTATCTTGCACCTCGGCACCGAAAATCGCTCGAATCCGGTTGTTATGTTCCCAGATCCGGCCGAGGTTGTCGACCCAGGCCTGGCTGGGCCTTGAAGCAATGCATTGGATTCCGCCACATTGCTGAATGGTATCGCCTAGATCGCGGGATTCTGGAAAATCCAAGAGCTGCATTATCGTTTAATCGCGTGATACCTGTGGGACCGGTAATGCCTGACAAGATGGGGATCCCCTTGACTACCATCGAAAAGAACCGCAGACAGGGCTGCGGGGAAGGAAACCTTTAAATTGAAGTCGTAACCTCGTTCATGGACCAGGGGAAGATAGTGGTAACCGATTTTACCTGCTCTGCGATTCAAAGCCCTAACGTGGTCTGGCGACAATGTCTCTTGCAATAGCCCGTACGGCGGAAGAGGGCCCCAACTCGCCGGAGTTAGATATCGAAAAGAAAGCAAATGTTCGCGTGAGCAAGCATTCTGCATCCGCCGCGGATGGCCTCGGCGATCCAGGTCATGCTCGACAATTTTTCTTCCAGCGATCGAAGAACTACGATCCCGGTGCCATTGCGACGCAGCCGTCGGTATACGATGACCCGGACCTTGCAGAAGCATACCAACCGTTGGAAAATTGGGAAAACATTCATCGGTTTGATACCTCCGCGAGGTGGACATGGGGAGAAGAAAATGTGTGTCGGTCCCTATCGAAGGCTATCTTCACGAGGCTGATTCCCTGCAGAAAGCTGTCGGAAAGCTTGATAGGCGTATTATGATCCTGGCGTGTATCATGATTATGGCATTGGAGCTCGATCGGTCCAACGTTCGTACGTATTGCTATATATTTTTGCACCCATAAAAGGATTCTGACTGACTGCTTCATTGTCATCTTGTAGAACAAGCCAATGCGGACAGTCTCTTGGAAGATTTGAATATAACGCGAGACGGTAAGTTAGCCTTCTAAATTGCCAAGCAACAATATGAAATTCCAAGCTGACAAGCAACTTGTATGAGCCAGATTACAACCTCGGAAATACGATCTTCAGGTTATTCTACCTGTGCAGCGAGTTACCCGGGCAGCTCATCGGAAAGTCCATCGGCGTCGACCGGTGGATTCCCCTACAAATGACGTGCTGGTCTATCGTGGCCGCCAGTCAGTTCTGGTTACGCAATCGAAGCTCTTTCTTGGCTTGTCGAGCCCTCATAGGAATGTGCTCAGGAGGGTTCACGCCCACGGTGAGTCACTCAAACGCCGGATGCTCTGACCGGGCTAATGGGGTGTAGATGGTTCTCTACATGTCTTACTTCTACAAGCACCATGAGCTTTCCGTCCGCCTTGGATTCTGGTATGCGGCGTCTTCACTCGCGGATATTGTTGCCGGATTGCTGGCATACGCCATATTGCATCTCCGTGGCATTGGCGGATATGCGGGCTGGCGTTGGCTGTTCCTGATCGAGGTTGGTTCAGATTTCTATCAGGGGAAACCTTCAGCTCACTGACGCATACACAGGGTCTGTTTACTTTGGCGCTTGGTCTCATTGCATTCCTCCTGTTGCCGCCGTCGGTCACGCAGACTGCGAGTTGGGCGCGAGGAAAGAAAGGCTGGTTCACGGCACGGTAATTCATTCTTGACCAGAAATAAAACTTCGCACGTCGGAAGAGCGATTCTAACGAGCTTATAGGGAGGAGACTATCTTAGTGAATCGTATTATTCGCGAAGACCCGTCGAAATGCACAGCGAATAGGCGACATCTGCTCACTCCGAAGCTTGTCTGGCGAAGCTTCAAGGACTTCGATCTTTGGCCATTATACATCATCGGCCTTACATTCTTGACCCCATGGAGTAAGTATTACCGTTCTAGAATGATTCCACGCAAGGTATTCTAATATGTCTATGTACCAGCAACCGTCTCGCAGTATTTCACCTTGATTATGAGGGATTATGGTTTCGGCACGTTCAACACCGTGTTGCTGTCTGTTCCATATAATGTACGGAATAATGTCTATTTCATAACGTCTTTCGAGGCTAACACTTTTCAGCTCGTGGGCATCACAACGCGAATCTTGCTTACATATTCCGCCGAATATTTCGGGTCGATTGCGGTGATGGCGATATTGGCGCAGGTCTGGACGCTTCCGATGTTAATATACATTAATGCCGTGGACTTTGGGCAGGTCAACAGATGGGTCGCATGGACAGTCTTGACGTTGTTCCTATCTCATCCCAGCGGTAAGTGTGTCCCTTTCTGTCTCCCATAATGTGAGACATGCTAAGACAAGCCTCTACAGCCCATGCCCTGCAAGCGGGCTGGAACTCTCGCAATTCGAACAGCGTGCGATCTCGCGCCATCTCTGCAGCGCTATATAACATGTGTACGCAGTTGTCTGCTATCATTGCGTCCAATATCTACCAGGATGGTGAGTGGCTAACCCAATCGGACCTTTCTCTCCAGAGAACCGGAGATTGGGGCGGTGTAGGCTAATTTGAATCGGTTATGTAAAAAGACGATGCACCAGGTTACTCGAAAGGTAACCGGGTGATCTTGGCCCTGGTGTGCGGCAACATCGCCATCTACGCAGCCACCAAGGCGTACTACATTTGGCGCAACCGAGGCCGGGACCGGAAATGGCAGGCGATGAGCGAGGAGCAGCGGGTGGAGTATATCGCAACCACGGCGGACCAGGGCAACAAACGGTTGGAATTCCGGTTTGCCCACTGAATCGGAGGGATAGAACTTGAGGCCGTTATTATTAGATTAGCCTGAATATTAATATGAATCTTGAAATTGATTTAAAGCGAGAGAGCCTTGGCTTTAGTCATGAGAACTTAGGGCTGGCTGACTGTTCGGAACCGCTGAGTCAGCCGTCCGTATGCGACGATCCCGTGATGCTGGCTGTAACCTCGTCCGGTGCCGCCTGTCCCCTGTCCTCTACTTCTACTTCCGCTTCCTGTCTCTCTTTTTCTTCTCTTCCTCCTCCCTGATTTACCTTCCCTGTCTGTGGTGTAACCCTGCTTCTTATCTATCTACTTGCTTGCGTGGACTCGACTTTGGCCTCATGTCGGTGCTCTCGTCCCGCCCCCTAATTCCGCCGTCAATCATTACCTAGTCCAACGTGGCCGCAACCGCCGATCGAACACGATTGTTCCTCTCCAACACTTCGAACACTTATATGCATTCAAGGCTGCGACCTTCTGCATTCTCGGTTTCCACTCTAGTTCCACCCAAAAGCTAGCGTTACCCTTCCGCGTGATATTCGTTGTCTTTCCATGAGCGCTCTGGATGGCGTATAGATCCTCAGTCTCGACATTTCTCTCGCTCTCCCATCTGTCGACGTAACGAGGCTACCAGCATTCCGATTGAAATAAGCTCGAAATCTGTTGCCCTAATTTATCTGTCTTGTCTATACTCCGCGCGGGGTTCAGGAACCATTTAATTCTTTATAAAGGTTGCTTTCCTTTTTTGTTCTTGTTCTTGTTCTTTCTCTTTTGTCTGTTTCCCTTTTTTTTTTTTTTAAGGTTGTGACGGAAGATTGAGACAAGGTGGCTTCAGATCAAGCGCACTTATTGGGTCCTGAGGAGACCCGGGATTCCGAGCCGGTTCTCGATTCCCACGACTTCGATGACGATATGTCGATGAATCGTCCTCCCATGCACCGACCGACCGACGGTCGGTCCCACCACCAACCGCTGCTGAAAGAGGAGCAGCGCGGTCGAATGTCTTTAGGGAACAGTGACGCCGAAGGCAGGCCTATGCTTCACCATACCCGCCGGCCAACGATCCGAGATAAGAGCCCCGAACACGATGCCGAGCAGGCGACTCGCAAAAAGTATATGATCGCGTCCGGTTTCTTGCTGCTGAGTTTGGCTAGTTTCGTGGTTCAGACCGAGACCGCGGTATACATTCAACATGAGCTGCATTGGGATAAACCGTACGCCATGCTGTAAGTTTGGCTTGGTTGAGAGGTGCGTTATATTCGGAAGGATTCATTTGGTTGACTCTTTTCTTTTTCTTCTCATGCAGGTATTTGACACACGGTTCTTGGGCCCTCTTGTGGCCCGCTCAACTCCTCATCCTACGCATCCAGAAGCGGAAACTCTCGTGGAATGCGTTCTGGCGACGTCATGTCTTTCTTCTCCGGACGACGGCGCAAATGGTCGAATCGCAGGATCAACATCTCTCCAACTCGCGGGTTCACAACCGATCGCCCGTTCGCTACATGATCAAGACCACGGCTTTTGTGACGACGGCTCTTACTATTGCTGGAGGGTCCTGGTACGTCGCTGTCAACATGACGACGGCCAGTGACTTGACTGCGATCTACAACTGCTCCGCCTTCTTCGCCTACGCCTTCTCCATCCCGCTACTCAAGGATAAATTGCGATTCGACAAGGTGTTTTCGGTGCTAGTCGCCATTGTGGGTGTCCTGGTGGTCGCATACGGGGATCGGGACGAAGGCAAGAAGACCGCCGACGGCACAGTGGGTAAGGGCAGCGACGAGGCGGAACACCGACTCGTGGGCAACATCATCATCGGTGTCGGTAGCGTGCTCTACGGTCTGTACGAAGTCTTGTATAAGCGGTTTGCTTGTCCGCCGGAGGGCACCAGCCCCGGCCGGAGTATGATCTTTGCCAACACCTTTGGCAGTCTGATTGGACTGTTCACTCTGCTAGTCCTTTGGATTCCCTTGCCCATTTTGCATTTCCTCGGTTGGGAAACCTTCCGATGGCCCACCGGCGAAGCCGCTTGGATGCTGATGATCTCCGTCCTCGCCAATGCCAGTAAGTCTTCCTATGCCCTATCTAGAAACATTGTAAAACCTTGCCCAGCCCGAATTAGGGCATACCTTACATCTTGTAACACAAATGCAACAACCACCCCTCTGTTAGCACGTAAAACAAGAAAACCGAAAACGACCCAAACCAATAGCTGACCATCTGCTCCCTTCTTATCTTAGCATTCTCCGGCTCCTTCCTTGTCCTCATCTCCCTTACTTCACCCGTCCTTTCCTCCGTCGCCGCTCTCCTGACCATCTTCCTCGTGGCCATCGTCGACTGGCTTCGCACTGGCCACTCTCTCTCCATGGCCTCCATCATCGGCGGCATCCTCATCGCCGTCGCTTTCTTCCTTCTCAGCTGGAGCACCTATCGCGAGATGAACGAGGAGCGGAAAAAGCGGCTCGAGAACGAGGACATCGAGTCCGATAGCGACGACTAGACTTCGCTGTCTACTTCTCTATCCGGCAATTATTCGTCTTTCATCCTCCACCGAAATATTCTATATAACTAGATTCGACCTGTCTGTTTTATCTTTCCCCGGTGGATTCTTCGCCATTGATCGTCTTGTATCTTTTGTTCATTTCATCCCCCTCTATAACTCATTCATTGGCATTTGATATCTGTATTCAATTCATGATTGGTTGGTTGGTTGGTGTGTAGGTAGTTTAGGTGCCTAGTGTATAGACTGGTGTTCATGTCTTTCTTTCTTTATTATCTGGTTTCATATAGACTGTCGGTGGTTATATCTTTCATTTCTTTGGTCGTTTTTTACTCTCTTTCATTGTACATTCTATTCAAATTGTATTTCAAGGAATGCTCTCTTTTGTGAAGATTTTCGGGTCAAGTTGTCAATTATAGCATACAAGAAATACCGATAGAGTCTGACCTGACCCAGTGGTATTGTGCACAACCGGGCGAAGAATGGTCATAAAATCAGATCAAGCTTACTTTCTATATACAGACTACACGAAAATCGCACAGGTGATGGAATAAGAGAAAGGAAGTACACAAAAAAGGGGGTGGATGGTCTAATCCTATGTATGTACGACGCACCACGGTATCGAGTCCAGATACTCAAGGAGAGACCTGCCAGGAGTGGTTCCTTGGTTTGTTTGGGCAGGCTGGTGTTGTGGTTTCTACCCAGTAAAATTGAGAACATAAGGTGAGCGAGGGTGAAGGTGGAGGGACAAGGAGAGCGAAGTCTGTGAGTAAGAATGGATGTTCAGAAAACAAAAGAGTATCGGATGAAGTCGGATGTAATAGAGAAATAGAGAGAGATAAGATAATATAAACAGACAGATAAAAAAGAGGTTATGATTTTGTTTTCTTTTTTTATCTGGGACCGAGTTTGGCCAGGGCACGAGCACCCTCTTCTTCCCATTCTTGCTTTGTGACCCACATATCCTCCTTGTCGGCGATCTAAAACGTAGAGTTGTTAGTTGTTGTATATTGGTAAAGATATGATTATAAGAGGCGGGGATGCATACCAGGTTGGCGAGCACGGCACCACCCAAGAACACCATATGTCTCCGCCGGGGTGGGTCTTCGATGCGAACCTTGAATTTCTGAAAAAGGGGTCAGTACAACTTCGGAGCATGGGCTTGTTAATCGCAATAACACATACGTTCAGTCTCTCCGGGTTCCCTTGCAACACGCGGGTCAACCACAGCTGCTTCAGCTCCTTCTCCAACCGCGAGGGCAGACCGGGGTACATGCTGCTTCCTCCACTGAGCACGATGGCCTTGTACAAGCTGGAACGGACGTCCACGTCGGCACCCTGAATGGTATTAAAGAGCATTTCGGCAATACCAGGCTGGTCCACGTCGACCAGGTGCGGCTGGAAGAGACACTCGGGGGCTTCGAATCGCTCGCTACCGACACGGATGACTCGTCCGTCGGGCAGGGTGTAGGACTCCACCAGGACCGTCGTGTCCTCCGACAGCTTCTTGTCCAGCTCCAAGTCGTAGGAGACGTAGGCGAGCTTCTCCTTGATCTGGCGCACCGTCTCGAAATCGGCCGTACGGTTCAGGGCGTAACCCCGACGGAGAAGCAGGGCGATCAGGTTCCGGGTGACGTCCCGACCGGCGACATCCAGTCGGCGAATGTGGTGGTTCAGGACCGTCGATTCGTAAACCGGGATAATATGGGTGACACCGTCACCGGAGTCCACGACAACACCGCTGCTGAGACCTAGTACGCGAAGGAGAAGGTCAGCACTAGCCGCTCATCTTGCCGCCTGGGTCTCGGATATAGGCCGAAGGAGCACTCACCCTGGGCGTACAATGCAAGCACAGCTTGGATCGCAACGTAGACACCGCCGAAGTTGTAATTTTCCAGCATCACTTCGCACATCTGTTCCCGGTTCTTCAGGGGGTTCTGGGGGGGTTCGGTAAGGAGGATTTTGCGACCGGTGGGGTCGATGCCCATTTTCTCGTAGAAAGTGTAGTTCCATAGGTGCTGCATATCGTCCCATTTCTTCACGATACCGTTTTCCATCTGTCCAGCGGAGTGCGCATTAACAACACGTCGGGGGTTGAGATTCCCCATCTGGCTCGGGCGGAGAGGGAAGCCACGCGGGGAAATAACAGGGAACATACAGGATAGCTGATCTGAAGCATCGATCGGGCGGCAGCGGCTTCATCTCCGCACATAATATCCTTCACGACGATATCCCCGGCCTGTTCTTCAGTTCGCAAGATAGGTCGCCCCACTATTGAGGGGAACTGGTGCTCTGGGAAGTTCTATCGAGGCGGCAGAGTGTCATTAGTCGATGGGAGAGACTCGTCATCGGGGTTCTAGTGGTGAAGGCGTACCTGCGCGGCATATCCGACCTTGAGGAAACCGGTTCCTCCGTCGAGCACTGGGAAGGTTGGTTAGATGGTTGACTGACGGGAGCTGGGGGGAAGCTGTTGGGGGAAACATAGGGGGGAGGAGCTTACCAATGGGCATGTCCGCCATAGTGAAAGAGGGAAATGAGATGACAGGTCGAGTTCAGATGTAAAGATTAGGCGAATCCGGCGAGACCAGCCAACGCGAATGGGGGAAGAGCGAAATAGAGAGAGAGAAGTATGTATGAGCGACGGACGGCGGAGGAGAAGGAGGTGTGGCTCTCCGCCCGATCGGGTCGTGTCGTTGCCCCAGGCAGGAACCGGGGGGGGCGGAGCCGCATCATCAGCCACGTTCTCTTCAACTCTTCTCTCTCTCTTCTCTCTCACTCTTCTATCACTCTTATATCATTCTAGTCAGGTTCTGTCAATGTGACCTGTCTGATCCGGATGATCCCCAGGATGCCCTCGTTGTTCGTCCAGAGAGCCGCCCGGCCCCTTTCGTTTCCCTGATGACGTAGTATTGTTGTTCCTCGTAGAAGCTCTAGTTCACGCCGCACAACCTCACCATGTAAGACCGACCGAAAAGCAAGAGGCGTTCGTTCTAAGAGACGATGTAGAGTTATCCCGTACGTCAACGACTAAACAGATATAAATTGAGCAGTCAACTCGCCCCATCGCCGTTTTCCGCCCGACCTCGGGGCCGCCCGGCCGGGAATCGCTCAGTTACTGTACCTACTAGCGATTAGTTAGGTATAAGAGATGATCGATCCGTCTCTATAACCTCAATCAACCCCATCCACCCCCCCTTCAACATGCACCCCAAAGTCCCCAAAATGCCTCGCATCGGCTGGGTAAGTCGGCTCTCCTCAATCCTAAGCACATCTGGTCCTGACCTCGACCTCTTGAACAGTTTGGCCTTGGCTCCATGGGCCTAGCCATGGCCACCAATCTCCAACGACACCTGGTGGCCAAACAGGCCCCGGGCCTCATCTACTCGAACCGGACCCTCTCGCGGGGCGATGTCCTGCAATCGCTGGGTGCCACGCCGGAGTCTGATTTCAAGAAACTAGTCGTTCAATCCGACATCATCTTCACTATGGTGTGTCCGTTGTGCCTAGATAGGCCCCATCAAGACAGGCTAACAGACGCGTTAACATGGATCTCAAGGTCTCTAATGACTCGGTTCACAAAAGCCTGATCTCCAAGGCTACCCTGTCTGCACCGTCCCTGCACGGCAAAATCTTCGTGGACTGCTCGACTGTGCATCCGGAGACCGTAGGCCAATCCGTCGGCAGGCTCGGGGGGAAGGGGGGTATCTTACTAGCAGCGCCTGTCTTCGGCGGTAGCTCGATCGCTGAGGCGGGGAAGTTGGTCTTTGCGATTGGCGGGTTGCAGAGCGCGTCTAAGGTCGTGAAGCCGTTGATCCAGGACGTGATGGGTCGTAAGGTGATTGATTGTGGAGCGGACGCGAAAAAAGCGTCGCTTTTGAAGATTGCCGGGTATGTATTCAAGACACAAAGAGAAAGAAACAAGTTACTAACATCATCATCTCGTATAGCAATATTGTTACCCTCAATATGATGGAAGCTGTTGGGGAAGCCCAGGTCTTTGCCGAAAAGACCGGCCTTGGGACAGGTCCTATGGAAGAACTCATCGGCGAGGCATTTGGACCGGTCGCCGGGGGTTATTCGAAGAGGTGAGTCCCCTTGTCCTCTTTCGCATTGCGTTTGGTATGAGATCTCATTTATCGTCTGCAGATTGACCACCGGTGCCTATGCACCGCCTCTGGACTCTCGGCCGGGGTTCTCCGTAGACAATGCCATCAAGGATGCCAACCATGCCATGGATTTGGCCCAAGACCATGATGCATATCTGCCAGGCCTGAAGGTTGCTCGAAAGAACATGGTGGCTGCTCGAGATTATGCAGGACCGTGTCTAGACAGCAGCTCTATGTACGGAATGCTGCGTCAACAGGCAGGGTTGGAATTCTGGACTAAGAACAGCCGGAAGGGTTGAGAAGACATGCGATCGATAGTGTTGTATAAGAACTTTATATCGTGGATATGTTGAATATTTGCGACTATAGGGTCTGTCCCATAGATATTGATGTGGCCCCTGGATGTACCAATCACTTCACTAAGACGGATCCGCGTATTCTGGCTTCTCTACTCGCTGCTTACACAAGAATCTCTACGGGTAGAATGCTCGCAAACAAAAACAAGATACTCAACAGAAAAGAAAAAGGCCTAATTTGTTAGCTCGCCATTAACCTAATTCATCCCCGAGCCCCTAAGATTACAAACGGTATATGCTCATCCGCAATTACAGTTCGAATCCTTTGGTTTATGAAGTAAACCGTTGCAACATGAGGAAACGATGGGTACAAAATGGCTGGAAGGCGAAATGAAGACAATGACGGCCACCGAGCTTTTGGTTTTACAGGTTGGTTTGTTTTTCTTCTTTTTTTTCGGCCCTTTTGTGGAAGGAAGATCAAAATGCACCTATCAAAATATTAAATATGAGAATCGCCCACCTGTTTCCCTTATCAGGGCGTGGTCCTGATCTTGGTGGTTTCAACTAGAGACGGATAGGCTTCGGCAAAAGCCGGCCCCAAAGTCCAGTTGTTGAGATTCCGGAAATGCCTTTCGAAGACAGGGTTGATGATTAATTCGTCACCATCTCCCGTCGACAGAAGACAATCGGTCGCTTCGTATGGCCAATTGACAGACAGCGTGCGTGTGAATGGGATAAACCAATTCTCAAATGGGTAATCTCGATATGACATCACTACGCGGTCGCGCATCCGCGGCCAGGGCAGGTAGTCAATCCAAGCAGGATGCGGAGTCAACAACTGCGACGGACGAGGGGTCAGCCACTCCGGCACGCGGTCGTAGTTCTCCGGGGTCGGGTAGATCTGCCATCGCATGAGGATGAACATGAGATACAAAACGGCCACCTGTTCCGGCAAGGATGAGATATCCGGGAACGTGCGTAGAATGTCAGTGAGAACCTTCGACAGCGGATGGGAGTAAACGCTCTTTTCCGGATTGAGCAGCGACGAGACGCTGGGATAAGGCGGCCCAACCAGCTTCTGCTTGGGGACCCCCTGTGCCGCCTGCCGTTGACGATGGTAAAGAAAATCCAACAAGATGGCATCCAACGTACAAGTCGGAGCGATGTTTCGGATCGGGGTCAGGTGCGCCGGGAGCGACTGCTCCCCCATGGGCCCATTATTATGCGGGGGCGAATAAACAGCAGGCACGCGGAGGTTGTCCGAGGCACGGCGGAAGCCCTCCAATTTGGGAGCCTGCGACGCATCTAGAAGGAAGTTGAAGCCCATTCGCTCATCGCTTCCGAAATCCAATCCATGGGCCAGATTATGCCGTTGGTAGTCGAAGGCAATGCGAAACGAAGTAGAAGATCCGGTCGCGCTATCCCGCCGAACTCCGCCGAACGTGGGCGCCGAATGGGTGGAGGATGGGGTTTCAACGCTGGCAATGGATTCGGAGTATTGCTGCTCCGTTGGCCTGGGGTTACTAGCACCGGGATGGTTGAATTCCAAGAAAGGCACAGTCGTAGAAAGGGGAGGAATCGACTTTGTGCCACCGGACGGAGTCGAGCAAGGGGGAGGATCTAGAATTAATTTCTTAGTCCCAACCGCACAAGTTGATTCACACCCATCCGAGTATAAGCAAACGAGTATTCTTTTCTTCTCCCAAAGAAAGAGAAGAAAAGGATAAAAAGATATTGAGTGGGAGAAAAAGGAGAGAGAAGATGATGAAAAGAAAAGCGAGAAAAAGTTTTACGGAAAGAGAAATGAAAGAAGAGCGACGAGGAACGAAAAGGGGACAAAAAGACAGAGAAATGGTTGGTAGGTAGGTCTTACTTGAAGTATCCTGTCTCCCAAACAATGGTTGAATGATGTCCAGAATCGACTTCAACCCCTGCTTTATCTCCGCATTTTCCGCTTGAATAGCTTCATTCTGCTTCAAGGCCGCCTGGAGGTCGAGATACGGTTTCTGGGAGGAAAGATCGCGCACACGCTGCTCGAGGGAATCTATGTGAGTCTTTGTTCGCTCACGAATGGCTCGTTGAGCCTGGCGATCGTTGGCACGCTTCTTTGCCAATTGCTCCGGGGTAAGGTTGGCGACACCTCGAGCCGACGTGCTGTTCAACTTGCGTTTCCGCCCCGCAGGCCCGCCATTATCGGACGCCGGTGTTTCTGCATCTGCAGAGGCCAGGCCGGTCGAAGTGGGAGAGTCCTCTAACTTGACGTCGTCGGGGTCCTGGCTCATGGATGAAGACTCCATCGCCGGAGATGGCGCCACATCGTTCAGAGGAGGCAGGCGGTTGGCCATTGCCTCACTCGCTGTGTTATCGAATCGTAACGGCCATTCAATACGGCCGGAAAAGCGGGAACAAGAGCCAGGCACAAACCTGGTCAGCAAACCAAGTTGACAATCCGCATGGATGGAAAGGGAAGGGGAATAAAAGAGAAGGGAGGAAGGGAAGGGAAGAGAAAAGAGAAAAAAGAAATACGAGGGAGTCGAGAAAAGGAGGAGGGAAGCGAACAGAAGAAAGAGGAGGTTTCGGAATGGACAAAGGTGACAGTTCTGGAACAAGTGGAGTCCCGCCGAACTTAATCCTGGACCATCACATGCTCAGGGTCTTTTGGCTTGGAAAGAGCTTGTTCTCTGCATGTTGTATGTTGTCTGTAGTATGTACGCCGGTCCCCGTATATAATCTGCTTATCCAACAACTTCCCCGGTTAGGGGAGGTCCAACTATACCAAAATATTAAAAAATCCCAGGGAAAAAAAAATAATACAGACGAAACTCCCTGTCAGCAACTGCAAAGCCGGTCCGCCCCCGTAAAAACTATTTCTCAACCGAGAATTCCGCAGACCCATCAGAAATAATGCCGAATGGCATGTGCATTGCAGAGAAGAATGCAGGAAGACGTAGAGCATTATAGACACGTAGAATGACTTCCGTCTCGCCGTCATAAGTATAGCGCTGTGTGAAGACGACACGACAAAAAAAAAAAAAAAAAAAAGTAATAAGCATATAATAACAATGGGAAAAGAAAGATATTCACTGAATCATGTGGCCCATTTTGGAAATCTATTTTCGATCATCAGCTGTCTGCCTGTCTAGCGTCAAGTCGAGGGAAATCCAACTCACCTTCGTTCTTAAATACCCTTCGACTTCGGAACTCTTGATGCCCATCTTTCCGCCCGATCTCCATGCCAGTGGAATCATCGGAACTCGTTCCTTAACGACCACTTCTCGGTTGGGTCCCTCAACGGCTCGCACCTTGTCCGGGTTGTTCGTCAACAACCGAATTCCATGGGGGTTCGAATCAACCCCCAAACCAAGATCGGCCAGCATTGCCGTCGCCAGACCGTAGCTCCGGGCGTCGGCCGGATGACGAAGCAGCAGATTGGCCTCGACGGTATCTGACCCCAAATCTTGGAGATTATACGCCTTTAACTTCTCTCCCAACCCGATCCCGCGACCTTCCTGCCGGAGGTAGATGATGACACCGCCAGACGCGTTCGAAGGCACAGTGAGGTCCTGCTGAGAAGCGACTGCGGCCAGCGTCTCCATCGGCAAAGACATGAGTCGCGCGGCCTCATCCAACTGCTCACCACAGTCGCAACGGGCCGACCACGCCGTCTCGCCGGTATAGCACTCCGAGTGAATTCTCACCAGCGGCGCTTGGCTGGGGCTGCTTCGGGGGACCTCGGGTTGATCCGATACAGGACCATCGGTGGGAGCAAATCCCCCCTGTCCCTCACTCTCGGCTTGCGCGCTATCGTACCAACTACTCACCCGCCCGGGATGAAGGGTGCCGACGTATGCCCCACGAATCATGCGATCCATTTCGGTCTCCCCCGGGCGGACTTGGTCCAGACTCCGACTCCGGATAGTGTTTCCGAACACAATTGCCAGGTGCTCCTTGTTATCTAAATCATTGCGGTAGAGGTGAAGAAACATCTCCGCGCCGTTGGTGGTGGGGATCCGAGCGCGGACGATACATTCGACGTTGGGAAGGCAGGAAAGTAGTTTCGGGGGTTTCGAGGTCGATGTCGGCTGCGGTAGCTGGACTTGCTGCAGCAATTGCGCCGTGTTGAGTGTGCCCCCGGGCGTTGCTGGCGGGGTGAAGGAAGGTGACAAGAGCGAGGCCGGCACGGCAGGCGTGACGTCGCCTGGGCCATGCTCGGCATTGTCGGACTGAGCATCGGCACGAAGCTCATCTACTCGACTGGTCGGCAGGGGCGCAGCCGCCGTTGTAGACTCAAGCGATAGATCATCGACGGGTTCGGAGGGCGGCGGTTGAGCGGCGAAGGAAGGGGAGGCGTGGGAGGGCAAGTTTGCCATTGCGGAGGGTAGAGGGGGAGAAGAGGGGGGGGGTAAGCAATCCAAAAACAGTCTAGAACGGCAGCTAAGCAGGGTTCATCGATCACCCACGAGCATCGTAGGTATAAAAGTACTCGAACAACAAATGTCAAACGGGACGACAGATGACAATTTTTCTCTAATCCAAAAGTACAGCGGCGATGCCGGGGGAATTGCGAAATGATGACTGACCGAATGAATCCCTCGGAGTCTCGGGACGGGCGGGGTGGCTGACTCAGCACTCCGGTTAACGTAATCGGCACCCGAGCGAGCCACGTAAGCGAGCGAGCCACCCCTTCCGCGGCTAATGCCGCCCATATACAATTCTGATTTACATACAAGAAAGTGGTGTTTTTGAAGCTTCAAATCGCTGTTTAAATCGCCCGTTTTCAGGCAGTTACCCGATTAGGGCACCGTGTACGTATATGGCCTAAATTGTGACACTCACTACACCGAGGCGGTGCCCGGCGGCGAGATTGATCTTCCTGGCCAGATATGATTCCAATAGCTTCATCTCTCGCGCGATCACGCTGAAAAACCTCCCTGGCTTCTTCAACGGTGAAGCCATTTAAGCCTGTGATCTGTTTCTTACCCCGTTTCTTCTTGGTGTCTCGCTTCTCGTTCACCCAACGAAGCTCTTGGACTTCCTGTTCTATTAAAACCGCTCGATTCAAGGCCATTTCGGCACCCTTAAAAATATAGCCCAGCGCCGATTTCATTGGTGTATTAATCATATCGTTACTAAGGAGCTGTTGAAACCTTAGTTCTTGCTTCTTGAATTGTTTTACATTCATAGATATTTTTGAAATTGTCGATTGAGAATCTCCACTGCTTGGCCGGCTAGGTTCTTCATAAATGAGTTGATCAAGCACCTCGCTTGACTTAAAAGGCACCAGGCCTGAAGCTCTGAAGGCATTCTTGATATTGATATTCTTAAATGCCATTAAATGAGCCTTTGGATATTCATCAAGAAAATCATTTTTATCGATATGTTGATATCTCGCATGTATAAGGCGTTCCACCAAGCCGTAATACGCCTGTTTTAGAGGCGCAAAACAAGCAACATCCAACGGCTGACAGAGGTGCGATGATCCGGCAGGCATACAAACAGGAATAACATTGTTCTGATAACAGATGTCATCAAATTTGGGCGTCAAATGTGATTCATGGCCATCAAGAATCAAGAGGCTATATTTACCGATTCGGCGGTTGGTAATCCATGGAACGAAGTGATTTTCAAGCCAGTGTAGACTAATTTCGTTACTCGTCCAGCCGTTTGGTGATAAATTGATTCTCCATGTAGAAGGTAATTGGCTTTCATACCATCCCTTTATATGAACAGTTTCTTTAAGAATCAAGTACGGTGGTAAGGCCCAGCCAGCAGCGTTAATACACTCGATTGAAGTTATCCATTCGCGATTACCCGGCTGAACAAGAAATGGCTTTCTTTCACATGTTGATCGAGTAATCATTTTAGCTGTAGCGACTTGGTTCATACAAAAGCCCGTTTCATCAAAATTGAAGATGTCTTCATCAAGAATTCCGTATTCGCGTATAGCAAGTTGAACGCGGTCAAATCAAGTCTGAATAGTCTTTGGATTCTTGCATTTCGTTCTTTTAACATCAAGCTGACGGCTATATCGACTTTTTAAGGTTTCATGGCGAGCAACGAAATTAGACATCCATTTCTCGTCGACAGAGATATGTAGATCTTGATCACCGCGCTTTCTAAGCAGCATGTTGGCCATTTCACGAACCATGGAGTTCCTTGGTGGCGTGCCGCGAGAATCAAGCGAGAGAATCCATTTTTCAAGCGATTCTTCTTCTCTCTCAGTCAATTTATGAGAATTTGAACGTATTTCCTGGCGAGAATGCCGTTCGTTTAAGCGATGTTGAAGAGTTGATCGAGAAACATCGAAAATCCGTGCCGCGCCACGTACAGAGGTAATTTGACCGTTTTTAATAGCTTGAAGGGCTAAGGCAATTCGACCCTCTTGATGAACCAAGTCTTTCGACGACTTCGGCATTTTTGGTGGTGTGGTTGATGTTCTAATGGCCTGAATTCATGGAGGTGCGGGAGGCTAGAAAGGGGTGGCTCGCTCGCTTACGTGGCTCGCTCCGGTGCCGATTACGTTAGTTAGTCAGGCTTTTGTCAGGTGAGTCTGGGCGTCTAGCAGCTTCTCTCATTTCTAATCTTGAGTCGAGCCTCCATCCTGAGTACATACACCGTACTTATGGTGTATAGCCAGTTCATGCTTCTAGGATCTCATCGCGTCGGTGAATAGCAATCATACTACGGTGTATAAACTATCAAATCCCTCTCTTCAACACTACTACCCACCTTGAAGCCGATTCATCGATCTCGATTCTCGAAGCTTGTTTGGTGGGCAACTGAAATGAAATGAATCATGTCCCAGTTCAAATTCCCAGTATCTCCAAAGTATCCGTCCTGGCGCTTTATTAGAACCTCAGCGGCTAGAATGACTCGCGCATACTTACCAAGTACTCCGTCCTCCGTCCACCCGCAGGGGACCGCTGGATTCTGCATAACCCTAATCACTAAAAAATCAGGCGTTTGCCTTGGTGTCCCCAAAGTCAGATCAATTTCCAAATTGATCGACTCCCAATATCCAGATAGTGACATCAATGCCGCGGTCTCTGTCCGCGTACCCGTCGTATCTCATGTGAAGTGGATACAAGATCGACACCGAAGCCTCGCCTCCCCTCTCCCCCCATGGGGATGAAACAGAGGGGAAATAAAGCTGAGCGGTTTCTTCCTATGAAAAATATTTTTTTTCGTGCCGAAAAACTCCCAGGTCCTCTGGCTTTTCCTCTCAAGCGATAATTGGGACGCGATGGGAAGTAGAATGGGTGACTGAACCGGCATCAACCACCACACGCATGATACATTTGGCCCCAATTGAGATCGTCGTTCTTGAACCAGCATCCTCTTCGCTGTAAATTCCTCGGCTGGACCGTTGAAGTCATCACATATCTCACACAGAATATGTCCAAACCAGATATAGAGCAGAGCTCGGATGTATCAGAAGCCGATGGCACCTCTACACCGGTCAAATCCACGCTCTTCCAGCGATGGAAGACCCATATGAAGAAATGGTGGTGGATTTACCTGATAGTCTTCTGTATTATCGTTTTGGTGACTGTCCTGCCCATGTGAACATCATTCTATCCAATCTCATCGGCTTGCACTAACCTGGACGTCTAAACAAGCATTTACGTGGGAGTCCCTAACTTCGCCAACAAATATATCAACGACCACAACTTCGATACCTCCGGTCTCACCATCTCAAACCCCTCTCCGGACTCGTTTCATATCCGCCAGTCTCAAGAATTCCACGTTGGAGGTGGATTCAGTGGCAGCGGAAAACTCTCTGCCTTTAATGCATCACTCAGTGCCCCAGGGTCGGACAGGACCTTTGCTACTTTCCCCGTCCCGGAGATCGAGTTCAGCAATGGCGCCACCCTTGACATTGACCAGGATCTGCATCTTTCGTGCGTCAGTTGCTTCTCGCAATTAGCGGCGTCCGCAGTCTCGAGCAAAGAGTTCGGCATTGTCATTACCGGAAATCCAGATCTCAAGGTTAATGGCCTTCCGACTGCTCAACTAGATATTCATAAGAACATGAAGATGCAAGGTATGCTCTGGACCCAGCATCATGTATTCAATGATTCCCTATTTCAATTAATTGCTAACTTCTGTAAACAGGCTATAACGCCCAGGGTAACTCTACCCCACCACCAATAATCCTAGACCCGAAAGATATACATCCTAACTGAAGCACAACCACCAGAGTTCCTCAACCGCGACGGCGCATTCAACGTAACCGATATCCATATCCTCGACCCCCCAAAGAAAGGCTACAATGTGAACGCCACCGTGGCATTTAAAAACCCGACCCCATTCAACGTCGAAGTGGTACATATATCACCCCCTTGCCCTTCCCCATTGCATTCCAAACCCACAACAAAACCCGTCCGTCCACTAACTGCGATCGAACCTTTCCCATCCTACAGGGCGCCGTCGGCTTCAACCTCACCCTAGGCGATGAAGACCTCGGCTACATCGACATCCCAAATTTAACCCTGCGACATGGTCTCACAAACGCAGACATCCTGGGCAACATCAGCATCAAGACCCTCGTGCGTCAAGGCATCTGGGAATCCAGCAGCGAGGATCTGGGTAAGGTGACGATCGGGCTGCATGGCAATCGGTGCGTCTATGATGGCAAGGAGATTCCGTATTTTACGGCGGCGTTCAAGGCTGTCAATGCGTCGGTGGATGTGGATTTGATTAAATATGCGAAGTATATTCTGTGAGGGCGGACTGATTAAGGTCATCATAACAATGAGCCGTTGATCAAATAGAATTGACTTGCGATATATGAACCAGTCAACCTGACTAGTTGGAATGCGAACCGAAATCTTATAGAAAATTGCCCTAGAATTTTCCCGTGAACATAACCAGGTGAATCTAATAGTCCTACCCTAGAGTTCTACCCTAGAAATATCACTAATATAAGAAAGCTACCCAGAACAATATTAGAAAAAACATCCCAGCAATCTATGATCCAAACGCCTCGCTTCTGATCGAGCAGTGTTTTTTCAACCAGCAGTAAAATAAGGATACCGCCAAACTATAAACTCCTTAACCCATTAACAATGAATGCAAACCGCTGCGGCTCAAAGGGTATCATGTTCTTCCGGACAGACCAGAACTGTTTGGTCCCGAAGTGGAGGCTGTCTTCGTAGACCGTTCTTTCGGAGAAAGGGCTCATTTACCCGGAATATCGAGGACAAATCGACGGTCGACTTCCATTTCCTTGTCGTCTTCCTCGCCTTCGAACTTGAGACGGTAGGTATCCTTTCTGGATCCCATGACTTCCGCACGATAAAACGTGGTCGTATCAGGGTACCGCGCCAGGACCTGCTTGCCCACGCTGAAGGAGGGCAGCGCCGTCCCAACCCTCGGAATAGGAATCAGTGAGACGGCCGTGGTCTTGAAGACAGCGCCCTGTTCGCCGTTCTCATTCGGCTCGGGGTCCTGAACGTCATACCTTGAAAGGGAACTCGGTCAATTACTTGGCAACTTTAGACTGGGGAGCCATGCCATACCGTTTCTTATTTCCCTCGCCCGTGATAGACTTGATGATGCATTGGATGCCCTCGCCTTCCACGCCTTGTTTGTTTTTGTTGTGTTTGAAGACAACTTCGGCGCCCATGGTCAACTGCCCCGTGCGCTCCGCCACCATGCCCTTGGTACTCTCGGCCCCTTCCTCTACTTTGACGTGCACACTTTCTCGGCTTTCTCGGCCGTCCCGGGCCTGCGCGCTCGAGACGCTCGTACTGCGCTGGACACCGCCCTTGCGGTTCGCCTTATCTGAAAAAGACGGACCGGACGGGCCAGGGGAGTCGGTGGCCGATCCATCGACATCGTTCCTCTTCTTGCGGGACTTGCCCAGAGCAGACGCGCGATTGAGCGGGGCTTCCATTTCGGATGCCTGACGGAGAGCGGTCAAGAGACCCAGATTTTTGATCACATCACTTGGTTCATCCTGGAGGATAGCTCGTTCATCTTCGCAGAGCTTGGCCATCTGACGGTAGAGAGCATCCAGTTGGTTATGCTCGCCGAGCGTAGGTTCTGTAACCATAGTTAATATCTGCTTAATTCTATTATATCTTCATTCCATCAGATGGTTGAGAAGACATCCATCATGGTCATCCACCGACAGGTAGATGCAGCAGAGGTTTCTTGACCCTGCCATCATGGCATGATGAAGAAAGGCAGAAGGGGCTGCACTTACTTCCACCGTCTTTCCCAATCCTTTCGTTCAGCGCGTGGATCTGGTCCCCGATGAGCTTTTGCTTATCGTTCTTCTCCTTTGCCTTGCGCAGATCTTGTAGAATCTTGTTCCACATGTCTGTTTCCTCATTGGCAGCCAGGCCATTGTCCCTGGGCATCGGAGGGCCCCTGGGACGGTTGCGCGACATTCCGAGAGACGAATGCGGCGGCTCTTCAGGAGAGAATGCCCTGCCTTGCTTCTTCGGCTGCGCCTTCTTTCTGTCCGTGGCCGGGATTGCAACCGAGGCTTTGGCTTTCTCCAGGGTCAAGGCCTCCCACTCGAAGGCGGAGACGATCTCCTGATTGACTATACTGCGCGTCCCGCGAACTGCACCCTGGCGGAGATTCTGCGACCGAAGAAGAGCAGCAGCAGCAGCCTTGGAAGGGGAAGATAGCGGCGTCGATGATGGGCGATGGGCGGCGCGGGTATTCTTGGCGGGCGTCTGGCGGCTGCCGGGAACGCGCTTGTTGCCCCACGGGACTCGCTGATTGGAGGACTCCATATCCGTCACGGGGTCGGATGCGGACGGCCGAAAGGGGTTTAGTTCAGGATGGAGGGGCAGAAAGTAGAAAGAAGGCGGGACTCTTCGTCCTCGCGATTCCTGGAGGGACCCAACAAAAACAGTGTCCAGACAGACAAGACTGCCCTGCTGGAAGAAAGAGAAGCTGAATCAGTTCGGTGACAACTGATTCTCCTTTGGAAAATCACTCCTCAACCCAGTATATCCTTGATAACTCCGTCTTGTTCGCTTGGACTTCACTTCTGACCGCCCACTTCCTGGCCAGAGACAGAATGCGAGTGCCGTTGTTTCGACTCCAGTGTGGTAAGCGTGGATTCTGTCGGGGATTGACTTGACGTTCTCAGAGAGGCTAATTGACCGGGGCGGTGTTTGTGTGTAGGAGTCAACAGTTATGACTGGGGTAAGATCAGGCAATCTGCGGTGTTTCTATGGTGAATGCTGTGCTGAACATCCTTTTAGGAAAGGTCGGCAACGACTCTGCCGCGGCGAAATACGCAGCTACCACCGCTGCTCCTGACTTCTCGATAGAGTCCGAGAAGCCATACGCCGAAGTCAGTTCCTGCCTCATCCCGGACCCTTCCTCCCGCCACAAGTCCCCCGCTAATCCCTATGACGTAGCTATGGATGGGCACGCATCCTTCCCTTCCGTCGAAAGACCTCGAGACGCAGCGAACCTTGCTCGACCTCGTGCAGGATAACCAGGCGTTGATGTCTACGGAGATCACGGAGCGCTATGGCGGAAAGCTGCCCTTCCTCTTCAAGGTGCTGTCGATCCGGAAGGCCCTCAGTATCCAAGCCCACCCGAACAAGAAGCTGGCCGAGAAGCTTCATGCCAGGGATTCCCAAAACTACCCCGGTAACGATAAACCACCTGACACTGACTACACCGGCATTAACTAACCGTATGCCGCAGATGACAACCACAAGCCCGAAATGACCATCGCCATTACGCCGTTCGAGGGCCTGTGTGGTTTCCGTCCGTTGGCCGAGATTGCCCATTTCCTCAACGCCGTAGCACCCCTGCGTCAACTGGTCGGCGAGGATGCGGCCAGCCAGTTTGAAAGCACGATCAAGGGCTCGGAGGACTCGGAGGATCCTGCGGTGACGCAAAAGAACAAGGAGGTTTTGCGGGCGGCTTTCACATCTCTAATGCAATCATCGCCCGAGAGCATCGAAGCCGCCACCAAGGACCTCATCGCGGCGGCCCAGGACTCCCCCGATAGCTTTGCTACCTCCACCAGTACACCCGATACAAACCCGAGCAACCCGGCCGAGCTTGCCGCCATCATCACACGCCTGAACGGACAATTCCCCAACGACATTGGCTTGTTCGTGTTCTTCTTCCTCAACTTCGTCACGCTGTCCCCCGGAGAGGCCATGTTCCTCAAGGCGGACGACATCCACGCCTACATCTCCGGAGACATCATCGAGTGCATGGCGTCTTCCGATAACGTGGTGCGCGCGGGCTTTACTCCCAAGTTCAAGGATGTCAGCACCCTCACAGACATGTTGACGTATTCCTACGCACCGATCGAGGAGCAGAAATTGGAGCCTACGGACTACCCGTACGTGGTCCTCAACGTGCCGGCCTATTCCAGCGGGTCGTCCAGTCTGCTCTATGACCCTCCCATCGAGGAGTTCAGCGTGGTAAAGACGGAGCTGAAACGCGTCGGCGCCAAGGCGACCTTCGACGGACTAGCCGGTCCTAGCATTGTCATCTGCACTGGCGGCACCGGCAAGATCACGGTCGGCCACAAGACGGAGGAAGTGAAGGAGGGATATGTGTACTTTGTGGGTGCCACGGCCGAGTGCATCATCGAGAGCACTGACGAGGGAGATTTCACCACGTTTAAGGCGTTCTGCGATCTGACGGGCAAGGAGGACATGGTGAATGGCAACTAAATAATCTGTGCATACAAACCGCCAGCGAAAAGAAAAAGCAAATATAATTGACGTGTATGTTTATGCACTTTATTCACTTCCACTGCAGCCGAGGTAAATCACTCGATCGACAGGAGCGGGGAACCTCTCCGTCTTATACTCTCTTCCTCTGTCTTATCATTCATCTTATCCTTCTTAACCCCCACTTCCCCTCGTCAAAATCATCCACCACTACGGAGTACCCCCCTCTCTCTCCCTCACCATGGCCATAGACCGCACCTCGCTCTCCCTCTGGGAAAGGGCCGGCGTCCTCGCCGCGCAGCTCTCCGCCGCCGGAACCGCGCTCTACAGCGCCATCACTGGAGCCTTCCGCGGTGATTCTGGCGCAAGTTCTTACAAGCTTCATGTCGGCAATGCGATGATTCGATCGCTGGTCGGCCGATTGAATTCCAAACAGGTTCAGTATGACAAGCTTGTCCAGAGGTTTCCTAAGACATTGAGATATCTTGACGACTGACGAGGCCACATGTAGATACGTCTTTCCCTCCACCAAATCTGCGTATGAAAGCTTCATGAAATCCAGAGGTCTTGAGCCGGAAAGTGTGACGCTCAATCATGGCGCAAAGGGCCATTGGATCGGGAATAAGAACGCGAAGAATGTGGTGATTTATTATCATGGTATGTACATCTATCTTTCCAAGTAGTATCTTCACCCAGAAAGAAGACCGAACAACCTACTAACCCCAACCCCCCCCCAAAAACAAACAGGAGGAGGCTTCGCCATCCCCGCCTCAGTAGATCACTTCAAATTCTACACCTCCATCATCGACCACCTCAACGCTACAAGTACTAGTTCCTCCGACGACATCGCCATCTTCTTCATCGAATACACCCTCACCCCCCACGAAACCTACCCAACACAACTTCGCCAATCCATCACCAGCCTCCACTACATCCTCACCGAGACGCACCGCTCGCCAGCAAACATCATCCTCGGCGGGGACTCCGCCGGCGGAAACCTCGCCCTTGCCGTGCTGCTGCACCTCGCGCATCCGCACCCGGACCTCGAACCGTTAGGCCCCCTCCTTGACGGCCAGCCTCCGCTAGCGGGGGTCTTTGCCTTCGCGCCCTGGGTCAGCTATAGTCTGGAGTGCGCGACGTTCACAAAAAACCGCGAGAAGGATATGATTCCCGCGGGGGTGCTGGCCGATTGGTCGCGTGGGTATCTTGGTGGTGCTGGGAAGGAAGGAGATGCGTGGAGTGAGCCGGCGAAGGCGCCCGTGGAGTGGTGGAGGGATGCGAGAGAGAAGACAGACAGCATGCTGTTTTTGGCGGGGAGCGATGAGATCCTGTTTTCGGGGATTGAGGCTTTTGTGGAGAAGGTTAAGGTATGTTCTTCCTGCCCTTTTCCTTGTTCTTGTTGTTCTTGTTGTTGTTCACATTGGGGTTGAGTTTCTTTGATTGGAGTTGGGATGAGGTGGTATATGGATGAACGAGCACTGATTGACTGATCTGTTTCTAGTCAGTCGTCCCAGACGCCACATTCGTCGTCGGACATGGAGAAACGCACGTTGCGCCGGTCTATAGCGGGTCGTTTCTCAGCGAGGAGACGCAGCAAGGCAAGGCATTGAATAGCTGGTTGGCCGCTCGTCTTTGATGGGTTGAATTGACCCCATTGAATATCGCATTTGTTGATGTTGGCTATCTATCCCGTTGATCACGATCTAAGGTAGTTTGATGAGCTACTACATACTATCTAGCTTAGCGGGTCGCACAGCGTTGGACGCACAGGATCAGTGTAACAGGTTCGAACAGGGTCGAGTCTTGTTTATTTTCGCCTTTAGGTATCACAAATAATATGTCTATCATTGATGCAAGATATTCTTTCCATGACTAGATATGACAAGGAAGAGGAAAGGAAAAAAGAAATGGAAAAGGGCCTTGCAGATAATACCTGATAATACAATCGCTACGCCGTCGCATAATTCATTGAAAGAGAATAGGGAAAAAGAACAGAAACAAAATCAACAACCCAAAGGAAGTCTCAAGGATCAAGACGACACTCGCGGCGCATACTTCGCAGCAGCCGTATCAAAGAATTCACTCTTCTCTTGGACATCGACAAGCAGGGCATGCGAGGGCTGAGCGTTTTGCAAACGTCTACATCAAAAAAAAACCCCCGGTTAGCTTAATCAACCCATCATACGAATAGATCCACATCCACCGGGACACCAATTGAACGATGGCAGGGATAGGGTAGAGAGGGTAAACGTACGTCTCCAGATCCTCCGACGGCTTTCCAGCCAACACATTCAACACGATCGAGTTAGCGATCAATTCCGCATCTTCGGGGTATTTCTCCAGCGCCGCCGTCAACGCGGCCTCGGCCTCGGGCAACCGACCGAGATGCAGCTCCGCGACGGCCTGGCCGACGATCGAAAGGGGCGCGGACGTGCTAGGCGCCGAGGCGAGTTCCTCGTACACGTAAAAGGCCGATTGGTATTTCTCGCCGCCCTGGAGATCATGACGGGTTAGTTCTGGAGATTCAGAACTCGCCTCGTCTGCTAAACAAGTACATGTCTCCGTGGATGGAGAGAGAGAGGGAGAGACGGAGGGGGAAAAAAACGCACAATTCTCATGCCAACCCACGATTCGGCCAGGTTGACCAGCAGCGAATCCTGGGCCCAGCGCTTAGCCGTCTGGACTTCCTTGAGGGCGAGATCCGAGCGGTTCTGCTGGAGATGGATCTGGACGATCAACGCGACCCTATATTAATCAACCCAAACACACAATTAGCATCACGTATCATCATCCCACCGCGCATAATATCCCGAATCACAATCCATTGTGAACCCAGACCAACAAAACTACAGGACGGAAAGGAAAGGAAAAAAAACATACGCCTCCAAATTCCCCTGATGTCTCGCCAACAACGCCAACGCCTCATCACTCTTCCCCTGGGCCTGCAACACCGTCCCACCTAGGACTTGCACAGTCGCATTATCCGGATAGTTCTCCACGAGATCCTGCACCGCCTGAGCGGCCGAGTCCGCGTCCCCGGCCACCTGCTGCGCCAGGGCCTTCACGGCGGCCAGATCAGGGACATCGTCGGCCTCGGCGTCGACGGCGGCGAGGACCTGGTCGGACTGGCCGAGGGCGAGCTGAGCGCGCAGCTGCAGGACGCGGGCGGGGAGGGCGTTCTCGGGAGAGAGGGCGGAGGTGTCGAAGTCGATCACTTCTTGGTATTGGCCTTGGTGGTAGGCATTGTGGATGTTGATGAGTTCTGGGTTGGGTGCGGAGGTCGGGGGTTAGTTGTTTGGTCGACTGATGGGGAGGTATTGGGAGGGGAGGGGGACGTACCGCCTTCTGCGGAGAATGGGTCCATGATGGGTAGGGTCCTAAGAGTAGGAATTGAGGTGATTTGATATAAAAAAGGAAGGGGAATGGATATACTAGACAATTGGGGTCTTGAAGCCCACGGGAAGTCGTCACGTTGTCATTCCCAGACCGGTAGGCGGTAAGCATGACTGACAGGAGAGAGCAAAGTAGACCGAGTTACTACGAAACTACAGAGGACTATGAATATCTACTATTACAGTGGTGTCTACTGAGTAATGGATTGGAAGAGATCTTAAAATACCAAGCTGACTGTACAACGCCCGGAATAGTAGAGCGTCCCAGCCGCGTTCATATTTATTAAAACACGAAGAAGAAAGATAAAGATAGACAGCTCCGAGCTTGAAGGGCATCCTTCGAGAACCCTGCAGGCGACGGATAGGATTGAATCAATCAATAAAGCACTTCTGTTCCTCGAGGAATGAAGTGGCCTTTAATCCAGTCTCGTACATGTAGTCCTCCACCATTTATGCCCGATGATGCAACCATTTCCGTAGTGACTCCCTAAACAATGCGACCGTCCTGCTCAACGAAGGTGAAAGATCAAAGGAAAATGAATAGAAGAACGTGTGAAAATGCGACCGGGATTCCAAATGTTGAGACACAATCATATGCTTAATAAAAACAGAAAAACAACAAACAAACAAGTACAACCACAGCATGGGTAGAGGGTATCGCCACATCAAACAAATATAATCCAGTCGCAAACGTAAAATCAGAAAGATCAGTCAGAGCGTCTTGAACCTGCAATGGCGTTGACGCAGCTATGCATCGCTTCCCGGTAACAGAATAGAGTAAACATAGGTTTCCTTCGGACCCTCCAGTGGTAACCTCAGTAACCGCAATGCGCCCAAGGTCCCTAAACACAAACAGAAAAGAGAGAGAGAGAGAGAGAGAGAGAGAGAGGAGGGATGGAGAGAGCAATGAATCCAGGAATATCCGATGCAATCGAATCTGTCATAACGCCGCACCTTTTAATAGCACATGAATGGTTGTGATGAAATAGAAAGAGATGAAAAAAAAGAATACAAGAGAAATGAAAGAGAAGGGTATGAAGGAACCGCGAGATCAAGGAGGTAAAGATGCGGTGGATGCGGTAGAAATAGTCGGAGTCAAGATCGGCGAAGCATCTTTCTCGTCTAAGCTCGCTGGCGTCTCGCTGCCTTTGTCAGACTGCAAGTCCTTCTCCCGCTCTGTCGACGCAGTCCGCTTGAACACGGTCTGCCCGATCTGGCGAAGAATGCCCATGCGTTCGGCTCGGAGCTCCTCGGGACCGACCCGGTGGGCAGGGACCGGATCTTCTTTGGTGATCTTGCAGAATAACGTGGAGAACAAATACTGGTCACCACCGCCGTCATACAAGGGGAGATAACGATAGCCTTCGGACAGACTGCTGAGCTTTGCGGTGAACGAGGCCAGCTGGACACAGTTGTTACCTCCTGTGCTGCGTCCGTCCATAGAGCTCCAGACAGTCCAGCGAACGAACACCAAGTCGGGGTACTTGGTTTCAAGAGAGAGCTTGAATTGGTCGTTGAATATGGGACTGTACCCGTTACTCTTCTCGATTCGCGTGCGTCGACGATGGGGATATCCGATTCCCGAAACGCCACTGCGGGCCGAGGCATTCATCCCCCCTTGGCCAAAAACAAAGCTCTGGCCTCTGTCATCAGCGCTGAACATCTCAATCTCAACATAGGGATTGATGCTATCATCAGGGCCAATACTCCGAGGGCGGGGCAGTTGCTGGGCTGAAATGACATCGATGGAGAATCGCACGATATTCCACTGTCGGGTCATGGGGTCCGCTTCGTTCGGAATCTGAGGAGTGCGCAGGGTTTCCGGTTTGAGCACGTAGCCAGTGCGGTCACTGCCGGCCGCAAACATGGCCTGATTCATCTCCATGCCGACATCATAGGTCTGCCAGTTCAGCGCCGCCATCTGAACGCCACGGCGCCAAAACTTGAGAGGATCGAAATTAGACGACCTCAGTCGGAAGCCGGAGGGATAAACGCGAGTGAGGTATTTGCGGTTGTGCTTCTCGAAAAGCGCCTTATTTTCGGCATCACGGCAAATGCTCTCGAACGAGCGCTCGGCGAACGAGTAAACATGGTTGAATTTCTGGCTTTCGGCAGACGAGAAGCTGTGCCATTTGTATCCACGGGTATACACTCCCAGATCCGACAGAGGCTTCGTGATTTTGCTCTTCTGGCGCTTTTTCGGTTCTTTCTTGGCTGAAACGAGGGCCCCATCGCTGTCCTCCGTGGCGCTGCTCAGACTGGTAGTAGTGAAGGATCTCTTGTCCTGGGTTAGGAAGGAGGAGACCGTATCTTGACCGATGGTGGAGGCAGTGGAGAGAGGCGGGAGGGCTTCAAAGGCCGGAATCTCGGGCACTGCCGGGCGCATAAAAGGGGAACTGGAGCTGCGCTTTCGTCCCGCAAAATCGCCAAGCGACAATCCCGATTCCTGCCGCATTGCTGCCTGGGGCTCATCGCAAGTTTTGACCTTGACCAGAATGCGACCTTTCAGCTCCTCAGGGGAGGGAAGGACGAAGGTGTTTGTGAGCAACGGTTCCAACACGAGTTGCTCCTTGAAGGTATCCTTCATGATCTTCACCATGGCCAATTGCTGCTCCGGGTTGCAGTGGACTTCGAGCGACAGGATGAGAGGGAAATCAGTGGTGATGAATGCGTAGCGATTGATGACAGTAATGCAATCGGCGAACAAGACACTCGTAGTCATCGTTCTTCCATGCGACACAATAGGCCGACCATCGGCACCATCCCAACAGTCAATTTCCACGCAGCGACATCCCTGCGACAAAGCACTGATGTATGCTTCGGTGCTGGATGCGCCGGCGACCTGACGGCCTAGAAGGTAAGTGTTATGGGAGCTCGAGATAAAGTATTCGTTCAAAGGCCGGTCGAATCGTGACTGCGGGGGACGAGAGGCATAGATACCATTCCAGGACGAGGCCATGAAGGAAGAGAAGGCATCCAGACTCATCCGGGGAACCGGCTCGTCGCCGGATTCAGGGATACTCGGGGTCCGTAATTTCGACTTTCGGACACATTTGTCAAACATCGAAATCCAATAATTTCGGTCGGAATCGATGTCCTCGTTCTGTACGTCACGCAGGAAGATTAAGAACTCATCAAGTGTGAGTCCCTCATAGTCCGTGGCAATGCTTTTGAAGATGGCCCGGACATCCTTCCGCTCTTTCAGGAGCGCGACAAATTCCTTGAACTCGTCGAAGTTGAGTTTTCCTTTGCTTCCGACATCTGCTTTGGTGAACTGAGTGTGAAGCATGTGCTTAGAGCAGTTGATGTGCAAGCTGTGACAAATACTTTCGACGGCACCAAAATCGAGGCGCTCGTCTTCCCCAGACTTGACCCCATTGGGGAACAACCGGGACATCTCGCGTTGCCAGTGCGCTTTCAAAGCGGCTTCACTCTGGCCGGATCCTGCCAGACCAGCCATGAGACCGATTCTGTAGCGCGAGATGTCTTCGAGGGTCGTCGTCCAGAGGTCGAGAAGGTGATCATTGGGGGCGATCAGGTGTAGTGTTTTGACAGCTCGGCCCTTGGAGCGCTCGGCGTCGGCAATGACGATGGTGAACCAGCGACTCTCGGCCTCCTGCGGAATCTGATGCTCCTCACGGTAGTTGCGCGCATCGGCACCCACGCGAATCTCTTTGATGTCGTCGATGTAGAACCGTTTCGCGGGGTTCGAGACATCCCAGTAGACTTTGCCCGCGTCGAGATCGAGAAAAAAGCGGACTTGCTTCTTCCTCTTTTTGGTGACTTTTGTCAGGACAGCACCGCGCTGAATCGACGAGTCGACCTTGGGTGCGATCGCGCCGGCACTACGCGTAAGCCCCAGAGGATTGTCGCTCTGCAAGCTGGATGCATCCGAGCCACACCAGGCACCGAGCGAGTCCAAATTGTCGTAGCTGTCCTCTTCGTTGCTAGACTCGAGGGCATTCTCGCGGCTGTTTTGAGTACCCGTTTTGCTGTCACTGCGTCTTCGCATGATGACCGGACCGGAGCTGCGGTCCCGCTTCTCGTTGTGGGAGGTGGATTGGCGTCTTCGAGTAAGCTTGTTGGCCGCACCTCGGGATATTCGGCGCATTAGGCCGGGGCCCTTGCTGTTGACAGCATCGCCGGATCCCGAGGCGGTAGCAGTTCCCGGGAAAGCCATTGCAGACTCGCCGAGCTCGAGGGAATAGGGAGGAACAGAAGGAAATGGAGGGACGCGGTCTCGGAGCCCGTCTGTGGCAGGTTGCAACGGTGTCGCTGAAGGGCTGGAAGCATTTGAAGGAGTATAGGTTGGGTGGAGGGAGTTCGGAGTAGTAGTAAGAGAAGAGGTGTATAGGGGACCCGAAGGGGGATTGGAGGAGGAAGGAAAAGATGTTACGACATGGTGTAGTTTGGGGGATTTTGGGAGCGATGTAGTCAGTTTTAAATTGGCGTTGGTATCGCCATTCATAGTCGAGGCTGGCGAAGTAGCGGCGTTAGCCATCGCGGACTACACAACCAGGCGTACCACCCGGCTGCGAAACGTGAGACTGTCGACCTGTCGTGAACCGTGCCAGTGCCTGAGTCACCTGGACTCATAAAGGGACGAATGAAGAACGGGGTAGTAGATAAGCGGTCGTGTTGGTTGCGAAAATGGCGGCCTATAGCTGGAATGCAATACGAGCCAAATTAGGGAACGTGTCTGGCTGAGTGATGCAAAAGCCACGTCCTTAGCGGGATTGCTGTGGTTTGGATGTCTGCATCTTGGCCTGCCTTTGATGCAATGCGGAGTGCCCTGCCGGAGAGCGCTCGCGAAAGGGGAAATAAAAAGATTTCTGGTCCCTGATAACAATTGAAACAGACACCGGCGTTGTGTAACAATGGATCAATCAACGAAAGAAATTGCTGGAGAATTCCGGCGTTGGTTCGCTCTGCCCCTTTAAAAGGGAAATAAAAGGAAATAAAAGAAAATGAAAAAAAGAAATAGACGGATTTGATGACTTGGCTTCCCGGGGTTGATCACTTTCGGAAATCGGCCTTCGTCACGTTCCTTGATATGCGCACCTCCGGTCCTTTTCTTGATTTTGTCTTTGTTATCCTGGTCAATGGTTCCAGTCTGAAATGATCTTTTGCTTCCCAACCCCTCTTCGATTTGTCGATCGTCCAGTACGCGGGGAAAGCTGTCTTTCTGCAAGTACAAGCAAAGGATGCGGAGACGGACCAATTGAAGGAAGACGAAGCGGACGGAGTAAGAATTCGTTCTTTTTTTCCTTGCTCACTAGAATTGGATGGAGGGAGAGAAGATGACCAAAGAGAAGGGCAGAATCGAGAAGGATATGCAAGTCAATAGTCGTAACGCACTGCGCATGTGTTTAGTTGTCAGCAGAGCCCCCCTCCGCGGGCGAGCTGATTGAACCAGGAAATCAGCTGTGCGTTCGGCCGGCGTGATTATTCGCCAGGGAGCGAGGGAAGGCTGAGGGAGAAAGGACAACCGGCGGCGTCGACGAGGATCGGAAGTGCAATGCAGGATTGCCTGCCAACACAGTGATGCAGGCGGTCCAAAGAGGAAGGGCGCGCGGATGGGCAATCGGAGATTGGACCGAGTAAGGAAGACGTGAAGGTTGCGACAGCTTGTCTAGTGCGGGTTCAATGTCCTGCACGGTTACGTGGAGAGTCGTAGAGGACCTGCAGCAAAGTCCCGCCAGGATGTAAGTAAGAGTTAGGATGATGATGATCATGCGACGGGAAGGCGGGAGACGGTGCCAGCGTTATTCCTTCGTCCAAAGATCCGGGATGCGAGATGCGGAAGACGAGGGCACAGACAATGGTAAGAGATTCGGGGTTAAAAGGAATAGAACAGAGTGCGACGCTCTTCTTGCTCTTATGGAGATTTCCATCAGGCGATTGGCGGTTTGGTTGGACAGAGAGAAGAAGGCTTGGGGGGGTGGATGGGGAGTAATTTTTTGGGGGGGAAGGATTTTGGAAGGGCTCGATTTCGAAGAAACGGATGGATGTTTCAATGAAAGAGAGCTGCAGTGGAGAACGCACCGTCACAGGTATCGTTACTGATACTGTCAGTAATATACCGTATTCCTTTCGGGTCGCCAGGCTGAACGAATACGAAAACGGAAATTTCGGTACCAAACAATAATGACAGATGCGGTAACGATGATATAACGGGAGTAATGAATGATGATAACAGAGGCGTCCGGGATTTGAACTAGGAGGGGGTACAATGAATAATCAACAGAGTGAAGAGAGAGAGAGAGAAAGAGAGAAATAAGAATCGAATACGAAACGGATTGATGACAACAACGACTCCCCGGAGACGGGCGGAGACTACGATCTATATACCAGGAAGGATGTCAGGAAAGGGATGTTGCTGGGCATCGTTGAAACTCGAAGTCTGTCACAGCTGAGCTGTTCAACGGCCCAAGAAAATGTTAATCTTTTTCTTTCCGCCCATTCCCCATAACTAACTAACCTTAGGTATCCCTTCACACATAATCTAAAAACTCAGTTGGTCTCCAGGTATTTTCTATTATGATCCATGATAATGATTAGTACACTTCCTGATAACTAGTTACTACATCTGTATCTACTTCCATCTCCAGCAACTGAAGTCCCGGCGGCTGAATGCAAGTATGGGGCCAGGATTGAACAGGCAAACGGATCTACAGAATCCCTCCTCCTCCGGATGAGGTGATGCGATGCGATGTCGTGCGGCCATTTGTTTGGAAGATCAACCCGCACAATGGGGAGACCCTGATCTGCTCTTCCATTGGATGATCATCCCTTGAAGGATGTCACTGTCAAATCTTGCAGGTAGGCCAATCGATAAGTCGGCCTAGTGTTTCAACTCTCTCCATTGGATTTTCCTCCGGTAGGGCATACCGCCTCGATATTGGGAGAAGAAAGGGGGGGGGGGAGGAGGGATCTCTCATTCCCACGCCACCGACTATTTGATTTGGACCAACTCCATAACATGTGCGACTTCCCTATAGGTGGATGTGTGGATCCCAAATCTCATCGCCGTCATAAATAATTTTGTCTGTAACAGATTCATCATTTCATGTCTCCCTTTTCAGGGTTCCCAAGCAAAAGAATCCCCACCGGCAGTCCCGCACGCGGTACGGAGTACAGAATACGGAGTCATTTCGATTGCATTAGAAGCATTAGCAATTTAGCATACCCTTGCTGGAAGATCCACTCTTGCGCCCCCCCTTTTATGGATTATGGAATATGGACACTATCATCATCACTATACGATATAGTTAATACTGTGCATTATTAATATGATTCGTATTTTGGTTCTTACTAGGAATATTCCATACTGCTCCTGTCGCGATGATTTATTTTCTTTTTTCCTTCGAAATGATTCCCAGGCACCCGACGCGGCGGTCCTTCTGGGGAAAAAGTATGTGGATCAATGGAGATCCTCCTTTTAATTTTCTCTAATTCGCATAATTCCCACTCGCTTCATTCCAGCGACTCCTAGTGAATAACGTCGCAGAGTAGTGACCCGATTCAGACGTACCTAATTAAATACTGATATGATCATTATGACGATAGTTATGATCCTGGATTATTGAGATGTCGGACTAGGGCAGCACATCCCTGTCCATCTCAACCGACCCTCCAGTCTAACAAACTGCACACCATTTACTGTACTCCATACTCGAACTAGCATGGATGTACGTCGATGGACCGACCCGATAGTTCGATCCAATGACAAAATTACTCGACGTTCCGACAATCGGGTGCCTATCACCTGATGCCCGGGTTTGAGTCCAAGTGCAGGGTGCAGGTAAGGTGCAGGACAGAATTCAGGATTTAATGGACGTTCGAAGGGAGAGAGAGAGGGACGGGAGGGGGAGAGGATCAGACGGTTGGTGCCGCTCATCCCTATTACTGTTTGATTACATTTGAACATGAGGGTGGAGACTGATCAGGAGAAGCAGAAGAAACGCTAGAAGAAATTTTTCTGTTCGATTGAGTCATCGCCCGACCGAACGCGGGGGAAGAACCACTCCGGTTTCTGTACGGTAAATTACGGTACTGTATGTACATAATTACTGTAAATATACGGAGGCTGAACGTGGCAGTGAAACCGCGGTTGGGGCGGTGCGAACAGGAGGAATCGTCAGGAATAATGGATCCACAACCCTTTTGGTATAGACTACCCGGGCCTAACAATCTCACTTTCTAATGAGTACAACAGTCTACACCGTTCAGAAGAGCGGTCAGCACGACACCTTCGCCTGTCCGGTACCTGACATCTTTCCATTGGATGCCACTCTGTCTGCTCCTGGTCTGGTTGGCAATTATTAATTTGGGCGACGACGGCTGCGGAAAGTGGTGATGATTCTTTATTGTCAATTTTGGTTTGAAATTCATTTCGTTTTCTCTGCCCTATAGGACCAAGGAACATGGAGCTTGCTTAGCTCCATCTCCGCCAGGTTCCAACGTGTTAGTATTTTTAGGCACTAACAAACGAGACTATGCGCCTTAGTCTCTAGTTAGCCTTGGCGGTGAACCAGGAGAAAGAAAACCGAAAGAAAAAAGAATTAAAAAAAAAAAAAAAAAGGAAAATGGAAAGGAAGCAAAGCGACTAGGGCACAATGATGCATCGTGAGTCCGTGACAGCCCAAAGGCACCTGCACGACAGCAAAAGAAATTCCTTTGCGGGGGGTCCTTCCCAACCCCGCACGTTGCTGAGTTGGCATTTCTTTTTTTTGCCCTCTTATCTCTCATCCAGTCAGCCTTGGATTCAGCTGCGTTTCTTGCGCCCCCTGATAGATGGAGCATGGAGCATACCACCTCCTCCTACACGATAGGCCTAATTTTGCTCGGTGAACTAACGCCGCCTATCCCCCTACCGCCCATGGGGCCAAATGATGACTTTCGCCGACCAGAAGAGAGACGGAGCAAAAAAAAAAAAAATACCCCCTAACAGGATAGGACAGGACAAAGGCGAAGCGCACACAAAAAGGCATGAAACAGTTCTGGATTATTACTGGTCATGCATGCTAGGGGATTTCTCTAGTGGGGACTGCCAACTCTTCCTTCATTTCATCTCTTCAGGAAACGAACGGAAAGGGAAAGAATGGCAAAAGCCAATGACCGTTCAAGTCAACGAGCCGATAGAATACGACCTACGAGGCTACGAGGCTGCGACGGATTTCGCGTTCTACGCTCCATATGGCAGTCTCCGTTCGTTGAAGGAATCAAGGAATTCAAGTTTGTCGAATGGGCGGTCATAGCCCCTCCCCCCCCGTGGTCATTGATGGAAAGTTCTTTCGGCCTTCCATGGAGCAAGCATGGTCTGATTAGATTGACCATGCCGGCCAACCTTAAAGTGTCTCAGTATTCTATGCGTCTCTCGGCCTTTTGCGGACAAGGAGATTCCCTCCTCCAATGATCGGCCACGTCGGGATGCGGATGACCTGGCACGTACGACGTTCCTGCAAACAAATTGCCCAAATGGTGATTTCCTGTCCAAGTTTTGCCTGAAAAGCTAAAACTCCGCGGCCTGCCTAATGGGCAGCGGGCATTGCTAGGCACGCGGCATGTGCATTGTATGTCTATCTGCCTGGAGGAAGGGAAGAAAACAGCGGCGGACTATCCCATTGGCGTCAAACTCAAAACATAAGGGTTGAACATGTAGAACCTCAACGCAGGATTCCCGAGCGATGCACACACTAAACTGCTATACGCGGTTGTGGCGGAAACATCCTGGGAGAGATTCACAAGATTGTGAAATCGTGCTCCGTCCTGACTCCCGATGTCCCACACTGGTTTATGACGCAAGGGAATACTGCAGATCCCTTACTTGCGTCGCTGTGCAGACAGGGTCAGCCATAGGCTATACATACATACTACTACGTGCATCTGGGGTATCATCGGCAGGTATGGATCCCTCGACAGGGTGGTGTGCGATGCCTTTCTGAGTAATCTACTCCGGGGTCGTTGATACTTCGCAGCTGCGGATGTACGAATAGACGCAGGCAGTAAGTGGGAGTGATTATCTACCAACCCCTCCCATTGTCCCGATAATCAGACCGAGGATTGTCGCGATGATCGGCGGGGATACTGAGTAACTAAAGCGACCGTGATTTTAGGTTGTCGCCGTTTCGCGTGTCTCAGGCGTTTTGACCGCTTCCCCGACTAGCAATCAGCCCACGAAGCGCGGAATGGATCCGACCAAGCGGACTGGCGCTGACAATCTTGATGATCTCGGGTGAGAAAGGAGGGGGGAAAGATGTCTCATTGACGGGCATCATTCAAGGACGCTGTGACGTGCCACGAAGTTGCGATCAAGTCGAAGAGACATCGCGACCTATCATTTGAAAGACTCCAGGCAGCCATCTGGCAGCCTCGTGATCCGCAGCGTATCGCCTCATTCGCGCCGGCACGACCGGCTTCCAGCGTAGGTGCCATCAAGGTAGTATCACTCGCGATCAATATCGCCGGCCTCTTAAATTCGCCGTATTCCGGGATGAATCATTGGTGGTTGGACGGGCGAATCCCAGCGGTACCTGGTACCTATTAGTAGGGCATTCCTTGCGTCTTAACATGCCTAAATAGGGAGTGTGTCCTGTAAGCGCCGAGCTGCGTAATATTGTTCTCAATCTGATGTGTGTACAGACTACAGACAGAGTAACAAGAGAAGATAAACCCCGCCCGAGCGGTCTGCCCAGGGACATCTGCCTCGTGGGGGCTTCTTGCCCTTCTTGGA